GCGCAGGTGGATACGACGGATTGGATGATTGCCGATCGTATTGGAGGTTTCAAAATACGGTCAAGAGCTGCGGCGTCGTCACCACGGTTTGAGGATGGCACGTTGGCAGACGTCGGCAAGAAATAATAATCATTACTTCTACTAGCGATTATGGAGCCACGAAGCACCGCACCACACCAGGGGCGGGGGGTGGTGACACTGGTGGTGAGGAGGAGAAAGTTCTGTGCCGTGTTGATTATTGTAAGCCATGAAGCCACGGTGGATCTCACCTCGTCTGTAGTACGTGAGTGACTATCGCTCATCAAGCTAGACAAGTACGGGTTCTACCAACGGGTCTACCGTAGCCCCTCTGCCCACGCACGCACGCAAGCTCCTCTCCCTGCTTATGAAAGCTTCCGCCTTCCGATGGGGTTAAGTTAATTTGCAAGGGAATACGGGATCCAAAAAGTCAAAAAGTCAAAAAGTCAAAAAGCCAAAATAATCGATCGAGTGGTATCAAGTTTGCTTGGGAACTTGTACCTTGGCCAAGTTGGAGAAAAACACCCTGTCTATACATACATACAAACGTCCTTGGTACCCAACGCATAACTTTAGCCCCCACAGCCACCCCAACACCGACGCCAACGGGTACCCAAGTAGTTAGTCGTATCTACCTGGGTGCTCCGTAATAGTACCGAGTAGTGCGCCGGTCCCTTTTTCGTTTCGACTTTCCACGAGCACCGAATTACCTACGGAGTACCTCGTAGCAAAACCAAAATGATGGTTAATCTCCTGGGACAGACAACTTGCTTACATTATCCCACTTCTCGATAAATGGATAGATGGATAGGTACCTTAATTTGTGGACTGACTGACCCGACATACCGGTTCCGGTTCCGGTTCCTGTCTACGTACCTTTGCACATACATACATACCTCCACACATAGTACATACAGCTGAAAAGGATTGTTTCTACAAGCGTACTCCTACCTACTGCTCAAAGCACTTCCACCTTGCGAGGAACTTGTCTGTACGGAGAACTACTCGTCCTGGGAGTAGGTAGCGAGGTAGCGAGCTCAGCCCCACCTCATGATGACATGACATGCCATGCCATGCGGCTCGCCGCTTTATTCAATCTCCCTTGGAGCGGCGGCGACAAACTCCCTTTTGCTTTGCGAGGCTATGTACCTCGTATGTGCGTAACATGCACTCACACCGTATGCGTGTCCTCAGCGCTCAGCACTCAGCAGCTCAGAACTTAGAACACGGGTATTTTACGCCAAACGAAAACAGGCAGTTCTTCGATCCTTCTGTCCTTTGCTTTGCTTTTGCTCTGCTCTGCCTTGCTTTGATGATGTTGGAGGATCGAAAGCCAGTACCTCCTAGGAGTAGTAAATTAGTAATAGTGGAAACTTTTGCCTGATTCTCTCTCTCTCTCTCTCTCTCTCTCTCTCTCTCTCTCTCTCTCTTCCTTCCTCTTGCGTGTATGTATTTCTCTGTTTTTCTGTGGGTATCTGCGCCTGTCTCGCTCCTCCCACTCCTCCTTGATTCTGTAGGTACGTGCTCGTAGGAGATCGATCCTGCGAGAATACAAAAGCAACCAAGTATCCGCTCTATTGCATCGTCTCCGGGAGGGAGGCGGAGAGAGGGGCGATTGTCAGGAGGGAGAACGTAGCAGGCAGAAGGAGTAATGAGAAGGTGAAGGATCGCAAAAGAACCCACCTCAGACCTGCACCCTGCGCCCAGGGCCAAGGCGTGTGAGGCTATGACTGTGGCTACGACCATGACTACTCCTACATACACACGAGGTAGGCAGGCAGGTAGGCAGGTCCCATGGGTAAACCTCGTGTGAGCAGCTAGTTACAAAGGTCCTCCACCACACTGCAACTCCGAGGGGGAAAAGCCCCCAAAGGAACAAGTGACAGGTCGTCTCCGGGTAATATCGTGGTATGTCTCTGTCTCCTGTCTACCTATGTCTAGATAGAGCCTGACAGGCTGTTTTTGGCCCTCATGCACTGCTGCCAACCCCATCGTATGCTCGTCTCTTCTCTCAGGGCCGGTGTGTCAGGTAATCCATGGACCGACCGAGCTCGACAGTGCGGTCCGCAGAGCCGCCGTGCCCTTGTTCGTGTGGCGATGCACGATGCACAATGCACAATGCCACAATGTCCATTGCCCATGTGATTCAACCCGCTCGAGTACCGACGAGTAGTTTGATCGATACTCTCGATTTCCCCGACGATGACGGACAGGGGAACCCGACCACCCAGCAACAGCCAGCCCCTGCCCGGACAATCGTTTTTCTGATTGATTTTTCTAGGTATGAGGTACCCAGGACACCGAATCCTTTGGTCCTAGACAATACGAATAGCAAACACACCTGGCCGTACCTCTGTCTGTAACCCGTGTAAATGCATTTCACCACGGGCGCCACACGAAAAGCTCCCTGTGGCAAAAAGGAGTCGTTGCTCGGTAATTGAGACAACTTAAACAAACTCTATCCGTGGAGGACTCGTCTGTAGGGTAACCTACTGTTTGGACAAGGGCTCGGAGGATCTGGGATTTTCGCGTAAGGTGAGGTGAGGTGGAAGTGGGTTTATTGACTGATGGTTGAGCGAGGGAGGAGAAAGGTTGGAAAAGGTGGAGGTTTCCTGGGCCAGGACCTAAAAGTCCCACCGCCGGGTTATTACGAATATAATGTGGGTTTGCAGGTGGTGAACTACTGGTTGCTACCATATTGAACTAGTATGTAAGCAACGAAACTAAGTCAGCAAAGCCAAGCCCAAACAACCCAGGCAACTTTGTCCCGGATACTCCTCGTGCTCGTAGGGCGGAAAGTCCACGGGATTATGGATGCTGATGATCATGATGATGGATGGTACGGGTATGCCTGTTTCATAAAGTCAAGGAGGGGCGTGACCCCGAGCCAGCGTATTAGGAGCGTACTCCTGATATTGAATCAGGTACAGGTTCAAGGACAGCCGGTTCTGTGAGTGTGAGCACGGGCACCTACATGCGTACGAGTCCTTGCGTGGCGGCTCATGTCATCAGTCCAGAACCCAGATGGCGCTCCTCTCCGCTAGCTAACTAGGAAGTACATACGTCGTACCCGTAGGGTGCGAGTGGAAGTGCCATCTTCATTCTCTGCTCACTCAACGCAACCGCCATGGAAGGGGGGACAGAAGGAGGTAGGTAAACCATCTTGTTGTTTGCTACGAGTCATTTTTCCCGTCCAAGTTTGCTACATGCCGCATGTGCAGATGCGCAGCGCAGATTGCAGATGCGAGACCGAGGCGAGGCGAGGCGCTGGCTGGCTGCTGCAACCTGCACCTGTACCTGCGAGCCGCAAGCCGCAAGCTGCAGTCTGTAGGCTGTAGGTACGCAGGCAGCAAACTCGGCCCGCCTGTAACCTCTCTTCACTCTCTGTAAAGGGTAGGAAGGCAGGGTGTACCTACTCGAACAGACCTTTTTCATTCGTATTCAGAGATTCGCGGTGGCTGCCAGCCCTGCCAGGGCTGCCTAATATTAATGCCAACGAGCAAAAAGACCCTTTTGTAGCGGGCCTTAACCCCCCCTCTCCCCTTTCGCTTGCGACCTTTGTTTCTCAAAGGGTTTTTCTTTTATTTTTATCTCCTCCTTCACTTCTCCCGACTCCTCGCCTCGGAAAAAAAAGAGTTGTAGCTAGGTCAAGTCAGGTCAGGTCGGGTCATCCTCCCCCTCCTCCTCCTATTGTGTGGCGAGGCGAAATGGAGGACAGGAGGTCAGAGGAGGATTGATGCTGCCAATACTACTGCTGTTGCTGCTGAACTGCTCCTCCTATGCTCCTCTGCGCCTCCTGATAGCGGCCTTGGATAGACTGGATTGGACTGCATTTTGATGATGTTACATTTTGCTCTCCCCCCATTTCAATCTACCGCCTCTTCCTTCCCGGCTAATTCGACCCTGTCTGTTTACAGACACGCCTATGCCTCTGGCTCCTTCCAGCCTATCTATCTGACCTGCCTACCTCCGTTCCTTCAGACCCATTGTCACGGCGGCAGTGGCCGTGGCGGTGGCCAACATCAACATACGTCGGGGGTGTGGTGTCGAAGGATTCGTGACGCCGCACTGTGCCCCGAAGGATCGAGCCTTGCCGAACACGGCCCAATTGGATCCTCGCTCCACGAACGTCGTTTCGGACAACGACCATGGGTCGAGAGGTGCAGAGGGGATTGGGACAAAGGAGCAGAGCAAAGAGTCACCAGTCAAGAGATCGAGGGTCTTGGGTAGTGAACACCTTTTTTGCGCGCGCCCGTAAGAGCGATCGCAAGCACGACGAGGACAAGGATAGGTTAAACGCATAGAGAACGATACGGCGATAATGCATTATATTGTGGCAGCAAAGTCTCGCAACCGCCGGCCAGATAATATCAACTCCCATATGCCAACCATGTTACATTCCTCGCATTCTCCCTGCTGTTCCATCCCGTCGTTTCATGAAGCTCGTTCCCAGCGCAGTTTGAACAAGAAATATATATCGACACACATAAAAAGGGAGAGGAAGTATAGTACAGCCTCGTGAACCCTTTTGATCTTCAAATAGAAACAAGATGTATGACACTGCAATCAAGACAGGGAACGACCGTCAGGACCTTGTGAGGTAGGATATGAAGGGGAGTTTCAGGGTTGTCTTGTCACATCGTTGAAATGGATATGCTCTCAAGTGTCAAACAGAATAGTTCATTGAGATGGGAGTTCCTGTTCCCTTCACGGGTAGCAAAAGTGTGTTTGCCTTCTTCCCATTTCTTTTCTTTTCCTCCTTGCGTCCTTTTGATAGCCTCTTCCTGCCAGTCCCAATCCCTTGCCTGGGATAGTGGCAAGTTGTGGTTGCATTGCAAACCGAGCGCCCCGAGCAGTGTAGCTCTCTCCGAAAGTGGAGTTTCTATAAAGTAGAAATTCACACTGCGATCATGGCAGCGAAGATCCTTTTGGACCTTCGGCTCATGTTCCCGCTCTAATCAGGAGAATCATCATATATGCAGTCACTTGCGACTTGATGCTTGGCCGCTGTTGTGCTGTTGTTGGCCTTTGTTGTGGATTCGTCGAACATGGTCCTTCATGTTGTCCATGCGCGAAAAGACTCGACCACATTCCTCGCCTTCAGGTCCGCGCCATTCACACTTGATGCCCGGGTTATGTTTGGCCTCATGGCGGGCACGGTCCTTTTTGCTGGAAAAGCCGCCGGTGAGGGGTTGGTCGGCAGACTTGGCTCGCGCGGCGGCAGCAGCCTCGCTCTGTGGGCAGCCATCCACGCGGCAGAAGAGATGCTTGCTGTGTCGATTGTAGTGTTTTCGTAGGTCGCAACCTCGAGTAAAGGTAGCACGCGACGTGCAGCCTGGGTAAGCACACCGCCAGGATTGAGCCACGCCGCCATTATGTGCGGAAGGCGATGAGGGATGGAGCGATGTCATGATCAGTGACGTTGGCTCAGTTACCGGGATTCCATAGGCGTGAAGGGAGGTGTTGGATGATGTGGAGTTGGAACGGAGCGCTGGGCGAAGCGATTCAGGATGCCCGCCTCTGCTCAGCGACGAAATGGGGCTACACGATCGTGACATGGAAGAAACGCTACCCCGATGACTTTGTGAGCTATGGTGAGAGACTTGAGAGAAGACGGGTGAGGCCGCCAGGTGATGGGTCGACGGGATGCCCGATGTGGGGGGTTGGTTGAAGTCGAAATGCGAAGGTTGAACGTCCTGAGGTGTAGGAGGAATAACATGAGCAGAAGGGTGAGGGTGGTGATGTTGGTGGTGACTACTAAAGGTAGGAAAGTGTGTCGACGAGGTCGGATCATAGGGCAGCAGCGGGGGCGGCTGCGGATAGTTGGAGTAAGGAAACCACTGATTCTGTTCATACATGGCGTAGGTATTGGGGGGGAGAGAAGACGAGGAAGCAGAGGTCGAAGTGTTGAAGTCGGCAGTCAGAGCTGGATCGGTGACAGGCGGTATAGGGAAGAAAGAGGCAGAATCGGACGAGGCGTCGTCGAAAGATATTGGATGCAGATCGTGACCTTGGGAGTCGGACATTGACATGCCTGGAAGCATGTATATAGACTCAGATGACACGGACGGATTATGCCCTCGACTCGAAGGAGCCGGCGAAGGGTAACAGAGGCCGGGGAGGGAAGGTGAGCAAGTCAGCAAGGCGCTTTTATCGAATTCGTCGAATTCACTGGGCGGGGGGGTCATGGAGAAGATGGCGTCCTGGGTCTCAACGGCCATGGCGTGCAGCAAGGGCACTATCTTCCTCTTGCTGATTTTGTGTTAATTTGGGAACTCGGACGCGGCGGCGGGTGGTCGGAGTGAGGAAGGGGACGAGGGAGGGTGGTGTTGCTTGTGCTGCTGCTTTGCTTTGTGGTTTGCATATATATCCTTTGGATTTCGGGGAAGGGGGGGGTGAGCTCTCTTTCGGTGAGATGCCACATCCCATGGATCCCAGAGTTTTTTGAACGGCTATTTGGGCAGTCAGTCCCAAGCTGCTGGCAAGTTTCAAAACATAGAAATTCCATCAACTCATGGGGCGAAGAAGGACATATGAATAGTAGGACCACCACGCACCAAGACAACACCGAGCCCAAGCACGATTGCCTTTTCGCTGGACCATCATGGTTTAGGGCGAAAAGGCAATCCTCGTAGGGCTAGAATCCGACCCCGGTCTGGTTGCTGACAGCATCTCTACCATGCCAGGACCCAGCAGCCAGGGACCCAGGGGGGTGGGAAGGGAGGGGGGGGAGGACCCAGAGGGTAGATCGCCAGTAGTTTAGAGCAGGTTGCATGGATAGCACTGATGGATGATGATGATGCTGGAGATGGTTTGGAGGCTTGGAAAATGGCGGGTCCCAGCGGCCGAAGCGGCCAGGAATGAGCCACACTTTGATCCCCAGCCCATCATGGTAAGGCACGGTAAGGTTAGAGGTGGTGCAGGGTGGTTGCAGGTGCTGGGGTGGTGGTCAAGGTGGTAAAGTGGTAAGGCGGAAAAGCGATCACAGGGAAATTGAAACGAGGTGGAGAAGGTTTTTTTGCTTCTGCACTTCTGCACTTCTGAGGAAGGAACAGTCGCCAGAGACTTAGGGCAATCGCGACCAACTCGTACCGGTAGACCGTTACGCATGCAGACGGTGATACCGGCGGAGATGGGAGCTTCTTCACGGCTGCTTTGCTGATCATCACTTGTCATCTCACCGTACGCCCGTATTGAAGATACTCTCATACGAATGACCAATGGCCAATAGCCAATGCCTGGCTACTCCCGACTGTGGAGCTTCCTCGTTTGCTAGTCTGTCACTCTTTTTGTCCTTGTCTCTTTTTTCTCTCATCTTTGTTGCCTGTTTTTCAAGGTTCCGCCAAATGACACCCCCGTCCCCGTCACTTGCGCCGCCCTTGTCTTTGTCCCCCGGTGTCCCTCCCCCCAAGTCACCGCCCCCCCTGGGTACTTTAGGGGGAACACTAAGGGCTTCAGAACTTCTTGGGGGTGAGACTGTCATGACCGCTGGAGAACCTACACACTCCAAAAAAGGTGGAAAACTTCTGGGTATGGTTAGGCACTTGGATGGCTCTGGTGGCTCTGGTGGCACTGGCAATTAGGGAAAGGCCAACCAATGACTGGTGGTTTTTTTGGCTTATTTGTGCCGTTTCAGAGTTTTGGCCCGTTAGTGTGAGGAGGACATGTCTTTGTCAAGGGGAAGAAACAACCTTGGAACAGAGACATAACCAGAGGTGCACGCGGTGGTGTGTCTACGAGTAACTCGCAGGTACCAGGGCTTTTTGGGGCTGATGCCATGCGCTCTCGGTCCATCAACTCGGTATTGCCATATCTCTCAGTTCTTCTTCCTAACAGAGATGCGTGCCGTGCCAATCTGGACTGGTGATTGGGGACTGGATAATGGTCACTTGTACTCGTACGCCCCGAGGTCTTTGGAGCTTGCGGCTCGTTTACTTTCAAACACCCCTTTGGTGTCCTTTGTTTGGTGGTTTTTGTCATACGCCAGCATGGCTAGGGTTGCATGCTGCTAGCACTGCTCCCCATACTCGTACATTGTTCTAACTGCGGGTTCCTGAGCCCCTCTTCCCCCTCCCCCAAGCCCAGCAAGAGTAGATCGACGAGCTGAGCAAGTACAAACGCAAAATGCACAAGTTATTTTTGCATTGGTTTGATTTGGTTTGAACGCCCGGATTTTGGGGTTTGGTGCGTCACTCGGACTTAATATCGTGCCGTGTCCAAAATACATTTCGAAGCTCGGAGACATAAGTTGGTCCAGCTTCCGTTGGCTCCTTTGTTTCCGCCGTGATCGCCCTTCCCGGTCAGCTCGACCTCGCCCAGCGTCTCTCTTTGAGTTTAAGGGGGGCAAAAACCCGCGACAAAGACGTTTCTGACTCACTGGCACAAGCGTTGGTGGCACCGAAAACCCAACAGTTTGTCAGCGGAGAGTCGGGCGGATTGATGGACGATTGAGAATCTCTGGGGGGAGGATTGCAAATAATCGACACCCGCCCGCCAACTTCAATCCGATTGGCGATCAATACCACTCATGGAGGGCTTTTGGTTCTTAGCGACAGGCTGCGGCGGCTCTGAACGTGGGTGATCAGCAAATTCTGATATGTCATCCGTGGCTCGGTGCATAGAGCTGAGGCGGAGTAGTATTCCATGGTAGCAAGCCGAGTCTTGTGTCGCCTTGACTGACAGATTGTACGAGGTAGGGATATTCCCCTGGCAGAGTCCAGCATATCGCAAGTATGATCCGGGGTAAGACCGCGTGAATGTCGCCTTGAATTCAGGCCAGCCGCAGTGGCCGTATACAAGCCATACGAGGTATATCTTCCTGGATCCAGGTATGCCACGTTGTTCTTGGTCTGTAAATCGCAATTGTAAACGAGCCTTCAGCTTTTGGCGATCCCCCATGTGGCTGAGAGGCTCTTGCTGTGACGAACAGGGCTCATACTGGAACTCGCAGTAATAACCCAAAAGGGTATCTCGCTCGTCCCTGGTAATAATATGTAGACCGTCTCTTTGTGTCCTGTCCAAGCATGTAGATCTCCAAAGTCACGCTCGGGTCGGAGGTATCTCGTGTCATTTGTCCGAGCACTCTCGCACACTCGTTTGGTGTCTCAGGTCTTGACGGTTCGAGCATAGCCCTAAACATTCATGTCCTCTTTGTGACAATCGGTGACTGCCGATCCCTCGACACATGGCCCGTTTGAGAGTGGTGTCGTATAGTAGATTGGCGCTAAGGTGGGGAGATTGCGTGGATGATCGCTCCCGATCACCGACTCGTATTCCTTGTATCGTATCCATACTTCTTGCAAGTGAGTCTGAACGAGCTGCAGAATTTCAACCAAGATACTCAACGTTCTTAGTCTCGGGACCCATTTTACGATTATTCGTCGCCATGGGACATCTTTTGGTGTGTTTGATTGATCCTGACGTAAGCTAGACCTTCGCTATTTCTCCCCCCTATACACGAATATCCCACCAGGGAATATGATTGGCCCCTTTTCACCGATAGACTGTCCTTTTGCACCTCCATATACCTCGCCCAAGCATCGAACACGACTGTGCTTACCCACATTCACGCAGACAATGGTGGTGTTCAAGGCGACTACTGAAACCGACTAAGGTAGCCGGTCAGACTCCCGTGCTGCAGCATGAGGCCAAGGCAGATGTCTGAGATAACAGAAAGTTCAGATCGACTTCAAAGCCCCAAAACCATCAAGGAGATTTGACGTCACCACACGGCCAAAAGGGCTTAGAGATGATTGAATCCAGGACGGAATGTGCCCAACAGTAGATAGAGATGGGTGAAGGCCGTTCGCACAGAGGGTATAGTTTGGGAACATCCATTTCCTCCCGCACCTTGGACGGATAGGGGAGCCAAGTTGCGAAAACTTGTTCCCAGTCTGGCAACGTGCTTCGAGTGATCAGACAGAGTTCCCACGTGGAGATGCAGGTGTTCGACGGGGGAGGACGGCACAGTGGTAGGCCTTCTTACTCCCCCCCAAATCCTGGGTATTCCTCAATCCCGGAAACCTGGCTCACCCACCATCAGGGGCAAGGCATCCCAATCCCTGGAGCGAGGGACCAACCGATGCTCGTAGATGGGGAATTGTAGTCTGACATTCTCTCCATGCCATGCTTATGCGAGGAGGAACGGAGTCAACGACATCAGCACATGTAATTTTAAAGCGCAAAGCCATGGCAGATAAGCAGGATTCATGGCGCATCGTGGGTTTGGCTTTCCTAAGACTGAGAAGAAGTTCCAGGTAAATAACATTCGGTAGATCAGGAACGAAGACAAAGGAGAGGGTTGATAGTTGTGATTGTCTCACGCTGCTCTTTCTGTATCATTGTAGACTAGCCATTTATGGAATGGCCAGTCTTACTGTCTTGGCATTGTACTCCTCGTATGGCTCACATCACATGACTCGCGGGCTTGGACTTGGTAGGGCTGATGTGTTGCTGTTTGCACTTCGCCCATCACCTTTCCCAGTCATGCAATCCGTTGGTATTTCGCCATCACCAGGAGTGTCCTTTTGCCGCTGATAAATCTGATCTTTCTTTCGATGTAACATTTTCATTATTTTGGAAAAAGTTGCTGCGCACCTGGAGCGCCCCCAGGCATGTTGCCACCAGGCTCGTCAGGGGCGGTGGACCCCGAGGACCGCAAAATCATCGAGAAGCTCGCGAAATTGCAGAACATGTACACTCAAGTCAGTTCATTTGCCTTTTGTTTGACCAATCTCGCCCTTGCTTCAGGACCAATGCTGACCTCCTTGAAGATTGGCGACCTTCGGACTTTACTGCCCGAGAAGTTGATCAACCCGGCAAGGGTGGCTCTGGACCACCCTGGTGATTATGAACCTGCAAAGCTCGCTGCCTATTTGCAGACGGCAGCACAGGCAGGGAGTCGCGACGTTGAGAGATTCAAGAAGGACTGGCACAGTGACGACGTGCGCGAACTCTGGCAAACCGTCAACGCCAATGACTTGCCCCAGGGTGGAGACGCATGGGCATTCGACTATGCCAGTCTTCTGCGGGATGCTGCTGCAAACGAGCAGACATCCAACACTGAAAAGGACGCTAGCCATGCCTTCCGGCCCCCATCTGATGCCGAAACTACGAAGATGGTAAATGACTTTCGTGCAAGGCATCCAGACGTGAAGATACACGTGTCCAGTGAAGCATCACCCTTGCCAATCGACATCAGCGTTTCTCGGTTTGACTTTCGAGTCGAAAAGAGCGAGGCTGCAGACGGGACAACGTACAACGTCATTGACAAGTCTGGCACAGAAGCGTCTGGTGTTTACGACCTGCGTGCTGACGTCGTTGAGAGCATTCGAGAGTCGAAAGAGATAGTCCGGCTTGAAACCCTCCTTGTATGCATACCAATCGCGTCACCGCTCCATATCGTCCTGCTAACATCCCGGTTCAGGAGATGATTTATTCGTACCGCGATGTGATGACGAGACCGTGCGACAAGTGCAAGAAGCTTCTCGACACCAAGAAACTGAAACTCCCGGTGATTCGACAAGCCGATCCCTCAACGCAGGACGGTCAGCCGCCATTCCTGGCACTTCATCGAGTTTGCAGGTGATTGTTCCCAGTCGCATATACACCAGTGCACCCCGCAAGCAACGCGGCGCCGGCGTCCAGTTACCATGAAGCACCTGAGTGGTGCTTTGAGGCGAACCCCTTGACGTGCAGAGACTACACTCTCTGGTTGGCGACATCCTCTCCCTCCACCACCGAGGTGTGTGCGCTGCCATCGACCACGGCACCCAGCTACGTGGATGATTTTTGTACATGGCCTCAGTTCTCCGCTGAGATGCCATGTTATTTGAAGAGAAGTATGATGCTTTATAGTCGTGATATGAGTGCCATGTACCAGCGATGGCAGAGTCCACTAGGCATATTGCTGCGAAAGAAATTCAGGATTGAACTTGCAGGCCGTTGTCTCGTGAGTTCATCATGTACTTGGGCTACATTTGTATGTAGATTCCCTCTTAGGCGACGCCCTAAGTGAGTGACATCTGTCTGTGAATGACCTTGACCATGCCGTACAACGCAAAGTCACCCCCAATATTCTCCGTATGTCCCAGCCTCTTCGACTACGCCAACGGTGCGCTCAAACCCATCTACTTACCAATCAGGAGGCGACCAAACCTAGCATCAGTTGCTCCGAATGTCTTTCACTGTACCAACACATCAGTAATTCAACGTCACCACCGTTACTACAGCGTCGAGCTCTTGGGTGACCAATGTCTGGACATGAGCTTGCGGAACATGGAGCGCATCGGTCAGCAAAGATTCAACCCTCAGGGCTGGCAAAGGAGGCAATGAGTGTCGGTCATGCGAGGAGGACTACAGACGAGCGAATGCGATTCGGGAACAGCTTGTCAGACAACCTGAGCCTTCTCAGAATCGCCAGTCATCCAGACAGGATCCCAGCTGCCGCCGAGTCGACACTGGACGCGCACGCCAGACAAACACCGCTGCAGAGAAAACGAACGGCAGACGGGGCGATCAAGCTCCAGCACAGCTCACGCATTTCTGAACAGAGAGATGACCTTCGGCTACACAGCGACTACAAACGAACCTCGGACGTGAAGATGAAAATGGACCTGGACATCTTGAGGCGCCGTATCGCATTGATTGAAGCACAAGAGCAGGGGAGCACCCAGCATAGGTCGGTGTCGAAACGAGCAAGAGGGCAGCAGCAGCAACTGGCAGGACGGGGGCAACGGCAACAGCAGATTGGAGATAGACAAGATGCTGAGACGAAAAACAATCTGACAGACTGGAAGGAAGCGATCATCCGGTGAAGTCGCTTGATCAAGGCCAGCAAGACGAGTATGAGATACTACGTGCCATCTTTGCCTAGGGAAAAGAATAGCCACAATGTGATGAGCCAGTCCCCATCTCTCCCGAACTGCAGTACTTGTACTTGTACACCGTGACCAACCCGGGCTTTTAATAGTTTGCGACTTTTATCCAAGACCACCATGTTTTCATAATCCCTCAGCGCGTAGACTCCGCTTTGCTGCGGTACGAGTAAAAGTACCCTCGTAGACATTAGGTACAGGCATGCTCTGTCCGAGGCAGCTAAGAGATGTTCGACAACAAAAGATTCCCGATATTCTTTCTTGGACTCGGACAGAGGTCTCGTGGCAGACGGCGTATAGAGATGACTGAGAAACTCGGTAACGTGATATCAGACATGAGGCTGGCGAACCAGTGGCGAGGAAGATGTGTTTGTGTGTGCATGTGTGTGTGGGTGGGTGAACCAAAATAAGAACAACCCAATGCCCGAGACAGTCAAGATGGGCCGGGCAGAGAAGTGGCTTAGTTGGTTGGTGGTTGGTTGCGAGACAGGGAGGGTGTGGCTCTGCCCTACCAATACCGTTTGGCGGCTTCGTTGTGTCGCTGGGTCGCGTACTGGCCGCTAGTCCTTGTTGAGTCTCTCTTGTTTTGCGGGTTTCCGGATTCCGTCGCCCAGGGTGAGACAAGCCTCTCTTGTGCCTTTTTTCGTCGTCCTGCGCTCCTTTCTGGACTCCGAAAGTCAAGTCACCTTGTCGTCTGTTCCTTACCAGACTCTCGCTATTGTCAATCAGTCCTTCGCTTTTTCAGTCGTTGCTTTTTACGTTGTCTATGCTATACCACGATCCGGTTGTAACGAAGTGTTTCCTACGAGAACCTCCTGCCTCTCACCATTGAATAAAGTGCCACGGACGACCACAGACGAAACCGCCTCTTTCAACGTCCGAAATGAAGGGCTCCGGCCTCTTCTCTCTCCTCTCCTCCCTCCTCCTCTTCTTTGTAGCTTGTTCTTCGGCCTGGCCCTGGCCGGAGTTTCTTGACAGCAAGGTCGACGCTCTTATTGTCCCCCGACAAGACCAGAACCAGAATTCGGATGGCGACGATACCTCCTCAACTGGGAGCACATCTGCCACCAGGTCCGCATCCTCATCAGGCTCCCAATCTGGCTCAACGATAACTCCGTCGGCGTCTTTGTCGGGGTCAGGGTCAGGGACGTCGGGACTTCGGAACGCGACCACCACAAGGAGCACAAAAACAACTCCCATTGACCCTCGTCTTCCTCCTGGAGGTATCTCTCTCATCACACCCGCTGCAATTGATGGCCCTCAGTACTACAAGGTTGGGGATTTTGTCACTTTTGCTTGGAACTATACTTCTCTGTCCGTCACCCCGTCCGCAATCGATGTGCTGGCTTCCTGCGCCTTGAACCAAGCCACCTACACGCTCTCTTCCAATATGTCGGTGAAGGAAACGGGTGCTCTTACCTGGGATACTGGTGAAATGTTCGCAACAGCGACCAACCCCTTCCCAGTCGCCAGTTATACCCTGATCATCCACGATTCGTCAAAAGATGTGACCGACATTCCAAGCGCCGGGTTTTTGGGTGCTTTTGAGCAGTACGTCTTTGGGATGTACACAGGGTAAGTCTGCTCTCCTATTTCTGCAAGATTGGAAGGCTAACAAGGTACAGACAACCCTATACTCCGCTGAACGAATTCAAATGTGCGACCTGCAATGGCGCATTTTCCATACATGAAAAGCAAGCGCTGGGCATGATTCTGACAACATCAGCCATCACCATCTTGTCCTTCACATGGTTCGCCAGGGGGTTTGGCGTGTTTTAAAACCGGGAGCTCTCCCTACGACCAGCTCGACGGGTATATTTGCCATATATATCTATAGTATCTAACGACCACTAATTGGATGACAACATCCTTTCTGACGAACCAAAAACATTCAAGTACAGCGGCAGTTTTGAGCGGAACCTTGGTCAGTTCGCAAAGGATGGTGCATTATATCGGAAGGAAGGCAATCAAGGATTCATCGGTAACCTACATGACGGGGAAACGGAAAACGGCATCCGGGGTGTCCAGGGATTTGGAAATACAGGAGTGAATATTTTGAGGCTAATGAAAGAGAACTTCCCAAAGCGGAAAAATATTGACCTCTTGCTTCGATTCTCAAGCTGTCGGGCAGGGAAATGTTTACTCTGATCAATTGACCGCTGCAGACATGACCCTGATCCCTCGGCCTTTGCACTCAATGACCTGGAACAAGGTGAAGGGAGCTGGACAGCCAACAGATGCCATGGCGGAAGACCTCCCGACCGGAACCGCTCGACATTCTATCGCTTGATACTCTCTTGATACTCTCTTGATACTCTCTCTCCATATTGTGATTGGTGACTTTCCATGTGCCGGCTCCTCCTATTTGTCAAGTGGAAAGGCCTTCCGGACGAATATGATACGGTCATGGCGGTCTGGACGTCCGGGACGATTTGGCTTCTCGATCCGCCGCGGCAAGGAGCCTCAGAAAGTGACGGTGAGGAATATGAACCACGAGCCAGATGGCCAGGGGGGGTGAGGAATCCCATGCGAATTTGAGTTGTCGAGAACGAGATGGGTGGTTGTCCACGCACACCCAGATTTCATTTCGTCTGTCTGCCTACCTGCCTACCTGCTGATATCTCTGGTTTTGTCAAGAAATGTGTGCGTCTCCCCTTGTTTGTGCCTTGGTTGACCCGTTCGGGCATGAGATGGCAGCAGCTCTGGCCGGGCTGGGCCTGATGCTTGTCTACATTACATCGTGTCATGTACCCATTTCATTTCTCGAAGCCGTCCTTCCCCGCCACGGACACAGTCACGGTCACAGTCACAGATATATATGATGGAGAGGGACGACGCCAAACAACAACTCAGACACAGACACAGACACAGTCACTGACACACAAATCCCTCTCCCCATTGAGTTTTGAGATACTTCCCCCTTTAAAAAAAAGTTACAAAAGCCTTTTCCCCCTTTGGTTGTGCTCCCTCCCTCCTTGCTTCAACCCATCACACATCACACATCACATTCTTTTTGACTTCTCTCTCCCTCTCTGACTCCTCTCTTGTTCTTCGCTCACAATTACACACCCATTGTGACTCCAAAGGAACAACCAACCAACCAACCAAGAGGGCCCCTTTCCCCCTTTTCTCCTGTTTGTGGTTCCTCTCTACACGGCCTCAGAGTCATCCCTTGATCATCACTACCATCACCACCAGGTCCACAAGGGGATTCTGCCATCGCCATCGACTTTGACTTCAACTTCAGCCTGTCTGCTTGCTTGCTTGCTAGCCTACCTAGCTACCTGAGGGCTGATTGAGGGGATACTTGACTTCGCTTCCAACTCCAACATCTCACACCGATTCAATCACTCAAGTCAGTTCAGACCAGGACAGCCAGTCTAGCCTCTTCCTTGGATCAAACACGCAAAAGATACGTTCTTCTATCACGCGAACTCAACCAGAAAGACAAAAGTCACCGTTTTCGCCATTCTCTACTCCCATACTTCGTACTCACCTTCTCTCTGTGTCTGTGAGTGAAGGCCCACGACTCTTCCTCCAAAAACTCCCGTACCGACCAAGTCCTTTGTTCACACACGCGCGCCGGACTTACAACAGCGAAACCCGTCAAATTTCAACCATGCCTCTTCCGACCGCGTCAGGTTCTTCTTCTTCTTCATCGTCCAAATCCCACCGGGACTCGAGATCCACAACAACAACAACCGGGCACAAAACGTCCACCCTCAGTTCCCCTCGCACACCGACACTCCAGGCACAACCACCAAAAAGACCGGCAGACTGGACACCCAGACACGACGCCTTTATCCGCGAACAGGCCCGCAACGGCGAAGACGCAGAGAGTATCCGCATCCTCTTCGAGGTCGAGTATCCCGGCGTCAGTGTGAGTGAGGCGTGGGTCGTCGAGAGGATCAAGGTTACGGCGGCGGCGGTCAGGACTAGGTAGAGGTCTCAGAGGGCCGCTGGGTAGAGGAAGGGGGGAATGTTTCGGTGCCCTTATTTCTCCCTGGGAAGATAGACGGGGAAGGGGATGGGAATGGAAGGTCGGAAGAAGGGTACCTGCCTTGTCTTGTCTTGGGCTATTTTGGCTTGATTGGTCGTCCCGTACTGGCATTTCCATGGCATGCTCATGCTCATACTTTGAGATTGGAGCTTCGAGCTTCGAGCTTCGAGCTTCGAGCTGCCAGCCTTCAACGTGCAAGCAAGAAGGAATAGTGGAGAGGCCAAAGTGAGCGGGAAGAGAGAGGGAGAGAGGGGGGGAGAGAATGTGTGCGTATGTATGACGGAAGCAAAATGAGCAGAAGCAGAACAGAACAGAACAGGGAAAAGTTCGATCAATCAATCAGTCAGTCAGACCGCCGGCGCCACGAGGGAAGCACCAACGACGCAGGACAGATCAGACAGACAGACAAACAGACAGGCTGGTTGGGTCGGGTAGAGTTGGACATGGCAGCGCGTATGGACAAGGCTACCTTTACGAGGAACTTGCATCTATTCTTACCAACTCTACCACTAGCGGGACAGGACGCATTGGTACCCCATCTCTATCCACCAGTTTCTGTACGGTCCATCCATCTATCCTATCCATAGCTATGATAGCAGCCACTCGTCCTTGCCGAGCACTCTCGTAGAGATGACAACCACAAAAAGACGTCGGGAACAACCCAAGAGATCAAGTACCAAAGATAGGAACCAGAAACCATCAACCTCAACCTCAAGCTTCGTCATTGATTAACGCGCAACACAGACGTTGTTCGTAGGTTATATATAGGATACCTTGGTATATAGAAATGTCTGTGTGTGAATAGAGCCGGGAAGTGAAGGAGCCACAATCGTAGCACTTGTAGTACATTCCACCTGAAAACAAGCATGCCCTGTCGCAAACGACTCCATCCAAAGCAATTCCCAATTCCCAGTTCCCATTTCCGCGAGGGAGATGATCTTTTTCCAACTCCAACGCTGTAACGATAGGTGTGTAGGACTTCATATATCTGGTGATGTGCAGTGTTTCAACGTGTCGAGCCATCTCGTTCTCCATATCAGCCTTGTGTATATGGCATTTATTTCCAAGCTCACGAGATCCAAACCTCCATCTTGCCCATTTCACTCCTCTCTTTCTTGGCTTGGTTGCGCACACTCGTCAACAACATCTCCAGGTCATCCTGATCACCCATGGTGATCATGTCGCCATCATCTTGCATCTTGATCTTCAACTGATCCTTGATCCCAAACTTTTCACGTATTTTGCTCTCGAGGTCGCCAAAATCTATCACGGCGCCAATCATTAGATATCTCGTATCGTCGTTAAAGTGACATTTGACACGAATCTTGCGCATCTCGGGCCTTTTGCTGCCGCGTCCAGATCGAGACACGGCGCGCCGGACGGGTTCGAAACCGCTCATGTCTTCAGCACTCATTTCTTCTTCGTCTATATATTCGTCTTCTTCGTTCAGGTATAAGTCTTGGTCCTGCCGTCGCTGGCGCCTCCGGGGGCTGGAATACATGCGATAGACATCGTCCACCGCGTCGGTGGGTTCTTCGTAGCGGGATGATGCTGTAGTCTCTCGGAACAGTGGTGCTGGGGCCCTTTGCGAGGCTGAGCGGTCGAGCATCTGCCGCCGCACAGAGGGACCTCGAGGCTCGGAAGCAGTCCTTTGGGTGCCATAGCGCGACCTTTCCATCTGGGGTCGCTCCATCAGTGGTCGCTCCATCATGGAAGGCTCTTCTGGCCAAGAGTTCTCGCGTGGGGGTGGCATCATCCTGCCCATGCCAGGGCCTTGGTTGGGGTTGCTATCAAATGTTGCAGCACGGCTCAGCATACCAGGTCTGGGTGCCTCCATGTCTGGTCTGTTATACATATTGCGGGGTTGACGCATAGAGGTGGTCCGAAGAGGCAACGTAGAAGAACCGCCTCCACTGAGCCTGGGCTTCTCGTTCTCCGGTGGTGGTGTTGGCGGGAAGACATTTCGATTCATGACAGGAGGGGCGCTCTGGTCTCGGACCACTCTGCTGGACAAGTTGCGCTGCACGAGGTTTGTTGCGGCATAACTGATGTTCTCCGGGGGACGGTCATCTTTGGCCGCAACCTCAGCAGCCACCGCTTGTTTTCTTTCCACTCCCTGGAATCCAGTACCGGTATTCTCGCTGTTCGATGTAGCTATCAACCGGGCCTTGCCCAGGTAGTCCTTTGCTTTGAGATTCTTGACTTTGGCCTCGTTTGGCCTGTAAACGCATCCAACCGGTCTATCAGACACTATGAGTTAGTCTATCAATCTTAATTGCTATAATGAGACCTTAAAGAAGGGAGGATTCCCCCAGAACGGAGCTCGTTTGAGAGCTGCTGAGACTTACATGCTGAACACAACATAACCCTGCAACAAGTCAGTGACACGCCTCCTCTCACGAGAGAGATTCAAAGCTCACCTGTGCCATATCCTTGATAGCATCGTCGATCACATCGTGGTCGGGAGTCATCTTCTCCTTTTGAGCGAAGCTGAAGTCTTGAAGCCCGGCCTGCTCTTGCTGAAGATACATATAGCACAGACCACGATTGAAGAGAACTTCGCACGAATAAAGCTTGAACTTCAACCCTAGCTGCTCATAGTCGATGTAGGTATTGCCTCTCAAATAGAGCAGGGTGTCGTTGAAATTTGCCAATGCTTCTTCAAAGTCCCCAACCAGAAAGTTCGAGACACCCTGTTGGAAGTATGCCACTGCGAGGTACTGGTCGAGCTTGATTGCGCGTTGATAACACTCCACCTAGTCTCACTATCAGCTTATATTCCTATGCTTGTCTTTTCACACTGCACGCACTGCTCTTTCATGCTCGCCGATGGTTGCGTGGATGACACCGCAGTTGAACAGAATCTTGGAGGTATCGGCAATTGCATCGAAAATTCTCAAGGCTTCCTCAAATTCTTGATTGTCATAGTGCCCAAGCGCTTCGACCCAAGTCTCTATTTCCTGCAAGACGGGTCAGGGAGCGAGTATGCAACTGGGGTGGGATTGACATACCTGCTTGAGCGACATGGCGCCGGGCCGAGGTCGTCGAAGTTAGAATCGTTGTCAACAAGGTGGTGACGGCAAGGTGCAGGTTCGAGTAGAGCCAGGGACTGCAATATGTTCACAGAGGAAACGAGATCTGCGACAAGGAGCGGCGTTGCCTGAGACGTTATTGAAATGGTGGATGTGGGCGGTCACAGAATCTGCTAGGGTAGTGGGAACCGATGGCTACCACAGGCTGGTCACTAACTCGTAGGTGGCGGTCGATTTGGACGGTGCACCGAGGCTGCGAGGGCCGGCCCTGCCGCTAAGGTCCTGAAAATGGGTGCTTGAGGTCCAGGGGTTAAGCGCCCGGGGTGGGTAGGGGGGAGCAGTGGGATTTGCTCGGCGCCAATGCTGTCACTGGCTGGGTGCCAATGAAAGAGGCTGTCAACTTGACAATGTGGTGAATGAATAGATTAGCGACGGGATGCGCCCGATAGATTGCAAATAGTCTGGATGTCTGGCAAGCGAAGAAGATAAATCGGGAAAACAAAGAGTGTAGCTGGTTTGTATACCAAAAGCGCCCGGGTGGGAGAAACGAAGACAGCAATGCCAGTTGCTGCTAGGTGGGAAGAGAAGGAGAAGAGTTGAAGGAGTGGAATGGTTTGGGATTCTTTCACGACAGCAAGACTCGGACTTCTTGAATGATGTTTGGGAGAAGGGGAACAGGGAAGGTGGGGGTCCCAAACTTTCAAGCGAGAGCAAGGGTGAGAAAAAGAGTCAAGCCATGGGAGCAAGGGCACCCAGGGGGGATAGGCACCGTCATGGGATAGGCACGAATAGGGAAGGGTGGTGGCTGGGAAGGATACCAGGTAGAGAGGGAGAGGGACAGGAGAACCTACCGCTCCGGGCACTCGCCAGGCAGCCTCAGGGGTTTCAGCACCCAGCATATCCTACCTAGGTACGTGGTGGACTCGATAGTAACAGGTACTCGGTACAAACAGAAATATCATATGCTTGCATATGCTCACCTGCTCAGTCACCTCGAGTTCCCCATTTGCACCATCAAACACCATCAAACACCACCTTGTCATGATTGTTGTCACATTGACAAGTCTTCTTATCAGCTCGAATCACCTACCTGACTTCCCTATTATGCTTTTACGAACCGCGTCCCTCTGCTCCCGTCCTTGACATCCTCGCACCTCACTCGTCCAAAATGTGATGGCACACATCTTCCTCTACCAAGTGGTCTGAGTCCGTCACCTGAGCGAGTCTCTTCTTCTACGGCTTTCCATTGTTTGCTTCCTCTCATCGTCGGTCTTACGCCCACATGGCTCACTCGTCTGGGTTGTTTCAACAGTGTCCAACCTCGCCTGGTGGGCCAGGTTCCGCATCTGCGTGTCCGTTTCAGAATCACATCTGGCGACCAACCACCGTCGACACAGCACTCCAAAAGTTTGTCCCAAACCCTCTCTCCCAAGCAATCGGGTCGTCCGTTTCCAATGCTCGATGCAGGGGTGTGCTCCAGCACTGCATCATAGTGCAGCCAAAGATCGATTCCCAAACCAGAACAAACTCGGTCCGCGAATCAGAATCGGGTGAAAATCCATTTGGGGTTGCTCCCTACGAGATGCATTGCATGTTGATTGTGGAATAATAGGTTTTTTTTCCATTTTATTCTTTATTGTGCTGCTACGCTTGTCGTCGCCGCAGACCCTGGTATAGCTGACAGATCACAGCATCCCCTTTTCGACCTGCTCTTTGCGCTCCTCCCATACGGTCTTCCCTGAACAGCTGCACACGGTCTTGTCATTGTCCCACACCCCGGCACTGCGAGCAATGACCCCGACCAGGGTATCTGGATCTTCGGTCTGAAACGCTCCCTCCGGCTGTTGTTTCGACACGACCATGCTGCGACCGATAATCTCCCATATTGACACTGGCCGATCCAGGAATGCGCTGCCTCGTCCATCCTTGTCCACCTCCACTGTGCCAAACATTCCGCGAGGCTGTCTGAAGCCCGCTAGTTCCTTGACGGCTTCCCAGATGCCACCCGTCGAGGCTGCCCCACGTGAGATGTCACCTGTGGCCCTTATCGTGGCATGATATGTTCCCGGCGACACCCCACGTAGCGTCAGATCCACCAGTGTCCGACTGTCCGAGACTTGGACCATTCGTGCCAGGCCTCGGACGGGATCTGACACGGCTTTTGCATGAGTTTCTAGAATGCACACTCCGGCAGAGTTGGACTTCCCACTACCCCGTAAGATGGCATCTCTTCCCGTAGATTCGATGGCTGACACGATTGATGAAGGAGGAGCCGTTCCTTCAATGTAAAAAAGTTGGTCTTTAAGATTGGCTTCGATCTTGGAGATGCCTGCAAAGCAGCCAAGGTGTCAGTCCTGGACCTCGCGAGTGAAGGAATGAACGACTGTTTCGTCCAAAGTACCTTGTACTTTCTCTAGGGCGCCTGTCACATCTTGGACGCAGGACTCGCAGTGCAGAGGTACAGCGAACGTCGTCTGTGCTTTGGTCAGCATACATGGAGAAGATCGACAGGAGGCTTCTGTGCAAGTTCGGACCTGGAAGGGCTCGATTCCCACGCTTCCCATTTTGAGCGTCGTGCCGGAGATCCAGAGGACACAGAGATCAGATTAGCGATATGTTTCCTCGAAGATTAAGGTATAGAATGCGGTTCAATGTTCAGAAGTCGATGGACTGAGAAGCTCTCACGCGCTGCTGAGATGCTTGGTAATGAATCGAATATTGAAGAAGCTGTCAAATACCGCGCGACGAGGCCCCCGCATCGATCCGCCACAGGCCCAGAAAGTGACGTGCGAAAACCCGGACTTCGGAATCAAAGCCACGGCCGCCCTTTCCACATAGGTTGTACTCGCAGAATCGGTTTATTCTAAGAGATGGCACGTTACATGGCCATGGGGTTCTTGATACCTTTTTAGCGGTGAGTTGAGATGTTTTGTCCAATTTACTTATACAATGGCCACTGAATAGTTCATCGATCCTGAGCCCTTATCCCATTGGGTCAGCCCTCCACCCTAGCAGGCTGCTCATATGAAGAAACACGCGAGCCCAAGAGCCAGAATGGGCAGCGTCATGACCAGATGTCCCGTCCCCGTCTTTTCGGCAACCTCCTTTGCTTCCTTCGAGATGCCCTCCGCATGGGCGAACTGGGTGATGACGAGCCCGTCTCCTCCAGCAATAACGGTGCCAGTCAAGAAGATGATCCCCAGGCATCTTCTGGCCGTCACGGCGGCCACTGGCGACGACTGACACAATGAGGAGAAGCGCCAGAACAATGTGATGCCCACGATGGACAATCCGCCGGCAAAGTTGCGGAGGCCGCGGGTATAGGTCTGCGCTTTTTGCCAGCTCGAAAGTTCTTGGGATGCTTGGACCGAGGACGGGACGAGGATGCCAAACAGTGTCTCCGCGTCGACTGGTGCTCTGAAGCTGTAAAGCCCCGTTACGATGCCCATGGTGCCCATCAAGCCGGTGAGCAGTGGGAGGGCTGAGGTTCGGATGGAAACCAGCGTGGCAGCTACATTGTTCGACGCCATTGCTTTGGGGAACAGCCGACCGAGTCTATAGCAGGGGAACAAGCGCAGACGGATTGATTGGTATTTCATCCACCACTGCGAAGAGTAGGCAATCAATAAGTGGCCCAAGGTACTTTGACAGCTCAGCCCAAAGTCGCCAGATGTCTCTCAGAAAGTAGGAGAAAAGATCGTTTAGTAGCCTTCAATTAGGTTGATAGTTGTCGTTGATCTCAGCTGTTCACATCCCGTCCCTTGGGATGTTGTCGTTGACAGGATCGTGATCATCTGATTGGGCAGCGCATGCGAGGTTGGCTTCGTGACCCTGACGACGTCACCCCCTACAATCGCCTTGTCAACCACAATCAGCTCTTGTTTTCTAGAAAATCCACCTCGAAGCACGGGAATGGGAGATGGAGACTGGCGACAGTCTTACAGAATGGGCTGTTTCCAATGGGATCAAGGTCAATGGCGTGGCAGCGCACAAATTCCCTGGCAAGGGACTGGGCATCGTGGCCAAAAGGAGGCTTGAGGTAGGTTGAACAGAATCATCGGTCTCCTTTTTTCACGCCCCCATCCTGACGGACGCCAAAAGGCTGGAGAGATGATCTTGGACATCCCCATGTCTGTAATTCGAACGGGAGAGACGGTGTCGCCTGCGATGGTGAATGCGCTCCAAGGATGCAGCGCCAACGGCCGCCTTGCCGCGGACTTGGCCATGGACACATCCGAACTTCACGCCCTCTGGAGATCGACGTTGCCATCAATCGAGGACTTGAACGAGTCGATGCCGCTCTTCTGGTCACCGGAGCTCCAAGACCTCCTACCACCCCAGGCGCTGGCACTTCTGAGAAAGCAGCAGGGGAAAATCTCGCGGGACTGGGATGTCGTTTCTGCTGCCTTTCCGCAGCTGCCCTACGATGTCTATCGCTACTATTGGCTTCTCGTAAGCACACGGACATTCTACTATACACCACCGGACATGAAACCCGAAGATACGCCCGAAGCGGACGAGTGTCTGGCACTGGTTCCCTTTGGTGACTACTTCAACCACTCCGACGCCGGGTGCAAGGTCGCTTATTCGGCCACGGGATACGAATTCAGAGTGGAACAGGCCGTCGAACAGGGCGAGGAGCTGTACATCTCCTACGGCAGCCACCCGAACGACTTCTTGTTGGTGGAGTATGGCTTCATGCTCCAGGCCAATAAATGGGACGAGGTCTCTCTGGACACGGTCATTTTGCCACTGTTCTCCGAGAAGCAGAAAACAAGGCTGGAAGAGGCGGGATACCTGGGCAACTACGTACTGGATCCATCGTCGATGCAGGACGACGAGGTGGCCTGCTACCGCACACGACTGGCACTGAGATTGCTCTGTATGCCTTTGAAAAAGTGGAAGGAATGTGTCACGTATGGTGCGGATGAAGACGACGAGCATCAGAGTTCGGTCCATGAACTGCTCCAGCAAGCGTTGAAGTCATATCTAGAGTCCGTGGACAGCAGCCTCGAGCAGATCGCTCGGCTCAAAGTAGGGCTTCCTTCGCAAAGAGATGTGTTGAGGCGACGCTGGGAAGAGATAGGCATGTACCTGACGACCGCCATCGATAGAATAGAGCAATGACACGCGTACCCTCGATCTCCGAGACGCAACAATTCTGAAGTAGAGAATATTGTTTCGTTAACACTATGGGCGTCAATCGCTCCGCCGTCTGACTGACGCGTTGAGATATTGCCATATTTTGACGTGATCGTCCTGTCCACCTCTCGCGGCTCCAGAAAAAAGTTTCCCCAGTCTACCCACACACTCACAACTACGCAACAAACTCACCTCACCAACGTCTACACTGGCAGCCGCCGCTGTGCTCCCAAAAGGTCGAATGTAGATTCGCAATTATCCCTTGCCCTCCCTCTGGAGAGTCCACCGCCAGTCAACACGACAACCTCACAACATGGTTCCAAAGCCCTCCAAATGGGCCGCCGATGACGACGAAGACGCGGCCGCTGCGCAAGCCGAACGGAGGCGGGAGAAAGCAGAAAGAAAGAGACTCAAGGAGGGGAAAGCCCACAGTGTCGCTCCGTCAACCACCGTTACCGCTACTCCTTCTACTACCACCACCATCACCGGCGCGGAGCAATACGCCTCCACGACGGATGACAATGAGCGACCAAGTAAACGTCCACGGAGATCACTGGACGAGGAAGAGAATGGAGCAGCACAGGCAACACAGCCGCAGGCAGAAAGCGAAGAGGTGGAGGAGGGCGCACACTTGTTACGGTTCCCCAGGCGGGAATTCGGCCCTTGCGGCCACGTCGGGCAGTTCGAGCAGCTGAACGACATCGAAGAAGGCTCCTACGGCGTGGTTTCGCGAGCGCGGAGGAAGACCTCTGGCGAGATCGTTGCCCTGAAGAGGTTGAAGATGGACCACACCAACGACGGCTTCCCCGTGACGGGGCTACGAGAGATACAGACACTGATGGCGTGTCGGGACGCGAACGTGGTCAAGCTGCTCGAGGTGGTCATGGGCGACAGTTTGAAAGAGTAAGTCTGGCCTTCCCACCATTGGATTCCTATTTCTCCCCCCACCCTGAAAAGGCATGGATAGCCAGACGATGTTAACTTGTATGGCCACGGGCGGCATCCGCGGCTCATCTTAACAGGGTCTACCTCGTGATGGAGTTCCTCGAACACGACCTCAAGACCCTCCTCGACGACATGGCCGAGCCATTCCTCCCCTCGGAGACCAAGACGCTCATGCTCCAGATCGTCTCGGGCGTCGAGTACCTCCACGCGAACTGGATCCTGCATCGCGACCTCAAGACGTCGAACCTCCTCCTCAACAACCGCGGCGAGATCAAGCTGGCAGACTTTGGCATGGCGCGATACACCTCCAGATCTCCGCCGAAGCTGACCCAGCTGGTGGTGACGCTGTGGTACCGGGCACCCGAGCTGCTGCTGGGCGCGGAGGAGTACGACTTTGAAGTCGACGTGTGGAGCGTCGGGTGCATCTTCGCCGAACTGCTCACGCGGGGACCCCTGTTCCAAGGCCGCAACGAAGTCGACCAGCTCTCCAAAATCTTCATGCTCCTGGGGACCCCGACGCGGGAGTCGTGGCCGGGCTTCCGCTCCCTCCCCAACGCCAAAGCGCTGCACCCTCTCCTGACGACCTCGTCCAAGACCGCGACGACGGCATCGTCCCTCACGGCCTCCAAGTTTCCCTACCTCACCAGCGCGGGCCTGCGCCTCCTCTCCTCCCTCCTCTCGCTGAACCCGGCTTCGCGCCCCTCGGCCGCCGACGTCCTCAACCACCCTTACTTCCGGGAAGACCCCCGCCCCAAGCCCAAGGAGTTGTTCCCGACTTTCCCCAGCAAGGCCGGCCAGGAGAAGCGGCGCAAACGAGAGACGCCCCAGGCGCCCGCCCGCGGGGATGCGCCCAGGCTCGACGAGAAGGAGGTCGAGGGCATCTTCAAGGGGTGGGACACGGAGGGCGAGGAAAAGGGCGGCGGCTTTGCTCTACGCTTAGGCTAGCCCAGGCTAGAATTGGGTCTTTATGGGGGTAGGCGTGGGAAATCCACGACTCGAGAGAGCATTTGTCCGTCGCATGCATACATGGGATGGGATATATATAAACACCCCCGTATGGATGGATATTTCGCCCGAGGCATACGAGTAACATAGATCGGAAATGGTTCACCAGGGGGGGGTTTCAAACGGTTCAATGACGCGTTTGCCGATGTGAATGCCTTTCAAAACAGAAACAGATTTTTGGTCATCTCTTGGGCGTGCGCTCTCTATTGGATTTCTATCGAAATCGAAATCGGAGCAAATACCTTGCCTTGGGCAAAATACACGACGGACGTTTTCATGCCTCATGCTGTGTCTTCGCGCGTCTTCGTGCGTCTTCCTTATTCCTTCGTGGTGGTATTTGCTTTCACATATTCTCTCTCATCAAGTGTCTTTTTTTTGGTGGTCTCTCCCACCGTGTCTCGTCTAAAACCATGGGTCTTGATCTTCGCACCGCGATCCACATCCATACTCTCGTCACTCGTATAAAAAGTCATGGCTGAACCCCACCAAACCCGCACATCGATCTCTTGGTATGTTATCGTTCACACTCCATTCCCGCTCATATATCCTCCGAAGGGGAGACAGGGGAAGTGAGGAAGAGGAGCAATGCGCCATAACGATGGCCCGCTCGCTCATGCGTCGACGTTCTCGAACAGGAAGCTGGGCTGGCCTGGAACAGCGAGCTCGGCCATCGAGGGGAGGCTCTGCCTGTTCTCGTCAGTGACATTGACGACCTTGACGTCCTTACAGCCCGTATTCTTCATCAGGCCCTTCTTCATCTCGGTGAGGATGTGGACCTCGTCGAAGGGCAATTTCCGCTCAAACACGGCCTCGGGGCTCTCCTTGTTCACCACGAGTCTCCTCTTGAGCCCTTGTACAAAGGGCATCGCTTTCTTCATCTCCGGGCCCTTGCCCATCTTCGCGACCGACGCATTCAGTGCCTTGTCGTCGTCCAGGGATGCTTTCTCCAGCAGGGATCGGACCAGGTCGACGTATTTGTCCTGCCACGCGGGGAATCGCGATGCCACGAAGATGGTGATTTGCTTCGGTTTGCGCGGGTCAAATGCCACAGCCTTGCCCTTTGCCATCTTTTTGGCCGCCTGCGCTTCTGCACTCGTGATGTTGCTAGACGTCGACTTCACGTAGTCTCTTGTGGCGGTTAATGATGGGTCTGCTTCAGGGACATCTGTCGGCCAGCTGGCAAGCTGGATGGATTGATCTTTGTGCAAGACTTCAAGCCAAATGTACTCAGCCCAGTGAGGGGCAATGGTAGAGATCAAGAGGCATTGCAATTCGGCAAAGCGGACGACGAGGGGCCTCGACAGAGGTATGCCGCCGGAGACGCAGGCATCGCGGTAGAAGTCACGGGCGGATTGGAAGTCGTAGAGCGCTGATTTGAGGGCCAGTTTGTAGTTTGTCCTAGGGAGTGACAGTTAGCATCATTCGGTCTGTTGTGGCACTGCCAACTTACTCGGAGTAGTGCTTGTATGCTTCATGCACCAACAGGTTCATCTCGTCCTCAAAAAGTTTGTCCCATATCACCTCTCCCTGTGTCTTGCGGAGTCCTTCATCCTTCAGCGTATCCTCAATCCAATCCTTGAGAATGTACATCCGCATGATGGCTGCGTTGGCGCTCTTTTCTTCGAAATTCGCGTCTTCCATGCCATCTCCTGCGTCAGCAAGTGCTATCCGCGTGGCGTCAGCACCGAACTTCTTCACCGCTTGGCTCAGGGTCAAAAAGTTTCCAGTAGATTTGCTCATTTTCTCCCCGTTGAGCAAGAGGTGGCCATTTGAGCGGACGGATTTCGGCCAATATTCGCGAGGGAAAAGAGCGAGATGTATGTAGAGGAAGAATGTGAGATGGTTGGGAATCAGGTCCTTTCCAGATGATCTCAAGTCGAGGGGATACCAGTATTCAAAGGATCGTCGCATCGTTTGTAGGTCTGCAACCGATATCCTTGTCGAATCTGAGACCTTCTTGACATCGTTTGTCCGCGTGAAGATGTAATCCCACACATCATCCGTCATTTGCTCTGCCTTGATGTCCAACAACCCAGGCTCCTTGCCGAATTTATCTCCGTGTAAGAAATGGGCGACCGTGTAGTATGACATGTAAATGGTGCTGTCACTCAGACTTTCCACCAAGAAGGAGGGATCCCAGGGAAGTTTAGAGCCCAGTCCATACGTCCTGGCGCATGCCCATTGGTTCAACCACTCGAGATTTGCGACGAACTGGTTCTCGGTCTCCTGAGCATACGTTTCAAGGCCGTTCTTGTCCTTTACGTAGTCCAAAACCGTTTGTTGCCACTCTTTGTCGTTCTCGCCATAGTTCAGGAACCACTGTGGTACGTAGGCGACCACACACTCATCTCCACTGCGACTGATGACTTCAGCTGAAGGGTCGGCAAAAGGGAATGCTTCGCCAGATGCAATCAAGGAACTTCGAACTTTGTCTTTGGCATCAGAGACCTTCTGGCCCTTGAATTCCCCGACCAACATCGTCCCGTTGTAGAAGCCTTCTTTGTATGCCAGGTCCTTTGCTTCAGCCAACAGAGTGGTGTCTTTCGGTGATTGGATCTTCTTGGTCTCGACCAAGAACTTCGCCGCAAGGTTACCGTAAGCTGGAGTATCAATAATAGGAATGATCTCCAGTTCGGCCCATTCCTTTTGGATGCCATAGAAATCTGCTTTCTTCGCCAATTCCTTGACCGTGGCAAAGTCGTCCGGACTGTCTGACGGAACTGATGTGACAACGCCTGTGCCCTTCGTTGCAGATACTGTTTCCATAGGTAATATCCGAACACCTTCTTTGTGCACCGACAGGGGCGCATTGACTAGAGTGCCCACAAAGGCAGACCCGGGCAATTCCACAACAGGCTGCAACTCGTCTTGGTTACGGGGGAAGTGCTCCTGGTCAAAGAAAGTTCCCTGAAAGGCCATGTTCCAAGCTGCTCTTTTGGTGACCACGTAATACTCTTTTTCCGATACCTTGAAAATGCCATACTTGATCTTTGGGCCAACGAAACAGCATACTTGGCCGTACATCGTCTCCGGTCTCAGCGTTGCGGGTACAAAATAGACACTGGCGTCCCGAGGAATCTTGGATGCCACCGCCTCTGCCGCATCAGGCGACCACTCCTTGACCCGCAGCTTTAGGGCTGTGTACTCTGTTGGACCTACACCTTCACCCTTGGTCCGGTCGTGGTCCATACAGGGTTGGCCATCTTTGGGACTGTAGATCGTGTATCTCTTGCCGTACAGAATCTTGTTGAGCTCGTGCAAGCGATTCATCTGCCATCTGACAAAGGCGTCGTAATAGGGATTTGCGTCGGTGGTGACAAACTTCCTCCTCCAATCTATCCTTGCTCCGAAATCGATCAGATCTTGTTGACATATTGGCGGAAAGTATTCGAGCCAGTAATTGGCGTCTGCGAACTTGTGGATCTCCTCCTTTGGTATCCCCATAGCCAGCATTGTTTGGAATTGGTAGTTGGCCTTGACCGTCTTCGCGGCCTGCTTGCCCTTCTTGCTCTTGAACTTTGTCAGGTCGTCCTTCACATTGACCCCTTGTGTAGGTGCGACGGGTGCTCCATTGGTGTCTGGCGCAGGTTCATCCTCATCTTCATGGTAGTTTTCGAAATTTTGTCCAAACTTTTTGACATCTTCAACGAGTTTGTCCGCACATGCTTTGATCGGCATGCCTGTGCAATGAAATCCCAAGGGAAACAGCACGCGCTTTCCGGTCAAGCGGTTAAACCCTGCGGTGAACTCGACCTTGCTGACCGTAAAGCTGTGCCCGGCATGTAAAGAGCCGTTCATGTACGGGTAGGCGAAGGTGCCAAAGTACTTTGGGTATTTTTCTCGAATCTCTGCGGCGGGGACCGAGTCGAAGGGGATTTCGGTGGTTGTGGGCGCATCCGACTCGAAAATCTTGCTCTCCTGCCATTGCTTTTGGTACTTTTTTTCGATCGCAATCAGGACGTCTCGATTGTGCGTCTGGGAGACTCTGGTCAGTGGCAGTTCTTCCTGCTCGCGTGTGGTTGACTCACATTTTCAAGCTTGAGAGTGTTGGCCGAGGTAAGGGTAGGGTCAACAGGAATTTGGGTCGCCATGATGGCGGAATCGAGTAGCGATGGACGTATGAACCCCCCGGCGTATCGATCAGACTCAAAGTCGCTCTACAGTGTTGGGTAGAAATTACTACAAATCGGCAGCGAATGGTGGATTTCTTCCACAGCCTCGCCGCCTTTTTGCGGAGTGGAGGATTGGTCACGTGGATGCAGCCTTGCCGCTCATCACGAGACCAGGCTGAACTACCGACTGGAACATTCGACTTCCAGGATTCTACACAGAGAGCACCGTACTTGTACATTCATACAGAGTGGGTTTTGGCTAGTGTGTGGAGCTTGAGGCCCTTTATGCAGTAAAAACCGTTGTCGATGGCTTCTGGAACACAAATACAGCATCAATTCACCACAAGGAGTACCTAGGGGAAAGGGTATCGCTGCTCGCATAGCAGTATGACGAGTATGAATATTAGATGCATCCCCACCACACATGCTTCCGTCGACCTTGCCATAAAAACTACAGCACCTGAGGCTCTCCTAGAGCTCTGGCGCTTCCCAAGACTCACGGTCGATTTTCATGACAGCTGACTGCTTGTGTGGAAACGTAACCTCGCCTTGCTTGTAAAACCCAGCTTCTTTCAAATAATTGATAAATCTGCGTTGGTGTCTCTAGTCAGCAGCTGGTTTATTCCAGTCTCTTGGGTGTTTGAGTGACTTACTTTGTGTTGTCGACCCTCGGCTCCAACATCACAGTCTCAGTTCGACAGTCCGCGAGGAAGCAATAGTGTACCAGCGCGGACAACCAGACCTTGACTCGATGTGGGCCGCGGAATTCATCCTCCCCAATCAACACATGTAGTCCCCGTGTATAATTGCCAACTTCCCCACCAAGTAGTCGGCCCAACCTGTCCTCCTTCACCCAATAGATCTCAAAATAGCCAAAGGGTTTGCCGTCCCAACAGCCGTAAACTGGGAAGGAGTGTCGGCTTTCGAGGCCATCTACCAGAAACTTATGTTGTGTATTCAGCGGACCCGCAGCCCCCCATGCCGCACTGACCCGGGGGTCGTTCATCCACTTGTGGAGCAAGTCTAAGTCAGAGGGTCGATCCAGGAAGTTGTCCATAGTCGGCAACGTCGCAATCGATACGGCCGCGGTGTGGCTCGGTAGAACTGCGGGCATAGATGATGATGCGGGCACAAATTGAGGTGGAGGGCACGGCTTCGGAGAGAGTGTTGGTACCCGGAAGGAAAGCCATTGACCAAGACTGGGAATGTAGCGTGTGTAGAAAGATTCGCCCTGCCGAGGCGGCTTGGGGCGTATCGGATGGCGGATGTGGTTAGTAAAGGTGAATTGTGTTGGCGGGGGAGGGTAAAACGTGGGCAGATGACTTCCAGAGTTAAAAGGGCCGCCAGGCGACCAGAATCCTGAGCTGAAGGTATCTGATATCGCTGCATTTGTTATGTAGTCTGTAGGTCGAGGCGAACCACGCTCAGGAACCGCCCGGTCTGGCGAAGATGGACGAGAAGGGTAAGGTGAAGCTGAAGGGAATGGCGAGTGCGACTGAGGGGCCATTGTGTAGAGGAAGATTCTGGCGTCAATCTGCCAGAATGACTTCCTGCTCACAAACGTCTCCGCCCAGCCGCTGGGAAACCGAGTACTTGGATCAGTACCCACGCAGGAGTCCTCGCTGGCTATTAGGCCCATACGCTCAAGTTTCTGCAAAGTGTTCTTGCCCTTAAAGATGCCTTCTCTTTTAATCCTGATGCGCCAGTCAAGCTTCGGCCGGCCTGCCTCTGGGGTCAATGCAGACGCCTCGGTCAGGACATGGGGATTCGGAGGCTCCTTGTGAAAGTACCAGCATAAAGTCGCCCAGAGCATCATCGCGATATGTCGGGTCGGCGAGGCGGTGTTTTTGAAGTCGGAACTTGATGGCATGGAAATGGAGGAGATGAAGAGGGAGTCGCTCCGGATGGTTGGCTTGGTGAATCGATGCGCAACTGTGTGTTTGTGTCCTGCCTCTTCGTGGTCTGCGCTTGTATTGACGGCCACTTTGCTGCTTCTACGCTCGTCATCTTCCACTTCGTCTTCTGTCTGAAGGATCACAGTCCATCCAGGAGGCATTGCAGAGTGATGCAAATCGAGGTTGGTCGATTTGAATGTGAAGCCACCGAAGACAGGGGTGACTGTATATATCTGCCTGCAAGGTCCTGTTAGCTGACCTCAAGCATATTGTATTGGTCTGGAAAACGACCATGCGTTTTCTGCGCGGAGGGGTAATTTACCCATTGGGCAGATAGACGTGCTGAACCATGATGGATCGGACTTTTCAGAAGCTCATAGCGATGGTGCGAAGTGAACGTAGAATTGATGAGGACGAAGACTTGAAAGAACTGATGTGAGGGCTCGTATCGAAAACCACATTTGTGGATTCATCCACGTCTATTTTGCCGATCTCAACGAAGACCGAGGATTCGACCACTGGCGGAGTTAGCTCCCCGAAGAAGCGACACACGAGAAATGCTTTTCAATCCGACTCACCTGAGGTTCAGTTGTAGTCTCTGCTGGCAGATCGGAAGAGACCGCGGCCCTTTCACGAATTTTGCAGACTCTGCTTCACCCGACCAGGATTTCGCCTGTCGATGGCCAAGTCGACTCAACTTTTCTTCTCCAAAATGTGGACACGAGCCCATTGCCGTCAAAGGGGCAAAATGACGTTGGGAGGTGTGTCTTTGTTGTTCAGGAACAATGCCCACTGTGGTCACCCCACCCTCGAATCGGCTGTCGCTAGCTTCGCTTGGTTGGGCTGACACTTTGCCAGTGATAGGAGGTTCCCAGAGCAGAGGGAGGGGCAGACAGCGAGGGGCGACGAGGCTTCTCTGGAGGAGGCGGGGCGGATCGACAAGGGTCGGCAAGAAGGAAAGGGCTTGAGGGATCGGTGAGCCGACAATTTTCTAGTGAGCGTGCTCGCCGTGGGACATTCACACCCAACGACTCCGATGTCAACTCTGCACAATTTTGGCTTGGCCCTCTAGCTGAGTGATTTTTCTTTGATTCGACTCGAGATACGCTGGTCGTGATGGACAATATGTTATTTCTGTTCACGGCTTTTCTCGGATATTGGTGAGGGACTAATGACCGCAGTTGGCGTGAATGCGATCTCCCCAATCTTCACACATAGGGAGAACTGAGGATCGACATTTTGGAGCGGTGATAGGATGGAGAACAAAACCAAGGATGAAGAGGGTGGAGCAAGGTGAAAGAGAAGTCTTTGAGTACGATGGTGAGGTAGAGGCCGAAGAGTAAGTGCGAAGGACAGTACCCGTGACAAGGGAACATTATCTTGCATTCGCTCGAACTGCTGCGTTATATTGATCTATCCACACTGCCGCCGCTCGGATCACATACAATTCTTGCGTGCTGGAGTTGAGAGCTGCAAGAATAAAACCACATGAAAGTCAAAATGCCGCCCGACAGAAATACATCCTCGTGGTAAACTGGACAGCAGAAAAAGGGCAAAAGGAGCGGAAGTACTCGGTATCTCTGCTTCCACCACAAACACACGGACTTCTCGAACGGCAAGCTAGAAATCCTCAATTGTCACGCCAACATCTTTCTCCTTGCCCATTCGTATGAGATCCCCAGCAACCACAAGATCCAACAGTCCCATACCCACGCTCTTGTAGATGACATTGCCCTTGGTCAGCCAGTCAAGGAGGCCTTGTTCGCCTGGCCCGCCGAGTTCAATCTCTCTTGTCGCAGCCTTCTTGATCATCATGAGCTCGCCGATCTCAACCAAATGCTCAGGTGTCAACTTTGCTTTGACAATCTCGCCGGACTCTTTCAAGCATGATTCGAGGCTATCCACGATCACTACTCCCCCTTGTCTAGCATGCCGGTGATGGTGATGGCCCCCATGCTCTGGTTCCACAGCCACTTTGAAGATGTCGGGATGGAGCTCGCACATGTGTGGGGCATACGAGCCAATGGCCACGATATACCTACCTTTCCTTCGTCCCTCGCGCGACGTCAGGAACTCGGCCGGAAATAGAGGCTCAACAGATGGCGTGCAGCAGAAAATGACATCTGCTTTGCGAACCTCCTCCTTCAGTAGTCGGCCATATTCACCAAACTCTGGACTCATGGCCGAGAACTTGATGTCTTTGCGCCACTGGTCGTTGAAGTCCTGTGTCATTTGAAATGCTTTCATCAATTTGATGGACCTTTCGAAGCTGCGGTTGATGATGTTGACATGCCGGATTTGGTCCCCCTTTAGTATCAGTGCCAGTCTGATGTGCCAGTATGCCTGCTTTCCTGCACCAAAGACAGTCACAGTGTGGACATTCTCTCGCTTCTTAAGCATCAGGGTGGAAGACAATGCTGTTCTGAAAGCTGTGAGTTCTTCGGCATTAACGATACCCATGGGGTTTCCATTGGAGTCGAGCAGGGTGATAGATCCTTTTGGTGTGGTGCTTCGAGAGCTAGCGATTGAGGCAGGTGGTTGGAACGAAGAGCCGTCAACTGAGTCCCTGCTAGATGACATGGTGGATGATGGAGTCAAGGTCATGGACGCAAAATCGTTGGTAGTAGACTTGACCGAGGCAGACGACGACATACTGCCCGAAGGGGTACCACTATGGCTTCCAGAGTTTGCTGACGAGACTGATGACTTGCTGTGAAGGGGTACCTCGGGTTGCTGAAGCGACACGATCTTCATTCCCACCGAATTGCCCGTGGATGCGGGCATGAATAGCGTGGTGACCCCATTCTTCTTGATGATTGTCCGCTGTGGTTGGAAAGATGCGCAACAAGGTGAATTGGTATCACCCGTGGAGTATGAGTGCAGGGCTTCTGCGAGATTAGATTGGAGTTCGTCGATATCCTCCTTGGTCAATGTATACAGCAATTCCCTTACATCGTTGTCGGTGAGGACAGTTAGGGGCATTTTGGCCGGAGCTTTAGCGGATTAAACCGCGCTTCTGGAAGGGGTGAGGGAGGTACTTGTTTGGCCGGGTCCCAGTATATTCTGGAGAGCTGGTCGGTAGCTAGGTGACGGGGTCCACAGACTTGATCTCGTTCCCTTCACGATGGGAAAGATTCTCGAGAGAAAACTGGGCGATAAAACAGCAAATCCGGCGAGGTTGAGTGTTTGATTATGCGGGCATGTGGCAATGGCAGAGCAATCGTGGGCAAGAACCAAGACAATGACTAAAGAGCCTCCATCCGCCACGATCGACCCTTCGTTGACGCACATGCTCCTCCCTGTCAAGCCTATCTACCGGCGCCTAGCCTAACTAATGTTATCGGCGGCTTGGCTTGTTTGGGGCTAGCAGATTAGTGGGCTTGGGGTATCACCTAGGGGGGGATAGCCCGAGTGTTCTAGGTACGATAGGTGCCAATGAACAACTTTCGCCTCTCCCCATGTTGCCCTCGCTAACAACTGCGCTTGTCCTTGTATGCCTGTCTGATCTCATCACACATGAACCCACCTACATGTAAGTCGTAGACATCAGTCACCGAGCTGACATCCTCTCTCACTATTATATCTTCATTCTTAAACAGAGCTTATTCGGTCTAGATCCGCCAACTAGTTCCGATGGAACAATATTGCACTTCAGGTGTCACTGTCGCCACTTCAGCATTGGCATGCATGTTTCCACATAGGCATCCAATAGCCCAGCCCTTTATTTTTTAGTTAATGTCTTGTAAGTATCTGCCTATAAACCTCCTCAAGCTTCCACTGCCGAGTTGCTTGACCATGAACTAATTTGGAAGCCAGAGAGTTTCAGTGGCAAAGACGCTCCTCCTATGAAGGTCGAGGCTTGGGATAGAGCAATCGACCCATCTCACGAAGTTGCTTTCCACGTGTGGCATGACAGGGAGCGAATTCCTTCACTGCAAGCTGCCTGGTCTACTTCTTTCTCTAGACTGATGGTCACCAATCGGCCCCCAGCAGGTATCAGCCTTGAAAGAGGAGCAAGCCTGACGTTGACCGTCACATCCACGATGCTGGTAGATCCGATCATCTACAAATGGAGACGACCGAACCGGATAGATCTCTCCCCCGGCCAGGCTCACCCGTCATCATGAGAAACAGAGATCCCAGCTCAATTGCCATACGTATATTGTATTTCGTCTCTTGGTATGTATCTTCTCGGCCGGTGCAACGGCCGTAGTGCAAGGCTTCGCACCGAGCACGAAACAGAAATGGTTATGTAATACATGGTCTAACTAATTAGAGTTAGCGCAGCCTCGTCGTCAACCTCCTCGGAGTAACTCTGATCTGATGTGCTTCACACTTCCTGTATGCCTTGTGGTGGTTGGGTCGCATCTGATACTCGCTTTTTATTCTTGTCTGTACCAATTTCCATGATGAGTAGTCCTCTATCTCATGTCGACAACCTCATAACTCCGCGGGCGTCATATGGCGCCATTGTTGTTGGCTACCCACTCGCGCTGCCATGGCACTGTGGACCAATGGGGGGGTTGAACGTTTACGAGATGCTCACCAGACACGGCCCATATTTGGGTCGCCTCTTCGCACACCTCTGTACTCTGCGTTCCAGACTCGGGTGAACCGCCTCACCGTTTCTGAAGACAAGCTACTACTTCTGTGTCAGAATTTCGGCTCCGTTGATGTTACGGACGCGATGGCCGCAGAGTTGCGCAGCACCTCCTATTTCCTCTAGCCTGGCAAGTCCTCATTTCACGTCCGCGGGACAGGTGGCTTGGCATCCGAACATCGACAGTGTCATACCTATCGGTTCAACATGGTCTGTTCTTGTGAGAACATCTCAGATCAATGTGGCGCGGCTGGCGACGGGTCGCAAGTGAAGTTACATTGCAGTGTCATGTCAAACTCGGACATCCCATTCCTGATGGTCGTTTCCAGATGCCATACACTATATCTCTACGCTACAGTGGCAAGAGGCAGCAATTTGTGTCGGTGCGCTAGCCCGTTGAAGCACCCAAGTCCCCATCCCTGCTTAGCAAAGCCGACTATAACCTGTGCTTGCACCGAAAGAGCTTCGATTCCCTCCACTATCGTGCTGAAGTGTGCTGTATCTTTCAGTGGCAAGTCCATGCCCTGCTGCGCCAAGTCGACAGGATTCTGGAGATGTGATTCAGTCCAATCAACGCCATTCGGAGCAACGACATAGACACGATCGGCAAAGGCTCGTTCAGGGTCACAACACCAGTCCTGCCTGTGCTACTACGGTACTCGCTGACCAAGCCCCCTGAGTAAGTAATGCAATCTATCGTGCTTATTTCTGGCTCTGTTTCAACAGAAGTACAGTACGGCCGAACGATTCTGGAAAACGGTCTGATATTGTCTTTGGCGCCACTTCAACCTCTCGATGGGCTATAAGAGGTTTGGGATGTCGTTCTCGTGGACATTTGCACCAAGCAAGCTTCTTGTGCCCAGAAAATCTATCTGAATATCTTCGCAGCACATCAACTTCCCATCCAGATGGCTACGTTTTTGAAGGACACCCCTTTGGGTCAATTCCTCCGCCTAGTTTCACAGGGCTACCTTCTGCAATATACGGATGACAGAAATGGGCTCGAACTCTTGCGAAACAGACGATCGCAGCCGGTAGATCCAGTTGCTGAAGTTCGAGTCAACTCTGAAGCCGACCCCGAAGTGCTTGCAAAAAAGGGAACGAACGTTGATGATCTCGTTATAGTCGACTGGTATAGTCCAACAGATGCAGAGAATCCACGAAACTTCTCGACGACGAAGAAGTTATGGGCCAGCTTCATCATCTTGTATGTGAAACCGCATGCTTTTTGGATACCCAACCCGCACTGGCACACTTTCTCCCTGCCACAGCGCCACATCTACTAATACCTGCTCGCAATAGTATCTACACTTTTGTTGTCTACTGCACCTCGTCTATCACGACGCCGTCCTACCCATTCATCGCACCTCAGCACGGCCTCAACGAAACCTCTGTCTCCTTGATCCTCGCCCTATACGTTCTCGGTTACGCGCTGGGCCCTTTGCTGTTTGCCCCCTTGTCGGAAATTCCATGGATTGGCCGCAACATCCCATACTGGGCCTCGTTCCTCCCTTTCCTCGCGTTATCCATCGCCCTTACACAGGTACAAGACCTCAACTTCGCCACCATCTGCGTCCTACGCTTCCTGCAAGGCTACTTTGGCTCCCCGATCCTGGCCACTGGTGCTGCTTCGTACGACGACCTTTTCGACGAGTTCGAATCGCCGTACGGCTACATGATCTGGCTGGGCGCGATGTACGCTGGGCCTGCGGTTGGCCCGCTTCTATCTGGCTACGCCATCGTCAGGGACTTCCGATGGCCGTACTGGGAGTGCGCGATCATGGCGGGCGGTCTGTTCCCACTGATCATCCTGCTGCCGGAGACGAGCGCAGATTACATCCTCCTCCAACGAGCAAAGCGCATGAGGAAGATCACAAATGATCCAAAGTACCGGGCGCCGTCGGAGATCAAGAGATTGAATGTTACAAAAGTGTTTATGGACGCGCTGATCAAGCCGACCGAGATAGCGATCAAAGATCCTGCGATTGCCTTTGTCACTGTATACGGCGGCATCGTGTATGCCACCTACTACTCATATTTCGAGGTATGTGTATATAGCTGTTTGTCTAGAATTATGGCTTCCCCCTTTCCCACAAGATTCCCATCGGAATCTCAGGATGTCTCTGACTGACAGGAACGTTTACAGGCTTTCCCACTGGTCTACAACGACAGGTATGGCTTCTCCGCCGGAGCTATTGGGCTGGTATTCCTCTCCGTGATCGTCGGTGCTGGAATCTGCGCCACCATCTACGCCGTTTACCTTCAGCTGTACTTCACTCCCTGGGCTCGTGCTGCAGTCAAACAAGCGGCGTCCGCTGCTGTGTCCTCCCCGACCGACGACACGAACCAACCGCAGTCTCAGGTCACAGCACCGCGAAGAATGCACATCAACGCCGCGATCGCGCAGGAGCGGTGGCTGATCCCGTCGATCCCATTCAGCGTGCTCTGCCCGGCGGGACTGTTCCTCTTCGCGTGGACGGCGACGGCGACGTCTCACGACCCCAACAACAACGGCGGCGGCGGCGGCGGCGCACACCCGACGTTCCACTGGATCGTGCCGACAGTCGGCATCGCCCTCTTCTCCGGCGGCAGCTTCGTCGTCTTCCAGTGCACCATCATCTACATCTCCCTGTCCTACCGGAAATACTTTGCCTCGCTGTCCGCCACGTACGACATGTCGCGAGGATCCATGGCCGCGGGGGTCGTCATGGGCAGCCGCGCCGTCTTTGTCGGCTGGGGCGTCGACAAGGGCGTCAGCGTGCTCGCCGCCGTCAGCGCCGCGGGCGTCTTCGGCATGGTCTACCTGTGGAGGTACGGCGCCGTGTTGAGGTCCAAGAGCAGGTTTGCAGAGCAATAGACTCCAAACGATACGAGAGCCAGACGGATCCCAAGGCCAAGTTGCAAGGGAGATATTGGTCTGGAAGTCTCGCGTCGTCGTCATCGTTGTTGATGTCGTGCACAACTGGATTGATTTGGATGTATTGGATACGATTAAATTCGATCGGACGGACGGACAGACCTCGTCTACGAAGGAAGGATATTGTTGGTCCCTTTTTTTTTCTCTCTCTCTTATTCTGCCTACAAGGCATCTCTTGTAGGTGATTCTCTCACATAGCATCAGCACTGTGGTCAACCCAGGTCCAGTCCAGACTAGATCAGACCAGACCGGACCGGAGCATAGATAGATAGGTACATAGCCAGACATAGTGGTACTACATACATACATATACTCGTAGAAGGAGTTAAGTTACCCAGCTGGTACCTGGTATACGCGTAGGAACACAAACCATGCAATATTGGTAATGGCAATTTCAATTCCCATGGTATTGAATCAGTGAGGACATACATACAACCCCGCCGTACTCCTCCTGTAGATTTGAAGAACATACAAACAAATCATTGCTCAGCCTCAGCTGGAGTCCATGATGACTGAATAACCAATGGCGCCGAGTACCAAGCAAGACATCCGGGGGGGGGTGGGGGGGGGGGGGGCGCAGACTTAGTCTCGAGATCTAATGGTTGCTGTGGAACCACAACGAGATGTAGGTGGTCGAGACGAGACGAGACAAGAAAAGACAGAAGATTTCTTCTCTCGGTAAAGGGTCATTCTCATCGACGTCGACATCCCAGTGTGTCGGGTCGAGTTCAGGGTATATGTATCTATCTTCGCCATTCGTCAGGCGGGCCTAAATTGTACATTTGCACTTCGTCTCCCTTCCCCCTCAGTGCCCTCCGACCGCCATGCCGCGGCAGCCAATAGCTTCCTTGTGCTCAGGACCAAGGCTGAGATAGGAAAGATACCTAGTAGTATGAGACAAGGAAACAACAAGACGACCAAAAAGAAAAGCAGGAACATCGTCGGTCATCGTAAGGGAAACCCCCCGCGTTCCTCTAAGTTGACCACAAGTCCTCGTCGGAGAGCACCATGTCATCCTCGGTCAGCACCTTCAGGCCTTCCTTCTTCCTGTTCTTCTTCATCTCCTTCTTCGTCATAAGAGTGCGAGGCGTCACGGGCGTCATGGGCGTGTACGGCATGTAGGGACTATAGGGAGTTTGGGGCACTCCCGTCTTTGGATGCACACCCAAGATACTCTCGCGACGGTCCACAAAAGTGGTTTTGGTTGCAGGTGCGCTCTTCAACGCGTCATTGTAGAATTGACGGAATGGCAACGTGTTGGAGCTGTTGGAGGCTGCAGCACTGCGAAGAGATAGCGGCGCCGGGGGTCCTCTCTTTTCAATCTCCTCGACCACAGTCACAGACTTTTGGCCTGGTGTTGGTGGGGCTGGCCCCGGATTGTATATGCGAGGAGAAGAAAGGGCATCTTCGGAATAAATCGACGTGTCCGTGAGAGTGGCAGAGCCGATTGGTTGCGAGATGGGTTGCCCACGAACCGAAATGTTGGTCGGGCGCTTTTTCGTCTGATCAGCCGAGTCACTACGGCCCGAGATAAAGGAAAGAGGTGACACCTTCTTGCGGCTGCTGGTCTGTGACTCTGTCCTCATCGAGGAAACATCATCAGCGGGAGTGGGCGCCAGGGGGTGAACCAATGCTTGTGTCACTGGTCGAATATCCTGACTTTGGATTTCTGGCTCAGGCTGTCGCAGATGTTGAAACTCTGGAGGATAGCGCGGCGACCTAGGGGAGGCCGGCCCATTGAGATTGGGATTCGCCTGATAGTAAGGGGACCTTGGAGTGGGTGGGAGATGATAAGGTGATCTGGGTGTTGGGGGAGCATTGTACTGAGGTGGGTAGTTGGGCGTGCGAGGCGACGTTTGGCCACTGGTCCTGGCTTTTTCTTCGTCATGTGCCATCACAGCGGCATAGAGCCTCGCCATTTCATCCATGTTTTTGGCCTTGTCCGCCTCGAGGATCTTTTCGTCGATGGTGGACGACATACTGATGCTCGACTGTTTGTGGGAATGTGATTTACCCGAAGCCCACGATCTGAGGCTGGCCATCTTGCCAGGGCTCTTTAGAGGCGCTTCAACATTCATCTTGGACTGATTAGCCAAAGGAGCAGGCTTGATGATTTCCATGCTGAGGCTGCGGTTCGAGGTTTGGACTTTGCGACGCAGCTTCTTGCCGACAAGGAAAAGGAGCACAACTGTGACGATCAACCAAACGACGTAGGCTCCAACTATGCCAACCACCTCGTATTTGAGTTTGGACTTGTCTCGAAGGGCTCCAGCGGAGAGCGGCGGGCCTTGATCTGGTGGCGGGGCAGGGCTGTTGTCGATGTCGACTTCCCAGATCGAATGTGGCCGGGCAGCGGAGGGGGGAACAATGAGGACAGAGACAAGAAGAATCGAGACGCTCAAGAGTAAAGAGGGACGACTCATCTTTGTAGGCGGATCAAGTTGTCGACATGTCCCAGAACTGCGAGCCTGAAACCGCTGACCCCCTGGCCGAGAGCGATATGAAGCAGCTGGCTGCTCGTCAATGAGCGATCACGGCGGTAGATGTACCTGATCATGATTGCTGAGGAGCGGCCAGCAAGCCGCCTGCTGTGATGATTGGTACCAGGTGAGAAGTGGGAAGCTGTGAAAACGAGGATGCCGTCTGCAGGGTGAAGCACAGTGGCGGGCAAATCATAAGCCAAAGCACCCAATGTCCAAGGAGGGAGCCCCCGTCGATAGTGGGCGAGCCTATGGGGGTGGCTAGGTGCCTGGATGGCGGGGTCCCTGTTAGGGGGGCTCTAACTGCAATCGTCTAGGAGGCATCCATCTCACAGTCTGTGCCCTCCATTCACATCCTATTTTTAAGCGCCCGGGAACATTCCAATGTGGCTTCTCGACCCAACCTCGTCCCTTTGTTTCCATCACACTGCAGACCACTGAGAAACTCCAGGCTTTGTCGAGTCCAAGGTCCCTGCATCATGGTGCCTGGTGTGCCCTCGAGCCACCCAGTGCTTTCAACATCACTGGGTCCACCCTTCTCTGTCCGAAGGTGCTCTTTCACGGTGCATGCCTCACCAATACCGTGCTTTCAAACTGTGCCATCACACATAACCTCTTCCATCGAATTCCTACATCCACCAATTCGTGTTGACCCATGAATCGGTAGTCCGCACTGGGCCGAGCCTCTATCGTCTTGCCGTCCCGAGCCGGCAAGACCCAAGAGGATGGGAAACTTGAATTATACCCCCCTTCGCGAGTGATGGTGGTGACTCCGCTTGTCGACTGTCTCTGATTGCGCCTCTAGACGCCGCCCGTGAAAGAACACCTCCGTCTCGCACTTCAAGACTGATCTATTGCTTTCTGTCTCGCATTCGCCTTGTAGACACGAACGAGAACTGAATATCTTGCTGCGTTGTTGCCGTCTGGGTAGCGAGCATCAGCGGACTGATAGATCGATTGCACCTCCTTAGTGTGTTCGGAAAGCGAGCACAGCGTCAATGCCAGCATTCACCTGGCTCGCTCCAAGCGTCCTTTCCAATGCCCTATGTTTGTCACACACAAGCACATGTGATATGTTCATTCGTGGCGTGTGCTTTTCTGTCCGCATCGCGAGCGTATGTGGCCAGATGGGCCGGATAAGGTTGTTCAGAGACCAGAGTCGACGTATAGCTGAGCGTGAGAATCATCTCTCTTGGAGCAATGCGCCACTGTATCCAATTGCTCAAAACCAAAGTGCGAGTGACGAGAAAGTTGCCTTTCCTACCGCTGGCTGGCTGTCGTAATGTGAGAGTTTTGTCTCTCAGTCTGAATTGTTCGTGATTGAGGCATTTTGTGGATGTGGTGATATTTCTCATCCCCATCTAAGCTCAAAGTCACCTCCAGCTGCTTCCTGAGCCTGTAGCCCAACTCAGACCAGCAAACCCCGTACCCCTCCCTATGGAGCTGGTAGAATCGCGGGCATTGATGGCCTTCCTCTTGCCCTTGACTCCCTCGGTTGTTCTGACACCTTCAACAATCTTATCTAGGTTGGTCTCGACGACAACACCTCCAACGACCATTTCGCTGAGAACGGCATGTAAGGTCTCGAACCCGAAGATCAGATCCAGCTCGCACACGTTCTCGAACAGTCTGTCCAGGGCTTCGACAAACACCTGGATGAAGTCGAGCAGCGCTAGAGGAGACTCGGTAGAAGTCGAGATCAAGATGAAGTAGAGGGTAGCATAATGGCGGTACGTGATTTGGGTGGGTGCGTCGGGCGAAGCATTGGTGCCCGTGCCACTGGGAGCCAACAAGGGAGGAAGCGGCAGAAAGTTACAGGCGGAAGCTGGTCGAGCTGATACGAGGCTGAATATTTGGGAGAGAAGAGACTGCTGTGTCGCTGTATCCTGCACGAACATAGTCAGCACTGGTGATGGTTGTTTTCGCAGTGTGTCACCTAACCAGTTGTGAGTAGAACTTTGTCAGTCTCGGCTGACCGTTGTTATTGAAGACCAGAACAGCGTTGATCATCGTGAATGGAGTGGCCGTTGCGTGAACGAAGACGTATTCGCAGTCGAGGTACGCACCCTGTCCTTCAAGTTTGCCCTCTTCAGAATGTGGGGAGTCAAGAGGCTTTTGGGCTCAAGGCTACAAGGCTGGCCGGGAAGTCCTCCTGAGGCTGCCTTTGATTGGCGGGTTCGGGTTCGGCGACGCGACGCAAGATCCTCAAAATTTGGATGTCGCCTCGCCCTGCGCTCCCGAAATCCTGTGCTTGTTGGTGGCTTCCTTTCTTCAACACCGGCTCCTGTTTTCCACAAGTTCTGCCTGGCGATTAAATGCAAAGCTCTACTTGCTTTACTTGCCGGTTGGTCTGCCGCACTCGTCTCCGACAACGTCTAGTCGAGTTTCAGAATGGCCGACGCAGACTGTCCTCGACTCGTTCTCAGCTTCAAGATCCGCCCTCAGAGATTGCTGGGTCGTGGTACTGGGATACCACTCCTCCAACCGAAGAGAATCTAGCTGCAGCCGCACACTTCTTCAAAAATCACAAGCCCTCGAGGACATGGACTGGAACAGGCTGGAAAACATCCGAACCCTGGCGGCGCACTTCGAGGCCCTCGCAACAAAACATCCTAGTACCCGAAGTAATCTTTGTCGGGCGATCCAACGTTGGAAAATCCACTTTGATTAATGCCCTTACTTCTTCGGATCTTAATCGAGTCGGTGCTACTCCCGGAATGACCCAGGTCATGGCCGCGTGGGCGTTGGCAGCAAGAGACGAAACTGGTGGCGCTATAAAAGGGTGGGATGGAGATGTCAACCCGAAGCTCACTCTTGTTGATATGCCCGGGTATGGTTTTGGCAGCAGGTCCGAATGGGGTGCTCAGATTGTGTCGTACCTGAACAACCGAAGGAATCTGCGCAGAGCATTTCTGCTCGTCGACAGTGGTCACGGCGTCATGGCTGCCGACCGCCACATGCTGGAGATATTCCACAAGCTCGGCATCCCATTCCAGATTGTTGCCACAAAATGTGATCGATTGAGCTCAAAAGTCGCAGAAGGGGACATTCGCGAAGCGTTGACGAGGCTGCGCAGCCAAGCCACCTTCGAGGGCAACTCGGCGTTAATGCTAGGCGAAATGATCGCGGTTGGATCGCTCGAAGATGTCTCGACAGCGAAGAGAGCGAATGAAAACGCCCTCGGCCTCAAGAATCTGCAATGGGCCATTCTCAGGGCCGCAAACCTGGAGTGGTATGCCATGGACAAAGCTGCGGACCACAAGGTCATCAGTAAAAGCGCCTCAACTCGCCCGAGTCCAATCGGAGCAGAGATATCGCATTTACTTCATGGCAAGGAGTCGGACTCTGAGCCTGCACAGTCGTCAGGAAGTGGATCAACCGCACTTCCAAACTTGAGTCTCCAGGAATTCATGCGCGAGATCTTAGGCACTGGCTCAGAAGTAAGTGCTCCGGCCTCAACCGAACCGCAAGGACAGCGAGAGCCTCCGCGGGTTTTTGACTCTTTGAGGAAATTCTCTGGCTCAAACTCCGACAAGGCCGACTCGACCGCATCCCTACACGAGCAACTTGATTTCGTGTATAAAGAGTTGAACTCTCGAGATCGTGCAAAGCCCGCAAGCACAAACGCTCCTTCGAAGCGTAGAGCCACTCCACTTGAGTCTATGGCCGAATCAATGTCTCCTCTTGGGTCTTCTTCTTCTAGGAGCGCCCCGACACAAGTGCCTCCGCCACGCCAAAGCGTCTCGCATGGCATCGATGCCTTTGCAGGCATGTTCGCGGAGCCACCTCATTCACCCAGGTCGAAGAAACAACAGCAGTCCCGGACCCTACCCAAACGACACCAAAACCGAGTGGCGGCGGCGAGACCATCGGAACCAAACGCTTCGCAACCCCCACCAGGTTTCGTCGGCAAAGGTGTCTCGCAGGGCCTGGATGCCTTTGAAGCCATGTTCGCGGAACCGCCCAAACCGTCCAAATCGAACAAGAAACAGCAACAGCAACAGCCGCAATCGAGACGCCGTCGTCAGAAAGCCCGCAGTTCGGCAGCCAGCCAGGAGCAGTCCAACACGCAGCAGCCGCGCGAACCCCCTGTGCTGGTGGGCAAGGGTGTCACCCAAGGCTTGGATGCTTTTGAGTCCATGTTTACCGAACCCGCTTCACGCTCGGGAGGCGGGTCGACCTCGAATCGGAAGAGGAGGAGGCAATAGAGAGAGACAGAAAGAGAGGAGGACCAGATATCCGGGGTGGAAACAAGAAAGTGTATCTCTGAGATCCAGGGACTTGAAGGCTCGAGGCTCGGGGCGTTCCGCGGTATGATACCACCGACCTGCTCTACAGCAATGAATGTACTCTAGGCGAAGAAGGCGTGCTTTGCCGCACTGGGACCACACGGCGTGACACGGACCTGGACTGCGGCATCGTGAATACTCTATACTGCCCAGTACTGCCTTTCTAGGCTTGTGTGAATCTTAAAACGGACAATCCTCTCCACGCTCCTCTCCCCAAGGATCGTCTTTGACCAAATGTCTCCCTAGCACTCTAGGTTGGAACGTCCGTAAACATGTGCATTTCCTATGTATTCGTCAGGTATGGCTACGTCTGGCGGGTTTAAGAACAACACTTCCAAAGCCTGGAACATGAGAAATCCGAAAGTGCGTTCTCCAAGCAGTGCAATCCCAACAAGGCCAATGTGCAGTTTCAATTCTCGCAGCAGAACATTCAATGGCATGGAAAACACCCTCTCTGGTTCGAGACAAGATCCGCCCATGCAGAAACACCTCGCTCCTTTGCCGGTTGTAAAGACATCATCCGGCCAGCATGGGCAGACTAAAACAACCTATAAACAAGAAGAACTCGCTGGTGTACCGTAATCATATTGGTGAAGTTGACATTTCGTGATCTTCTGAGCCTCCATCTGGGCGTCGAAGGTGCCATCCATGAAGCAAAAATCATTAAACAGTGATCGTCATATTTTTCCAAGTTCCCCAGACGTGACAGAGAGTGGTCGAGTGATGATGCATCGTCAGGGAATACCGGCCCTGCCCTGCAGCATTTTGTCAAAAACTGAAATCTATCAACTTCGAGTCTGATTGATTTCTTTGGGAAGACATCATGGATCAGCGGAGCCGTCCAGATCCAGATATCCGTTGTCGTCGTGATTGGCTTCCATCCCGTCGGCATCGACAACAATTCTTCGACCCAGGTTGTATTCAGGGACGCCATCACGAGCGGCGCCATAGTCTAGAACCTGCAAAGGAAGTCAGTCGACTTGACACAAAAGTTCAGGGGTGCGACAGTACCTCTATAAACGTCAAACCTTCGCGCTGCACTGCTGCAACACAGCGCCTTTCATCGAATTTCACCTGCCATACTCCGCTGAGGTCGGAGAGCAGATCCTTGACGCACTCGCCGGTCTTGATGTTCCACAGCTTCAAAGTCCTGTCAGAGCCGGATATGACTTTCTGGCCGTCATGCTTGAAGCAGGTGATAGCACCGGTATGTGCACTCAGAGTAGCCTTGCACTGTCCAGTCTCTGGGTCCCATATCCTGAGGGTCGAGTCGGCTGCTGCAGATACGAGTTTATCGCAGTTCAAGTCCAGCAGACCGACCAAGGAGGTGTGGCCCTCCAGGCAATATTTGAGAGATCCAGTGTTTAGATCCCAGATGCGCACCATGTTATCCATGGAACCACTTATGCAGCGGTTGCGGTCATGGTCGAGGACAACACTGTAGACCTTTTGAGTGTGGCCTTGAAGGCGGTGGATCGTTTCGCCCGTGGATATTTTCCAAACACGCACTGTGCAATCATAGCTTCCGCTTACCAAGGTGTCTGCATAAGCAGCAATTGCACGTACAGAGTGCTGATGACCGGACAAGGTGCGAACAAAGTAGGGGCAATCATCAGCATCAAGGTCGTTCTCGGCTTGGATAAATACTGGATCTTCTGGCCGCGGAAGCTTCCACACTCTCAAGGTCGAGTCACGGGATCCCGTAATGATGAGAGGTTGCTTAGGCATCATGATAGGTCTTCCTTCTGCATTTTCTCCAACTTTGACTGGAGACACGATTTGAAGACATCGCACTGTTGACGTGTGTCCACGGAAGACCTGTGTTTCCCGTGCTTCTTCAATATTCCAGACTCTTACCGATCGATCTGTGGAACCTGACACCAGTGTGTTTCCCTCGTATTGCAAAGCCCAAACCCCACCTTCGTGTCCCGTCAAGATGGCCTTCAAGACTCCGGTTTTGGTCTCGTAGACATTGATGTTATTATCATCACTTCCCGTCACGATCTTGTTGGTATCGAATTGGAGACAGGTAACGACGTGGGTGTCGTGCGCGCGGAATGCGATATGTTGGGGTTTCGCATCTTCGAACATCCAGTTCCGCCGGATAAGAAAGTGTCTTCGATAGAGGGATTTGTAAAGATGTAGACCTGTGAGACTCGGGAGACCAATATTCGGTTGGGGAACTGCAGCCATGGCCGAATGTGCCGCGTTATATGGGCCGTCTGCGGAGAAGTCCTTCAACAGGTTAAAAGAGGTGACGTCAACCGAGGTATCCCAGGAATTGGACTTGACAAGTTTGATTTGTTTCTTCCGACTGGATAACAACGTGGGGGCCTTGCGCTTCGAGCGTAGGATTTCACTGAACCTATTTTGGGACTGTGCTGCAGGAGAATGGGCCTCTGCGGTTGCATCGTACCTGCTGGGTGTCGAATCGGCAATGTTCTCTTCGTACCCAGACGGACCAGATGGATCTTGCCAGCCCCAGCCTTCGGCAATGGCCTGCTTCAATTCTCCTTCCGACAGCGTAAATCCGTCTGAATCGAATAGTTCTTTCCAAGCTCTCTCATCGCCATTAACCATCTGCCGCCATTTTCTCGATACCTGCGCAGCTCTGCACAGACTCTTGGCATCAAGATATTTGAGGACACTGAGTGCCAATTCGGGCGGAAGGAGGGAGAGGAAATCGCACTTGAGCGCAGGGTTGACAGCATCCGCAACGACCTGGAGTGTAGACTTAGGGCACCGGCGGAGTAGTTGGTGCATAATGTAGCTCTTCAGTTCATCCGGGATGGCTTCAAAATAATCAAGCATTGCTGGGATCTCGGCGACTGAGCCACTGGTGAAGCGGGAGAGCTGGCGAGAATCGTGATGGGGATGCAAGTCGGCGGCTTCGGGGGAGTGAAAAGAGTTGGGTGACTGTCTGTCCGGTACAAGAACTCTTGACAAACCCTCGTGCTGGGAGGTGATCTCCGAGTTCGAATCAGCGTCTGCAAAGTATCCAGTATTTTGTAGTGTTGCAGCAGCTGTGACAGGAGAAAGACTCGGACTAGGAAGACTTCCATCCTGCACGGATGGACTTTCCGCGACATGCAGCCGAGCAGGGACGGATGATAGAGCACGCCTACTTAGAGGTCTTGCTGAAGCCAACTCGCCGTCCTCGATTATAGGGGGCGTAGGAACCGCCGCTTCTTGAGAGATCTCTCTGTGACTTCTCCGCTCTAGATGGGAGCGATCAGTGGAAGAGGCAGTTCCGTCTTCTGATTCCAGGGAATGAAAATGCCTAGATCGTGGTGATGACGGCTGGATGTTTGGAAATGGTGGTTGTTGGCTCATATTTGGGGAGGGCAGGAGCGTACTCATGGTTCTGGATGAGCCATCTTGCTCTCGTGGCTCTCGTATATCTCGCAGTTTGGGTGCACGAGGGCCGTTGCTGGATTTCGGAATACTGTCTGGGGTAATTGGGTTTATAGATGGGTAGTAGGAATTCGATGCGGCGAGTTCGGGGCGATATCTCGTCGATGGTCCAGCACGACTTGATGCATAGGAGGGTTCGTGCGACTGAGTTTGATCTTCACTGTCAGTAATGGATTCTGGAGAGGCTGGCCGTCTCTGCGCTCTCCGTCGGAAAGAGGTAAACTTTGAGCCTGCTGGCCGGATAGAAGTACAAGGCTGGAAGGTCTCCACGGTCTCGAGTGCGCCATTAGCATTTCGAAGAATCCGTTGCTCCTCTTGTAACTGGCTCCCGAGTTAGCAATCTGTTAGAAAGTCAAGATGCACGCCTCGTACCTGCTCTAGTGCCAGTGTGGTATCTTCCGCTTCTCGGAAGATTGTGTGTTTTCCGCCTATCTCGAAGTGTATCTTTTTCAAACTGGCCGGGGTAGGGCTCGCTGCCAAAGGATATTGCTTGAGATCCAAGTCTTTCGTCCGCCGTAGTGGACGCATTATGAAGGGAGGAAATTTGGTGGTGGTAGTTGTGGTTGTAGTAACAACAGTGGTCTGTGTGGCTGGTGCAAATGAGAATTGACCCAGCAAGGTGTCCGACTCTACTGTCCTGGCGTGCGCTGCGTTATCTTTACTTCGTTGATGTTGTCCGATCTCAGTCCCCCGGAGCACAGACCGGTGCCGGCCACGAAGAACGGGGTCCACCGTATCGGTTTCCATCGTGTTCTTCCTCGTCACCGTTCAAATTCGTCAGGTCTATGGACAGAGATCATGTGCCCGAGGAAAGTCGATAAAGGTCGCGTCGTCGTGATTTGTGGGAAGTGGTGAGAACACCATGCAGTCTCAATACGTGAATGACCACTCCGTTGAGATCACAGAACTAGACAGAGGATCTGGCGAAGCGAGAGAGCCGATGGCGGCGAGGTACGCCTGCGTTGGGACTGCAACAACTAGGTGGTGTTGTGCAAATGTCGTGGACTTTAAACAAAACGAAGGTTCGATGAAGGTCCGCTATTGTTCAAAATCGAGAGGCAAAGAACGATGGCATGGTCCTTCGTGGAGATGCACGTTTGCAGAGTCCCAAATCGGGTGTGAAACGGGACTGAGTCGTTGAACAATGATGTTTCTCAAAGAACGAGGTGTTTGGTATGTGTCGGGAGAGAGGGAGGCAGCGTGGAGAGCGGGCGGATCCAGCGAGATGGCAAAGGAGCGAGCGAGGGCGAGGGTGAAGGCGATGGCCAAGGGCGTGACTGGCGGTGCAGGATTGGCCCGAGGGTGGTGGCCGTTCGAGCCTGAACCACTGAAAAGAAGATTCGGAATGAAAGATACGGAAGGCTTTTAGGCTTGGCGCGCGCTTGCTAGCCAAGGCAGAGGAGGGAAGCTCTGTCTGACAGAATTTCTGACACCCAAACACCAAAATAATGCCGGAATGACAGGGCGAAGGGAGAAGACTTTGGTGTCAGACATCACCAATTTTGTTTCGTTTCCGCTGCGGGCAATTTTTAGGTGCAATTGCCGCGCCACTGCCATCACCATAATAATACGCGGAAAAAGCGACTTCATTTCGCCTTTGCCACTGGAGCCAGCAGCTTGTGATCACCACCAGGTGAATGTCGTCAGCTCCTGCCTACCTAACACATGCTCCTAGATGGCTACTTGGGTGCTCAAACATGCTCAAATAGGCAACTCTGTTCTCGGGAGCAAGTCTTCGACGCGTCACATTGCTACGGATTTTGCTGAAGGGCATAATCGTTATCGACCAAACTGGTAGCAGGACTCTGTTGACTCTAGAAAATGGAGATGCTCGAACAGACGGACTGTTTGTTGCGACCGAAAGCAGTAGTACATACTCTCGTTCATCTGGCTCTCTTTGCATTCAGATAACCCAATTGTCTCCTCAAGGAACCACCCAAACACATTATTCGGATTGAACAAGCTCTTGTAGATTGATGGTCCATCCAATGAAGCTGGCGGTCAAGATTTCATGCCTCTATCGTCTCCGGACTTCAGGTTGAGAACGGACGTGATATCTCTGCAAGTGGACTTGGGTCATGTGAGATCCAGAAATCGTGACATCGAAACCCGCAACGCACTGTGTTTCTCACTTCCAGTGACCAAAATTCTTCTACCTTCACCCTCAAAAGTTGATCATTGGGTCCTCACAATAATGGCACAGCAGGTGCTCCTTGCTCCTCCTACTGAACGGATACTCTCCCAAGCCGAAAGCCTCGCGGTTGTTCAGATCTTCCTCAACGCATCGTTGGCCTGTATCGCCCATACTAGAGAGCTGATCCCTTGGACATCGTCCTGCTTCCGCACGCGATATGTCGATCAAATCACCCTCGAAAGCGACTCGTCTGCCGGAGAGAGCCTGTATTCAGCTTTTCAATCGTTGGCACCAGAGAGTCCTGGTGAGGGTCAAGAGGTCAAACTTCTCGTCCGTGGGGGCCATCGATGCGCTGATCAAATGCTTGATATGCTTGTAAACCCTGAACATTCTCAGCAGACTTCGAGAAGCCCGCTAATTTCCAGTCAGGAGCAAGGAGTTTTTGACGCCTTGGATCAAAGCTACCTAGACAGCCTGCGAGTCTTTGTGACCGACGCAGCTCAACGCCAGCCATCAATTATCGAGACTTACCACTTCGCTTTTGCGTATAAACGTGGCACTGTCACCAGTGTGCATTTGAGTTCGGTAGCTCAGGCATTCGTCTTGGAGAATGTGCACAAAAGTTTCAGGGCTGCGATACGGGCTCTGCTTCGTTCGCTCAGGAATTTACCCCGTCTGCCAGGTGCGCCTTTCTCGTCTTATCGCAGGTCGGAGCACTGACAGAGACTTAGCTCGTCGCAAGCTAGGAATGAGTCTCACATATAACGAGACATGTCCTATGGTATATCAGCCACCCGGCTTTGTAGACAAAGATGAATATCAAGAGGGGGAAGGTCAGACAATGTGTGAGGCGCTGCTGGATCGAGATGAGGATGTTGTAGGTATGCTCGAGTGTGGTTACCATCAAATGCGCGTTGCAGTACACCTTCAAGATGCGGCAAGACAGGAACCGTTGATTGATCTGCATGACACGGAAATCAGCAGGCAGCTGCAGGCAATGCAGAAGACCTCCTCCAGCCACAGCAACAATTTAATGTCTACCTTGAGAGACTCGTTTCCTGGATCAAAACGTTCTAGGAACGGCCCAATACCTAGTGCGAAACGCTTGCGGCCCTCTGAACCTAAGAAGCCATCAAGCGATGATTCCGTTCCACACAGCGCCGATACAAACCAACTCACAGAATTCCAGGGCCCTAGGGGGTCAGCCTTCGCAACCCCAGGACCGGGTCACCGAGGAAAAGCGTCGAAAGATCGTCCTGTCCAACAGAGCCCGCCTAGAGAAAATGGGCTCTGTCTCAGTGTCACAAAGCTCGCAGAGCTTCTCATACACTGCTATGCCGTTCAAAGTGGAAAGACAGGTGAAAGTGGAGACGCTTTTGACCATCGCCTGCTGGCCGACGGTAGGATCCGACGGCTTAGTCGATCGAGTCGCATCGGCTGTGAATGCGGAAGTCAGCATAGATCAAGTTCAATGGTAAGCTGGTCGATCGCTACCAATTCAGTGGCTAACCAGATCAGCTCTTCTGCGAAGTATGCGATAGCTGGCAGCATAAAGAGTGCTATGGCCGTGGCGACAGCCTCTCTCCTGCTACCATACCTGAGGAGCACTTCTGCTATACCTGCCTCCTGTTTTCCGAAGGGCTAAAACCCCCGAATTCTCCCCTACTCATCATTCTCCTCCGAGTGGCTACAGGCTATCTCGCAGCAAAGACCACACCCGGATTGCGGATTGCCGGAGACTTCCTTCAGACGCAGCTGAAACCATTTCGCTGGACCAGGGAGGTGCTTGACTGGGCAATGGAGCGCCTCGTGGAGGAGGGTCTGCTCAAGCCAGTATCTGGAGGCTTCTTCGAAGTCGTATCACTTGACGATGCGGAGATGTGGCAGGTCAAGGAGCGATGCATGGGTTCATTGGCATCAGTAAAGGGTCTTTTCGAGACCTGTACAAACCCTGACAATACGAGGCGCAATGACTTGCTGAGTTCACTCAGAGCGTACGCTGGTGAAAATGATTATACGACAGCCGAAGGATGCGAAGAACTGATTTCGTATGACGAGTTCGGGGGTCCAGTATACCGCTGGGGATATGACACGGCCGCAAGGAATCCCTCGTTAGAGAAGCCGGTTGTTGAGAAGGAACTGACAACGCCGGTTCGTCGACGAAAGATCAGTATCTCACGCATACTGATCAACATCGATCGTTCCCCCTCTGCAGCGAGCATGAGTCTGGAAGAATCAACAAACCGATTCCGTGACAACAGGAGTTATAGCACTGATTGCAGCACCGCAGCCTCGACAGCGACCGCTGACTGATTGTGCGCCGAAAAGGCATCCGCCACAAAACAAGCAGATGAAACTGCAGGAGATCCTGAAGAGGTGGCTGGTCAGTACTCGGTAGGGTGTGACACGGCCCGGGCTGCCACGAGGAAAACACGTGGCAATGGTGGTTGTGGTGATGGTGGCTGAATGGGTGGTCGTGTCACAACAAGCCTCGACAAGGGGTCCCGAACTGATGCTCTTAATCTTGCGGTGCGACCTCGAGACTCCAAGAGATCATGTTGAGAGGATCAGGGCTGTTTGCCCAACACTTAGTCTCTGTTCCACGATCCTATCCTCCGACCAGGAGTATTTATCTCTCCCTACTCGCAGACGTTGTGCTTCAGGTGCAATATTGTCCATAGATGCTGAAAAGCAAAAAGCAAAAAACAAGCTTGCCTCGAGAAGCAGATGCATGTAACTTTTGCTCGTCAAGCCATACTCGAAGAGGCTGCTTTTCATTTGTGCTCGTACTTCTTGCAGTGGGACTAATAATAGTGTGTGACAAGCGGACAATAAGCGAGCAGATTCTCGAAGCCTGAAGGACGAGATAAGTCGAGTCGAACAAAGCAATTTGACTCGGTACAACAACAGCCATCGGGTGTAAACAAGTCGATTCGGAATCTCAGGAAATGAAACCCCCTGGCATGGCTGAAAAGCAATATCCCCCAGAGTCACTACATACTAGGCCATTGGTGTTCCTTTATCCTTTCGGTGATGGCTCACAGTCCAAGTGACGACGCTACCGAACTGGCATCCCCCCTAGAACATGAAGCCACTTGAGCCAAGAGGGCCCCCCATGACTCTCCCCCAGGCCTTAACTAGCAAAGATGGCACCATGGGTGTCACTGGAAGTGGAGTTGCCCTTGGCGCCCAAGGCACCCAGCACCTAGCACCCTTGACCGAGGACCTGCCTCGGGCTAACCTCGTGCAAAGTTCCCCTGTGGATCCGACAGTCTCAAGGTGTCCACGCATCCCAAGTTGGTTGTCAAGCTGCTCCCTGGGGCTCTCGTCACTCACACTAGACTTGATCTCCATCCAGTTAACGCGACATCCTTCCCAAGAAAGGACTTGATCTACCCCTTCTCTGGCCTTCAACTAACAAGTGGTGCTAGCGATGGCTTCGCAAGCTACCAGTTTACCCCCATGGCTCCTCATCTCATTCAGCTGACCACTCAGCACCGCCCGCGGAGGGTGCGGCTAGCGACTCCGAATCCCTTATGTTTGGGTTAGCATCCGCCACCACGGCCTAGACGTCTTGTGGCGGGCTTCAAGAGACGCTTCAAGAACACCGACAGAAAGGCCAGAAGGTCCAGAAGGGGCATGGCAACACGGCTGGAACCCTAGTTTCTGGAACGATTCAAGCCACCGACACTTTCCAGCAGCTTTCAAGCGTTTTCCACCTCGGGGATGGCATCTCCTTCAAGCCCATTCGACCAGCCCTTGCCCTTGCTAGTACGGTGTCCACGAGTAACTTTAGGCTCGAAACTTGGGGACTCGGGGCGGTGGCCGTTATCCATGGTATTTGTCGTGCCCGCCTTCAATTCGTCATCCCGCCTGAAGAGACCTGGTGATCCGCCAGAGGCTGATGGCCAGTTCAACGCCAGGCGATTCCAGTCCGGGCAATTTGGACTGCTCATCATACACCCTACTTTCACTGCGACCTCCACGACCTCCTCCACCTGCCTCAGTTCAATTGAACTGTCAAAGTTTTTGTTTCTGTAGCCCCTCGAAAGCCTCCCCGGCATGTTCTGCAGAATGGCCTCCACGAGATTCCAATAACGTGTTTACTCGTACGATTCCGAAAAGAACGGCATTCGGCTACTCGGTCTGTGCACTTCGAACTCGACACCGGTTGACCTCCACCTCCTGACCTTTTCCTCTTGACGATATCGTCCTGGTTGCGAGAGCGGGTCCAAGATCAAGAGAAACCACCTCATACCAAACACTGTCAGACAAAAGATACGAGACTCGACGGACTGGACGGAGTATTTGTTGGCTGGTTGTCCCATCTACCCTACACCTCGGCATGCACAAAAGATCAGAGGTCAGTGTGTGGGCATGATCAGGAAACGCTGATATGGGTGGCGGTCAAAGGTTCCGTCTGCCGGCGTCTCTGAAACGAACAAAATCCAATGCTCCAAACCAAGGCCGGCAGCCAGAAGGAAATGAATACAAAGTACAGCATCTGCTTGGGATCACTGAAACTGATTTCAACACGGTACGAAACCAGAGCATTAGCTCTTCAGCCACTGCAAGATTGCCTGCCTTGTCATTTTCAGATGCCACAACCGAACTGGGCTCTTCTCATCCCCCAACGGAACAGCTGGATGCCAGTGCAGATCTCAACTTGAAAGCGTCGTCTGTGTTATTGCACGAGGAATTCTTGCTCAAAGCAGATGCTGCGGGCTCAACACATTCCAAGCGCCTCAAAACATACGGCTCATCCTCTACCATGAACTCGTATTATGATGCCTATAAGGCGCCATTAGCGGTGTCACAACAGACTTCTGAGTCCTCCCGACGGGATTTTGCTCTCCGAAAAGGAACCCCGGTGGTCATCAAATCTACGACTCCGGACAAGGGCTCTCCGCGTCAATTGAAACTTTTTAGCCGCTCTAAAAGTGACAGTAAATCGGGAACGAAGAAGCTCACGAAGCACAGTTCTCAATCTGAGGATGCTGCCGCCAAGATGTTGTTTAGCAACCAACATTCCAACATGCCCTCTAATCAAAGTGGATCTACAAGGCATTTACATACGACCCATCAGTCTAAGACACAAAAGGGTGTGCGCTTCCAGTCTGAGCATCCTGCAACATCGGTCGGTGCAGAGAAGTCCAAACCATCTATTACTCCTTCTCGACAAGAAACTTCATACATAAAGATGAATATCAGACGGCCTAAAGCTGGGGCAAAGCACTGGTTCGATGGACTCGAAGGTGACAGCAGTGATGACGAAAGCGTCCATGAGCCCGAACTGCAACCAAGCTTTGTTGCAGGAATGGAAATGGCATTCGAAGGACGTAGGATCGGTGTTTTGACAAATGAGGCATCTAGCGTCAGGACACAAACGCCGGAGACAATTAGTCGAGCTGCAAGTTCGAAAGCACCATCCAGTCACTTGCTCCCTTGTTCAACAATCCCCTCCCGCGTCTCAACCCTCAATGCCAAATCGTCAAGATCTACCCTTTCCTGGGCCGAGTCACAGCAAACCTCATCAAAACCAAAAGCATCGTCCCTAGCGTCTACCGATCTCCACAAAACCAGCATCCTCGACTTGTCCTCTTCTGATGATGAAGGTGATGACAAGCCACAGCCATTGCCAAACCGCAGAGTATCTGGGAGTGTTCCTCTTCCGCTGCTGCGGGACAGCATAGCTGTGGAATCACTGGCGGATTCAGAAATTGAGGTAGGGACGGCTAAAGCAGTTAGCACAAAACAAAGTGCAACTGTAAGATCGAGGGCGACGCCGAATCTGCGGCGTGTTCATGGCAGTCATCTTCGGGGCTCTGCATCATCATTATCGAAGCCTTCCAACCAGCGACGAAGCCATCGATCAACTTATCTTAGCGACCAATCTTCCAATCCTCCGCCAGAAGATGACGACTTGCTTACTTCGTTCCCTGCCATCCCCACGGACCAAGCATCCTCGCACCGCCCATCCTTCCACGAATCTTGTTTGTCCGACACCGCAAGCATTGAAAGCAGGAGAATGATGAGCGTTACCCGACAAGAAGAATCTCTTTTGGCTGCTATCCGTTCGAGGAAAGCAGTCCTTGGCCGACCATCCAACGGTGGTGTGGCAGACCAAAGGATACGGGCACTGCGAGAGACGGAGACCAAATCGACGAAGCATCAACGCCCTCCGCGGATCTCCGCAGCGTTGGAGGTCCAGCTAACTTTACATGGGAGGGCGCAGAAGCAGTCAAGATCTCCACATACAGATGCCAACTTTGACCAGGCCTCTTGCACGACTTTCCAGACAGGGCTGTCGACAGAACCTAGCGGGCGATACTCACTCGCCAGCTTTCAGACCGGCACTTCCATCGAGCCAGAGACCGAAGCGTCGTCCTCGATGGCTATGTTTTCGCCTAATCTACTTGCACCATCGAATGGTGCAGTCAGTAGGATGAGCCGTTCGACCTTTTTTTCGACGTCGAGCAACAGTTCGAGGGACAACTCACGAAGTCGACGGGAGAGCCACTATCTAGCCACACTGGAGAAGCTACAGGCGGCACCAAAACGAGAAGAGGTCTCTTCCCAAGACTTCATTGATTTTCCTTATAATGGTTGGATGAAACTTGCAGCAGCAGCGCATTAGGGCTGTATCTTTGACGTTCAAGAGCCCAGCTGCGTCTCGTTTGTCGTTTCCTTTGTGGGATCACGGGTGCCTAGTAGGAAGGACAGTGACGACGTTTTAAGAGAGTGGTGGATCGCTTGTGTACAATAGTCATGGCTCTGGCTTTTATGATGACGAAGGAGGATAGGTCCACGGTGGATCAATGTACAGTAAGAGGCTGGGCAGTTTATAGAGCCCGGGATGCGCAGGGAGTTGATAGTTAATTGATGCTTGTCTTTCCGTGCCGGAGAGCTGTCGCTGCGACTTCTAGTACTTGCTGAGGGCATCTTCATCGTGATCAGTCTACATAGCATTGACAGGACTAGCATAGCGACCACCTGATGTGATCTTTCACCGCCACACCAGGGACTGGGATGCCAAGATCAAGAAGTTGGAAAGGCGCAGGAGGCGTGGAAGGCCATGACGCAGGGCATGGCAGAGCCATCGACTTGTAGAAGTTCCGCTGGCTGGGGAAGCACCAGAAAACACCAATCAACGCGGCAAGCGACCATTCCACCCTTTGCCCAAGGTTTTCCTCCCCTATCGTTTTTGGTCTGCTGCCACAGGTCTCGTTCACTCATTTTGTGTTGCTCGCGTGTCTGATGACCTTTGGGTCATCTTCACCTCATTGCTCGATCTCCGCCACTGGTTCGACGTGCCAGAATCATATACTGCCTCTTGCACCGAGATCCTGTCCACTCCTTTGACGCCCCCCTTCTTTTCCTTACCACATGAGAGTGGTTGATCTGCCTGGCGCAGACCCGTTTGGCTAGACACAGCGGCATTGCATTATCGAATATTTGTACACTTGGAAGGTTTTCTCGTCAAACACCACCTCGAGCAATGAGCGTGGAAAGGCGCGGCAACGCGTCCAAATTCATGGGAGTGTCACTCCGCAGTCTGTCTTTGGGCACAGTACGAGGAACCCTACGTGAATCCTCCATGCATTCACAGATTGACTGATTATTTGTACAGTTGACGGTCCAATTTTCCACTTTCATTTTAGTGAGTCGGAAGGGATCTTTCTGCGTCCTGTACACATTGAACTGACTGGTCTCGCACAGCTCCTCCATTATTCCAGGGTTATGCCTACTATCGACGGACATCGCTATCTTCCTTCGACGGCCGTCTTTCTCGTTGAAGCCTTGAAACTGGCTGTATGCCTGACGATATCTCTCTACGAAGTCTCCCTCTCCGTCCCCCGATCAATGCCAGCAACCTCGCTCCTCGGGACACTAGGTAGCGCCGTTTTCACCGGCGACAGTTGGAAAATGGCCTTTCCGGCCGGGCTTTACACGCTGGCGAACAGCCTGCAATACGTTGCAATATCCAATCTGGACGCCGCGACCTTCCATGTCACGTACCAATTCAAGATCTTTGTGACCGCCGTGTTTAGCGTTTTGCTTCTGCGGAGGACCATTTCGGGAAGACAGTGGCTGTCCTTGATCCTGCTTATGCTGGGAGTTGCGATTGTCTCACTTCCTCACGGCTCGTCAGGGTCCTTAGCCTCAAGCCACCATACGAGGATCTACCTTCCACGGTCGTCCAATCCTTTGCGAGAGCACTTTCGGATGACAGAACCTGGTTCCCACCTCAAAAAGAGATCAGCAACGTACGAGGGCATAGAAGAAGACGAGCTCGCCTTGGACACTCCCGGGATGGATGCCTCTGTGGGACTGTTTGCGGTTCTCGGCGTTTGCATGTGTTCAGGGCTTGCCGGAGTGTACTTTGAAAAGGTCATCAAGGAATCGCCCAAAAACACATCGCTCTGGATCCGAAATGTGCAACTGTCGATATATTCCCTATTTCCGGCCTTCTTCATCGGAATCGTTTTCCTTGATGGCGAAACAGTGGCAAAATATGGCTTTTTCGCGGGTTACAACTGGGTGGTGGCTGCATCAATTGTCATCCAATCCTTTGGCGGCATCGTTGCGGCGTTCTGCATCTTTTATGCCGACAATATCTCAAAGAACTTTGCTGTTAGCATCAGCATGGTCCTTAGCAGCCTGGCGAGCTTTATGTTCTTTGATTTCGCCATGACCGGACATGTATGCAATTATGATTTGTTTGGTCTGTTCACCACAACTAACGACTTCCAGTTCTTGATCGGAGCCTCGATAGTACTCATCGCTACCTGGGTCTATAACACCGAAGAGGCCCGGCTACCCCAAAGCCCCGCGGTTGTGGTCAGTGGGCATGAGAAAATGTCGCTCAATGGTACTGCGGCGTTAAACGATATGTCTATCCAGATCCCCAAAACCCCTTTGATTCAAGAAGAAACAGCTCTGGCGACTTCAAGACCGGGCTCACCAAGTCACAAAAAGAGGAATAAAGAACCTCTAGGCTATTTTGCGAAGCATCGTGACTGATTCGGGACTCGGTCGCTGGATCAGATGCTTATGATTGGATATGAAAGGATAGACTTTGGATATACCCCCTTGGAGGAGGGATGAATGCTGCTACACGATCAGCGATGACATACTAGCCAGATAAACTGGTGCCAACGAGCAGACGGGGGCTCGCAGCACCTTCTCTCAGCACTGAGGAGTAAGTGACCACTTCACTGCAGGACGTGTTTGGAGGAGGAAGGCTACTTGCAGAGAGGAAAACAGAAAAGAAAAGGGGCACGGTCACGTGTTCCTGTTTGGCTGTCTATCGCACCTGCCCATTGAGACTTTGACCTGCGCGTCGCCTGCCTGCATCGTCCTTCCAGTCTGTTTGAAAATATCTTTCACTTTGACGTCTCTGTCATACGGTCACCCAAGTCTTCTCTCTATCCGTTGCATCCCCTTTTTATGGAACCCTTGCCTCGATTCGTGTCATGGAAAACGTCAGACGCCTTCCTGCTGGCCGTCGACGAGATGCCCTGTCCGCCTCCACCCGTGATCCCAGCACGGCACGGATTCCTGAATCTGGATCCTATCCAAATGCCTCTCACAGTGTCACGCAGCGACAATCGCCTTATTTTGCCCCACCCAGCCATCTTGAGGCTGCTCTGTTCGACCCATACTCGCCTCCTGAACTTGACAGACCACTTGACGACTTTGGTAAGTCGGATATCCGTCGCCTTGTCCATCAAGACACTAAAACCCACTCAGACAGAGCTCTGCTCCAGGAGAGCTCACAACTCCCAGGACCAGCCGCAGGACCGAGCGTACCCCGAGTCACTCTTCCTCGCAAACCTCTCACGCCGTTAATGACCAGCAGTACAAGGAGATTTTTACAAGGTGAGACATAGTTGGCAACCAATAGCTAGGCTCTCACGACAGATCTAGATGACTTGCATGACAAGTCCGACCTCCAAAGATCCAGCTCCTCGCCCACCGCCCCTTCCAGCAGTCCCACAGTGTCTTTCCTCCAGAACCGTCAACGTGACAGAACGAACGAAACCCTGTCAAGTAAGATGTACAGCTCGAGGGCATATGACTTTTCACCTGAGGAGGCCGGGACCTCCTCGAACATGACTTCTGAAAACACGAGAGCCAGCCAGAGATCATCGCTGGGCTACAAACCTACCTCAGCACCGCCTATTATCCAAGGGATTCGGCTGGTCCCGGTGACAGCACTACCAGACCGAGTTCGTTCGGTATTCAAGTTTGAGTTTTTCAACGCTATCCAGACAAAATGTTTCGAAAGTGCCTTCCAGTCAGATGACAACATTGTCGTGTCAGCCCCGACTGGGAGTGGAAAGACTGCTATCATGGAGCTGGCTATCTGCAGGCTGGTAGTACAATCCAAAGGTCGAGATTTCAAAATTGTATACCAGGGCCCTACCAAGTCATTGTGTTCAGAAAGATATCGTGATTGGCAACACAAGTTCGATGCTCTGGGTTTGCAATGTGCCGAACTTACTGGTGATAGTGACCATAATGACTTGGCCCATGCACAGAAGGCAAACATTATCATCACCACTCCAGAGAAATGGGACAGCGTGACTAGAAAATGGAAGGATCACACTAAACTGATGCAGCTTGTCAAACTCTTTCTTGTCGATGAGGTACACATACTCAAGGATGAGCGCGGCGCTACCCTCGAGGCTGTCGTGTCGAGGATGAAGTCCCTGAAATCCGATATCAGAGTGGTGGCATTGTCAGCCACTGTGCCGAATTCGGAGGACGTGGCAATCTGGTTAGGAAAAGACTCGACGTCGCAACACTTACCTGCGCGCAGAGAGGTCTTCGGAGAGAGTTTTCGACCTGTCGAGCTCAAAAAGCATGTTTACGGATTTGAGGCGAAAGGCAATGATTTCGCTTTCGAGTCGATGTTGACAAACCAGTAGGAAATTCCTATGAGCGCGGAATGCATACTGATATCAACCAGGATACCAGACACCATCGCAAAGCATGGACGGGCCAAACCCGTCATGGTCTTTTGCTCTACTCGGCGGGCTTCAGTCACAACGGCCAAGGTGTTGGCGGATATGTGGTCAACTGCACATCCTCTACAGCGTCTCTGGAAAGGGCCCGGAAAGCAACTCTCCTTGATGAATCCCGATCTCAAAGGTATGCTCCTGATCGCACTACTTCTCACAACTTGTCACGTGCTAACTATATCTCAATAGCTACGTCCGCCGCAGGTGTAGCATTCCATCACGGCGGTGTGAGTGCAGCAGATCGGCACATTATCGAGAATGCATTTTTGGAAGGGGAGATCAACGTCATATGTAGCACTTCCACGTTGGCTGTGGGCGTGAATTTGCCGTGCTATCTCGTCATTCTGAAAGGAACAAAAGTGTGGACTGACAATGGCTTAAAAGAATATGCAGATCTGGAGGTCATGCAGATGCTTGGTAGAGCAGGAAGGCCGCAGTTCGAAACTTCAGCATGTGCAGTTATCCTTACTCGGAAGGATAAAGTTGCGCACTACGAAAAGATGGTTTCAGGTGAAGAGATGTTGGAGAGTTGTCTTCATCAAAATCTTATCGAGCACCTCAACGCAGAACTTGTCCTCGGAACAGTGCACGACGTTACAACGGCAAAGCAATGGCTGGAGAGCACCTTCTTTTACGTCCGTCTGGAAAAGAATCCCTCACACTACCAATTTCGAGAAGGGGTCAAGGAAAGTACAAGGGATGAATTGCTCGAGCAACTGTGCAAGAATGATGTCGCGATGCTTCTGGACACGGGGCTGGTGGCACAAAATACTCGATTGACCTCAACAGTTTTCGGTGAGGCAATGGCAAGGTATTACGTCCGTTTTGACACAATGAAGTCATTTATGCAGTTACCTCCCAAGGCGAGGATGTCGGAAATCGTACGTGGCATTCCCATGGTGAGGGTTTGACTGACCGGTCGTGACAGCTCTCGGTTTTGGCCCAAGCAAAAGAATTCCGCGAAGTACGAATGTTAGCTGGAGAGAAATCATTTTACAAAGAAGTCAACAAAGCTCCAGAAATCAAGTTCCCAGTCAAGGTCGATATTGCTCTTCCCGCCCACAAGATCACGCTGCTAATCCAGTCCGAACTGGGTTGCGCAGCGTTACCTGACGGCGAAAATTATAAAAGACATCTTCAACAAAGCCGAATCGATAAGATACCCGTCTTTGCTCACGCAAATCGCCTGATCCGCTGTATAATTGACTGTCAAATTCATTTGGAGGACGGAATCTCGACTCGTAACGCACTTGAATTAGGACGCAGCATTGCGGCACGCGTCTGGGACAATACCGCCAGTCAGTTAAGACAGGTTGAAGGTCTTGGTGAAGTTGCTGTTCGAAAATTGGCATCGGCATCGATCAATAGCATCGACACGCTTCTCAACACAGAGCCCTCTCGCATCGAAGTTGTCCTTGGGAAGAACCCTCCTTTTGGCCACCAACTGCTGCAAAAGCTGGAGTCATTTCCCAACCTGAGAGTGTCGGTCAAGGAGACCGCTCGAGAACTTAAAGCTGGTGACGGTGTCAGGATCATAATGACAGCAGAACTCGGATTTCTGAACAAGCAGCTGCCCCGGACTTTCAACAAGAAGATGTTCTCTGTCTGCTTTTTAGCCGAGACATCTCATGGAACTCTTGTGGACTTCAGGAGGTTTAGCCCAAAAAAGCTTGAGAATGACGAGCATGTGGTTTTGAGTCTACACCTCACGAGGCCGACTAGCCATGTCAACTGCCATGTAATGTGTGACAACATTGCAGGTACCAGCAGGTACGCCCAACTAAACCTATCGAATATTCCGACCTCAGTGTATCGCAAGTCGCGAGCCCAGGGGGATGTGCAGCCAGAAGAGAATGAGGGCCACGTTGGGATATCTAGGTGCTGGAACGAGGAATTCGACGATGGTGGAGTCAACGACCAAGATCTGCTTGCTCTCGAAGTTGATGAGGCCAGAATTGAAGTGATCGAGGATATCGATGATCTTGTCAACAAAGAAACGGAGAAGAGGCGGGACAAGTCATGGAAGGAGGTTCCCCAGCAACGCCGAGACACAAATCCAGAACGCGCAGAAGATTCCGATGTTGCTGCCTTCCGAGAGCCTGTACAACTTCCAAGCGGGCGCTGGACTTGCCAGCATGATTGCAATGAACGGGACAAGAAATGCAAACACCGATGCTGTAAAGAGGGAGTGGCAAAGCCTAGGCGTGGGCTCAAATTCGGACCCAAACTCAAAGAAGAAGAGAAGGTCCAAAAGAAGATCACTGCGGTGATGAAGCCGAAAATCAAGCAAGAGAGCGTATATCGCACGCAGTCGGCAGATATGGCCACCGCAGATCTGGAAAACAGGCGAGAACAATATGGGACAAGCATTTCCAAGGATGCACGGTGTTCCAGAAGCCGAAGTCCTGGGGACATTCTGCCATCCAGCGACAGGAAGCATATCGAAGAACCTGCCGCGAAAAGACCGAAACTATCAGAGGGTCGAGAACGAGAGGACAGTGAACATCACTCCAAAAATACCGACTTCAACTCTGATGACTCGCTACAGTCTGCTCAGCACAGCTACTGTAAAAGAGGAAAGGGACACAACCCGAGTACCGCAAAGACCAACACTGAATTTTTCGACCTATTTTCCGACGAAGACGACAATGACCCTTTCACTCTCCCTCTTGGTGAGCCAGGAGTATTTGATGAACTCGACGCCGGGAATAGCTCTAAAGTCTTACCAGAAACCAACTCCTTCGGCACAGATCTTGGTGGCCAGGACTGGCTCCCAGCAGAGGACGAACCCGCGGATTTCTTGACCTCAGATGTTGACCTTGGGTGTTTTGATGCACCACTCGAGCATGTTGCTATGGCTGATGTCGTCAAGAAAAAGAAAACCTCTGCCACCATCCAGGGCAACTTTACAACTCCAGGGTTGCCAGACCTTGCAGATGGGGCGAACTTCCGTGATGACTTCTTTCTTTCTCCTGCTAATTTCGATGAATCTTCAGCAGGCCATCCTGGAATAGTAGATGATTCTGACAGTCTTCGATACGAGGATATTACCTCGTTTGCAGATACGCCGGTTGAATCAGTGGTGAAAACCCCGGAAGGCACCGAGCTCATGGACGTACCGGTAGACGCTGAAAATGGTCTTGCGGAGACTTCATGCAAAGAATCCGACTCTCAGCGGGAAAAGCGACTCTACGAAGAAGACCAGAAGAAAAAGTGGGAAGGAATTGATCAGTGGATATATGATGAGTTCCACGAGTACGTGGAGCTTGTTTAGTAGACGCTGATTGCCCAGTGCAATCTAGGGCAGCAGAGGATGGATGCTGAACGAATCCATCATGTCCAGGCAACGTCACCTGGAACCATGGTGGGGTGTCTCAAGATGAGTGGGCAGCCGATGAGTGCAGATGAATAAAGAAGATGGGAAGAGAAGAAAAGAAATGCAGGTGGATTTGGGCGACATTGTGCAGAGCTCATAGTAGCGACGAGTCGAGGACAGCTTTTCTCATACAAGATGACATTAAGGATGGCAGTTAAAGGGAACTCTCGATGCGTATCTCAAGGAGCAAGCGAAGAAAGAATGTTTCGACTGATACCCGGTCTGGCCGGAGGGTTTCCTCAAAGGTACGAGTGATGATAGCGAGAATACATTTTGAGTCAACGTCAACATTTGTTCTAGAAAACGTGGCCCTGGACATGGCATGTTTGTCATCCAGTCCCGGATCATCAAGGATGCCGTCACACATAACAGGCAGTCTATGGATAGATCCGCACTGTGTGAAAGAGATGCGGGAAACCCGTCGTGGTTATGGTATGGTGCCCTTCCAGGAACACGATGTCCCGTCTAGGAAGCACCAGCCGACATGCTCCGGTTGGTCACGAATCGCCACCAGCCTCTTGGCGAGCTCACCTCGCCCCTCACCCGGCCGGCGCCGCTTTTAACACGCTCACCCCCCCCCCCCCCCCCGGCTCACCTATCCGCGAAGGCACGTGAGATCACTCCCCCCAGACTTGCAGTTCGTGGTAGGGAAATAGCGGCCTCCCTCCGCCCTTAACCCCAATTGTCCGTCTCCATAGATGGACATTGGCATTCTCCGTGTTTGGCGCAATACGTCTCCGTCGATATTGCCCTCTAAAGAGTGCTTCACGGTGTGCTACTTCCTCTCAAACAGCGTCCTGCTCCTAGGGCACTCTTGGAAGGGCTGATCGTAGCAGAGACATAGACCTGGTCTCAAGATGTCCGATGACAGTTCCAAGCCGGCCGCATGCGATCGCTGCCACAAGAGAAAATCCAAATGTGATCGGCTGAGGCCCGCGTGCACCTCGTGTGCCAAAGGAGGGACTCAGTGTACCTACAGCGCCAAAGACCCTGCCATACGACGCCAGGACATGGAAAAGCTCGAGAGACGTCTTCGGCAAATGGAGGCTAAAAATGAAGCCTTGACCAGCCAACTACGAGAAGCTCAACGACTTGCGAGCGTCGGCAGTCCCTCTACCGCTGTGCATTCGACTTCCGGCCGGACGCAAACGATGACAAACAACAACGAGGTGACGAGCCAAGTCTCGTCCCTCAGCCTCGGTGTGGGTGGCGAACGACAATACTTGGGACCAACCAGCGGGCTGCTCCTTGCGAGCCTCCTCCAAGTCGACGGCCGTACCAGAGGCCGGAACGCCCAGGACGACGACGATTACAATGCAGCTCGCACTTTTGGGTCGGCTGCGCGCGGTGAAACGGTCACTCCAGACATCGGAGCGCTGCCTCCGGAAAATCTCGCCCGGAGTTTGGTGAGGGCGTATTTGGCCCATGATCATCTGTGCTATCCATTCCTTCACCCCAAAACACTAATCAACAGCTTGGAATCCATCTATAGTGATATCTCTTTTTATCGGGCTCACCACGTCGAAGCATTTACCCTCGACATGGTCCTCGCCATCGCCACAGCTCAGGTCTCAAAGTTTGACTGGCAAGTTATGCCAGATGCAGAGACACACCATGACCGCGCCATGAGTCGGCTCGCTCCCGTTCTCGGCAAGGGTGGAAGTGTCGCCCTGCAAGCTGTCCTTCTAATGTGCCAATATCGAATTGGGAGTGGTCTTTACGATTCCTCGGCGAGCTTGTGGCATCTAGTGGGCACGGCAGCAAGGATGTGCTTCGAGCTAGGTCTGCACCGAGAGTCCGTCTACTGTTCACCAGCCCTAGGTACTTCCGACCTCGAAGAGAACGCCTTTGACGACTCAGAGGTGCGGAGGAGATGTTTCTGGTGCACGTTGGCAATGGATAGAATAACGAGCATCACCTTAGGACGGCCGCTAGCAATCCACTTGGACGACTTTGACACTGAACTGCCACGTGCCGAAGCCAACATTGTTCTCAGCCCAGACAACAGTCTGTCACCCACAGAGCCCGTGGGGAGTCCTCCTTGGCAACTCCGAACAGCGATCTTCCTGCAGATTGTGCGCTACCGTATCATCTGCGGGAAGATCCTCAGCTCTTTGCACAACGCTATCCGGTCCCGACCGACCTCCTCAATCGACTACGAAGACCGGCAGAGAATGCTGTTTGAGGAGCTGGAATCTTGGCGATCTGACACCGAGACGTTGCCTCTCGGAGGCTCTCTGAGCGAGTCGGATCGCTCCAGCTTCAGGACTCGGGAATGGTATGATCTGCTGTACCTGAATGGAATCTTGATGTTGTACCGACCTTCGCCATCTATCCACGAGCCCCCCCAACACGGCGATAGCCTTCAACGAATCCTAGAGGCGGCGCAGAAAGCCATTGGTATCTATGCATATCTTCACAAGTCGCGTCGCATCAACTACTCTCCGATCACCCTTCACTCCGTTTTCATCGCAGGTCTCTCCTATATCTACGCCATCCGGTCGCATTTGCGACTTCGCCGGCGCGACCTTACGAATGGTGTCGGTCCCTCAACACCAAGGGCGACCGGTTTGTCCACCGATCCAAGCATTACTCAGATAGTCAACACTACGCGTGACTGCTCCAATGTCCTCGTCGCTGTCTCTGAGCGGTGGTCTACAGCCCGCAATGCTCATCAGGTGTTTGGGAGACTCAGTGACGCGCTGTTGACCGATGTGGTTGAATTTCAGAGCCAGACACGAAGCGCCCTCAACAGCGGTATGCCTCTTCAGGGCGTGCTGCATCAGGAGCAACCTCGAAATATGTCGCAGACTGAAATGACTCCCACATTGGGACAGCACTTGTTCTCATCTACGGCCTTGAATGGCATGGATTTCAGTTATCAGGATTGTTTCAATGACTTGCAGGATCTTTATAATGGCTACGACTTTGCCAACGTTTCCATGATACAAGCCAGTCAAGATTGGCTGTTTGAGATACAGACGCTCGATCACAGCATGGGCGGAGTGGGTCACTGACCGAGAGGAAGCGTTGCTGTGTCCACACACGTGCACCCTTATATTCGGCCTCGGTTGAGAAACTGTAACGGGATATCGACATGCCTACTCCTCAAGTATTCGCCAATGCCTTTACCAAGTCCATCGATGCGATCCGAAGAGGCGATGCCACCGGAGAGGTTGTCCAGAACACGACTGAAAGTGCGTCAACGCCTGAAATACGGAGGTGAGGGATGACATGGTGGTACTTACAAATGGACAGCAAGGATTTTGGGGAATTCAACTCGCTCGACTCGTCGAGAAGGATCGCATTTGAACCAGTCTTTTCCAAACAGCTCCTTGAGCTTCTTCACAGTCAGGAGTGTTTTCAGCCAGGGGTATTCGTCCTCGTGGCGGACGAAAAAGCCGATGTTTGAATTGTCCGCCTTGTCACCTGACCTTGCGTGCACAATACTACCTAAAGGGACCCTCGCTGTAGGACCTAGGGAAGCCAAGTCGATAGGATCGGCCGACTCGTACGATGGCCTCACGGCTGGATACTCGGCTGTCTTCTTCGTGGTCGGAATCTCGAGCAGCCTTCCGTTTCCCAGATCAACCTGATGATGGATGATGGAGAGTGGAATGACAGCGGGGAAAATCTCCATGAAGGGCTTTGGATCCATAGTCCGGAAGTCCAGGTTCATATGGTAGCCGGGGTAACTTTGCATCCTCAGCGCGTATATCGGAGTCTTAAAGTGGGGAGCGACAATGTCTTCCTTCCTCCGGGCCTGTGCAAAGACTCGCAACTGAAGAGTCCCAGCCTGCTGGCTCTCGGGGTTTTCTACCTCGGATCCATACAGCTCAATGCTCAGCTTGCTGAATCTGTGGTTCTGGAATACGTGGTTCAGCTGCTGCTTCATCATTTGCGCCTTCGCATCAACGTCGAGTCCATTGATGAAGAAGGTCGCCTCGGCCTGGTATCCACCTGGTGCAGCGAACATTGCTTTGGTGGTCGCCGGCGGTGGAAGGCCGACAATACCTATGACCCGGACTCGATCCTCCGAGCCCTCCTCTGCCTCAATCTGAATATTTGAGAGATCCGCCACAACATCAGGGTTGAGGTAGAGGTGGCCTTGCAATTCATACAACGTCTGCGCCTTGACAGTCTCGGTCGTGACATGGCCACCTCCTGTCGATGTCTTCGTGATGATACATCCACCTCGAGCATCAATCTCGGCAATGGGAAATGCCACGTCAACGAGGTCGTCCAGAAACTCCTTGAACCCGGAGAAATTGGCACCCACAACGTAGGCGCCACATTCGATCAAGTGGCCGGCCAGCAGTGCCCCCGCCAGCTCGTCGTACTGACCTTCCAGATCCCAGCCAAAGTGCCACGCGGCAGCACCCATGACAGGCGATGCGTCCGTACACCGTCCACATATCACGATACTTGCGCCAGCCTTGAGAGCCTCTACTATGCCTCGACATCCGATATATGCGTTTCCACAAAAGGGCTCTAGATTCCAATCGTCCAATGTCCGCTCCGCATGATCCAAGTGAGGAAAATGGAGGTCTTTCCGCCGCTCCGGGTCGTGGATCAAATTCGAAATGTCGTCGCCGAGCACTGCAGCCACGGTGATCTGATCATGTCCCTTCGATCGGAGCAGCTCGCGTACTTTCTTCGTGAGGGATTGAGTGTTCAAAGCTCCGGCATTGGTGACAACCTTGATTCCCTTCGCAACGATATCGTCGATACACTCCTCGAGTTGCATGAAGAATCCGTCTTCGTAGCCCAGTTCCCGGTTGTCCTTCTTAGCAATAGCGTTCCAGGCAATGTTCATCTCGGACAGCCAATCCCCCGTAATCACGTCGATGTTGTTTTCGGCCACCATTCTAGCCATGGCAGTGGGCATGTCGCCCGTTGCACCGGAAACATTTCCAATGCGGATGGAACCTTTGCTTATCATGCTGAAATGGTCGAGTTGCGGGCTCAATTGCAGGTTGGGGGTCATGATAAGTACTATTCACAACATATCTGAACAAGTTCTTCCAGCTAGAGGCGGTCGACGAATCTTGGTCAATGGGCACACAGTGTGGCCAAGCTCCACCAGACGCAGTACGATTCCTGCCCGACTTGTGGCACGCCTTGCAAGGTACGGACTTGGTTAGATGATTGATTCCCTGGTCTTGGTCCGGATCCACCATCGGTGTCAAGGCCGAAATGCTACTCTTCTCCTTTTCTAGCACATCCGGAGGGCTTCAATCGAAAGAGGATCTGCCTAACGGGGGTGGCCAGACCCGGAACTCATTCCTTCCTGGCGTATCTTTTCTTGAAGCAGTTTTCTACTGGCGGTTTCAAGGGAGCCTATACATGCATGACTACAGAATGTCATGACGAATCTAACAACAACTTCCTGGACTCCATCATTGAGGCTTCAAAACGACCTTTCTCGCCAACTGCTTCTCAAAAATTTCATATCCATGCGCTGCCTCCGACAATGGTAGCCGATGTGTTACCATGCTCGCGAGCTTTGCCTTGTTTGCCATGACAATCTCCAATGCCTCGTCGAAGACTGCGCTCACTGGTGCACGTCCAAGATTGATGCTGTAGAAGATCAGCCGACCATCGAAGAGCAGGTCGAGAGAACTTGACTTACTTCAGGTTCTTTTGGTAGCATTCGAGAGCAGTGAAGGGAAGATCCCCTTGGTGGAAGCCAATCGACGACAAGACACCACAAGGTCTCAGCATATCAAAAGCCGATCTCAATGCCGACTTGCTGCCAACCACTTCAATGATAGCGTCGGCACCGCGGCCATCCGTTGCTTTGTTTATCGTTTCTGCTATGTCGTCCTGGCCCAATTTGAGCGGAATGCCGCCCATGTTTGCCGCCTGTTCTAGCCTGTCGTCGACACTGTCGACGACGTAAATCGTTCTCACCCCTTTGGATCGCGCGGTCAGGATTGCGCAGAGGCCTACTGGCCCGCAGCCGAGGCAAACAAAAACTGCCTCTGTGAGTGATTGCGACTTTGACAGGCGGCTTTGGCTTTTTTCAAAGGAGTAAGCATCACTTCCGTTCCCCAGATCAGGCGACCGAAAAAACTCGATAGCTCTCATGGCGCCATAGTAGCCAGTGGGGAAGATGTCGCACATCATGATCAAAAGGTCATCCTCGACATTTTCCGGCGTCGCCCTGAGTGTGCCGTCTGCACACGGCACCCGGACGTACTCAGCCTGCCCTCCAGCTAGACCTTGGGTGCCAAATGGTGCGAACCCTTTAGGGCACCGATTGGGATAGCCGTGTTGGCAAAACCAGCAAGACATGCTGTTCAAACATTCGCGTTGCTTCAGCCACTTCATTTGTCTTGCAAAGGAGCCCACTTTCCAGTGTACAACGCCAACTATGACTTACCAGACAGGAGAGAACGTGGAGACGACTTTCTGCCCAACGTTGAAGTTGCGAACCTCTGGTCCGATCTTTTCGATATATCCCACGAATTCGTGTCCCTGGATGTGATGCCCACTGTTAGTATCTGAGCACTGAATAACATCCAAGGCAAGGCTGGACAAGATTCAATCACCATGATATGTCCGACTGGAGTCTTCTGGTGACCACGATACATGTGCAATTCCGAACCACAGATGCCTGCCGATGTCACCTTGACGATGGCGTCCGTGGGTTCTGTCACAGTTGGTATTGGACGCTTCTCCACGTCTATTGTCCAAGGCCCATTGAATATAACGGCGTCCATGTCGTGTCCTATGTTCTCCATTGAGGTAATGACCATAGATTCCCTGTTATCTTGTCTCAGTGTCGAAAATGGGTATAATCGGCCTTGAGAGTGCTTGAAGGAGAGCAGATCTGTTACAGCTTACAGCATTTAGGTTTTCGTTCAGCGATAGGCACATGAGATATGATTCACCTGGAGCCTACGTCGGCCCTTCTACACTCTGAGAGCAGCATGGGAAAACACCTGAATGAGGGTACCCCCCAAACGCCGGCTACGGCGGCAACTTTGGCCGAAGGCTACATTGGGAACAGGATGCGACAAGGCTCAGAGACACATTCTGCTTGCTCGGTGGATCCATGTCATCCATCGCGGGATCCAGTCTGGCAAAGGAATACCACCCCCCCAGGGCCAGTGTTGCTCGGCCGTCGTAAAGCTTAGTAGATAACCATTCCCATAGCCAGTGTAGATAATACTATTACAAATGGAAGAAAAGCCAGTGACGGACCCAGATTTCACGCGGCACGGATGCCGACGCCGCAGTGCTGATCGGCTGGAGCGCCGACACCTTCGGAAATTCTTCCTTCGACCCACAGATGACCCCCCCCCAAACATGGGCAGCTGGGAAGTTTCGCCATGGCGATGATGAATGGAATGAGACGAAACTTTATAGAGCGAACCCGCAAAGCCATCATGAGACATCAGCCGACCACAGACAGAATGGAGTCCCGCCATAGTCTATTGGTTGGCACACGGTACCGAATTGCCAGCTCTAGGAATGCTTGCCATATGGGACGTGTGCACACTTGCCGGTCGGCCAACGGCGTCAATCCTCGAACAAATGGAACTGACAAGAGCAGTGAACATCAAAGTACTCCTCCTTCCAAGTCGAGTGACTCTTCAACTTCCAGCACCGGTTTCTAGATAGCATTCGAAGATGGTGGGAGCAAATTTCCCGACTCCAAAGCCCAAGGACCTGACTTGTTTTTACATCAACGGTCGATACGTCAAACCGATCTGCGAGGAAACGTACATCTTGCGAAATCCCAAGGATGATACAATCGTGGCCGATGCGGTCCCCATTGGCGGACCTGAGGACGTCGACGCAGCAGTTGCAGCGGCCGAGGAAGCCTTTACTGGACCATGGAGCAACTTCACGGCCGCACAACGATCAGAGTGTCTCCGCAAGCTCGCTGACCTGCTGGAAGACAGCCTGGTTGACATCCTGACCCTGGATTCAATGACCACGGGGAATCCAGTTTCCCTTATTCCGACACGTGAGAAGACTTATATCAAAAATAATTTGCTATACTATGGTACGCAAAGGGACTGCACTCTATGGGGGCGAAGGGTTCTATCTGATCTGTGAAAAAAAAACAGCCGGGTGGACGGACAAGCAAAGAGGAGACTACTTTCCAGCCGACGATGGGTTCGTCAAACTGGTGCGCCACGAGCCTTTGGGGTGAGTATGCGGTCATGATCTGGACGATCACCACAGGGGCAATTGTAAACATTGCTGACGAGGCCAGCGTGTGCGTGGGAATCAACCCGTACAACTCTCCGGTCGCGTCATTCATCATCAAAGCCGCACCATGTCTCGCAACGGGCAATGTGTTGATCATCAAGCCTTCGGAGAAATCTCCCTTCGGATCCTTGGCCCTGGCTCCCTTGTTTGAGCAAGCCGGCTTTCCAAAGGGTGTGGTGCAGGTGGTGTGCGGCGATGGTCGAACTGGGGCCCTCTTCGCCCAACACATGCGTGTGAGGAAGGTATGGAGTATATTTCTTTTCCAGCCGGGGGGTGACTTGGGATCCCAGTGTGGCGGGAACTCTTCGCTGAAATTAGTGAACGCCAACAACAGATAAGCTTCACGGGCAGTATTGCAACGGGGAAGAAGATTCAGATCGCGGCGGCAGCGAGCAACCTCAAAAGAGTTACCTTGGAGCTTGGTAAGAGCTTCCCTTGTTACCGAGAATCCAACTTCGCTCACTAGAGGACTGCCAGGGGGCAAAAGTCCAGCTGTGATTTTTGAAGACGCGAATATTGAGAACGCCCTTACGTGGTAGGAAGTCCGGGCACTGAACATGTGCGAAAAAGAAGGGGCTAATATGCGAATTTCAGGACCATTAACGGGATTCTGGCTCGGTCCGGCCAGGTCTGCGTTGCAGCGTCGCGAATCTACGTTCAGAAATCGATCGCGGCCAGGTTTATCGAAGCTTATAGCCAGCGGATGGAAGCAGCGGCTTCGCAACTAGGTGACCCGCAAGATCCCCGAACGACGCTGGGGCCTCTTGCCGATGCAGCCAGTTTCTCCAAAGTCCAAGCGATGATCGAGCAAGGCAAGACCGAAGCCGAACTCGTAGTTGGAGGCGTCAGGCACGGCCCTGACGGCTGCTTCATGAAACCGACAGTATTCCTGCATCCTAAGCCGGACGCGGAAATCTACAAGACCGAAGTTTTTGGACCGGTTGCAGTCATTCGGACTTTTGAGACCGAGGAAGAGGTTCTCAGGCTGGCAAACGACACAGAGTATGGGCTGATGGCGGGGGTTTTCACCAGAGACATCAATAGGGCGCTGAGGGTGTCTAGCAAGATTGATTCCGGGGTCTGTGGTATCAACTGCATCTCTTACATGAGCATTCAGGCCCCGTTTGGAGGGAGAAAATCGTCTGGGATCGGCAGAGAGTTTGGCGAATACGTGAGTTTTCCACTCCCCCTGACGGTGGCAAGCTGTGGGAGTGTTTTTGATCAGTGCAGGCTAACTTCTGGTGTTGGAACACAGGCTTTGCGATCTTTCACCGAGCCAAAGACGGTGCTGATCAAGTAAGTCTGGGAACTCGAGAGCTGGAACCAAACGCTAACGCACGAAAACAGCATGAACTCGTGAGAGCAACATCAAGGGTGTTCTGAGGGACTGGATGTTCTAGAGTGGTTCTTTAGCTGAAGAAAAGATACAACCTGTGCCCCCCAGCCCTTCCACCCCCTGTGCCGCTTGGATGTTTCAGCCTCGTGAGCCCCCGCCTGCCAAGCCCTTGCCATGTATGAATTATGCAGTGTTGAAGGCACCGCCAAGGCGAAACTCATTGATAATTATTGGTGACTGTTTGAACATGACAACACCATCTAATGTTCTCAAGCCCGCAAAGTGATGTGCATTTCGACCCGGTCGGTGGAGGCTGGGTGGGTCGTCTGGCGGCCGGGAGTCCGAGACGAACATTGTGGCTCGGCTTGTGTACACACCTCTGGTCTGTTTGGTTTGAAATACCAGCCCAGGAACCCCCCAAGTTCATCATCATCAAAAGATTTATTGGTTACACCATGGCTGACCAGACCTACAAGCAGGTGAAGCTGCCCCAGTTTGATGATCTTCCTCTGGATGCTTCTCATCCGCCTCATTCGGCATGGTTTCTTTTTGGCCAGGACGATCAACTAGGATGTCTCAATCACTTGACGCCTGAGCGTGTCGCCCATGCGGCGGCCAATGAAATCAGGACCGGCGTTTCGGTCGGACTGAACTGGGGCCTGGACCAGATGAAGGTGCCGCCATTCTACCGAACCAAGTTGAAGCACGAGATTTTCAGCATTGGGGATTTCATCAATGTGGGTTGGCCGATGGTCAGTGGGTTAGAGACTAACTCGTCCTCGTGCAAACAATACAGGACGACAAACTCGAATTCAATACTCAGACGAGTAGTCAGTGGGACGGCTTCCGACACTGGTCATTTCCAGACGGACGATTCTACAATGGCGTCACTCAAGACGAGGTACGCAGTGGCACTTCGGCACGAAATGGGATTCATGGTAGGCACTCGCTATCGTTCCAGCCCCGAAGGAAAAAGGCGAATCCTCAGGTTGGCAGAGTGGACAAAGCGAGGGATTGTGGGACGGGGCGTCCTGATCGATCATTACTCGTATGTCACCGAACGAGGCGACCCAAACTACGACCCATGGCTCTACCACAAGATCCCCGTGTCCGAAATTGAGGCCATCGCAAAGGAGAAAGGGATCCAATTCCAGACGGGAGATCTTCTCCTGCTACGAACAGGTAGGTAGTGTGCTCGATTGCGCCCACAGACCATGGGGGGGGGATGCCCTTGCTGACGGCTTTCAAACCCCTTTGCCCCAGGCTTTGTCCATCGATATCAAACCATGCCATTTGACGACCTGACGAGCCAGATGGCTCAGCCGGAATATCATTATCCGGGGCTCGAAGGCTCCGAGGAATCATTGCGCTGGCTGTGGAACACTCATTTCGCAGCGGTGGCCGCAGACAGCCCCGGCTTCGAGGCCTGGAGTGCCGGTCTGGGAGACTCGGGTGTGCAATACCGCATGCACGAAGTCATCCTCTCAGGCTTTGGGTTGCCGATCGGGGAGCTCTTCGACCTGGAAGCTCTGGCCGAGGAGTGCAAGAGACAGCAGCGATGGACCTTCTTCGTGACCAGCATGCCCCTGAACGTGCCTGGTGGGGTAGGGAGTCCTCCAAATGCCGTAGCCATCTTTTGATGTCGGAGAAACACGAGCGTTTTGCTTTTGCTAGAGTCTGGGTGGCGTCGCCACGTCTTCGAATACACAACTCACCTTTCATGTCAATACAGATAGATGGCTTTCCCGTGCTCAGGTTCCGCTCCGGCCATCCCAGCGGAGGCTTGCTTTTATGGCTCAAGGCCTTGAATACGCGAAATAAGTGGGGACGTTGATTGTTGTTGAGGCCAAAAGGCGAGAAGGAGTCGAGGTAGTCAACATCGGGCGGCGTGCCGACCGTGGCGGTGGTTCAAGCCGACAAACTTCATGACCAGAGGCCTGGAGAAGAGAGCACCGTCCGCGCCCTCGAGGTGATGATACTCGGCGAGGGAGAAGGTGAGAAACCCCCGACTGCCGTGCTGCTGCTCTCGTTCTCCATCCCGCTCGTGAAAAAAAAAAAAAGGTGAACAAGCTATTCATCTCGGCATTTTTCCTGTTCGGTGCAAAGAGCCGTACCATGATGCCGATTTGGATAACCCAAGGTCCACCTCCAGGACCCAGGACCTTGCCCCCGAGGACTCTATCAGCAAAAACTTTGTTTCCAGTGCTCCGCTCACAGCGGGTCCCTCCGGTTCCGCTGCAATCTAGAGCCGTTCGTGCCACCGCCGACTCGCCTCAAGCGGGTTTTTCTCATCAGCTTGGACGGGGGTTCGACTGAATCGACACCGCGAAGGATGGCGTTTCCGATCCACAGTAGCGGGGGGTTTGCCGATGCCCACGAGGAAGTGCCAGGAGGCATGGAAGCTAGATTTGCGATCCGCAAAAGGAGACAACGACGAAGGGAGACCGCCACGGCGTGACAGCGTGACGGAGTGTGAGCCGACGACGCTCTCATCTCTCTTTAAAGTGCTCCCTTCCCCAGATCCCCCATATGAACACCCCGAGATTTACTCCAGTCTTGAACCGGGAGCCCTCGAATACAACCAGTACACCTGCTACTCTTTGTTTTGGGCAGAACGCTCGCACTCCTCGCTCATCATGGCCCTGTCTCCCTCTGCCATCCGTCTTTTGGTAAGTGGTCTGCTCTGGACGGCGAGACGGAAAATGTATCCTGACCCAAGTGTCCTCGTTAGATTGTGCTCTTCGTCGCCTTGGGCTCTTTGACCTATGGGTACAGCGCTAGCATCATCGCGACCACCCTGGGACAACCCTCGTTCATCGCCTACTTCGAACTCGACACTCGATCGAATGCCACTCAATTGACAGGCGCCATCAATGGCCTGTTCCAGACCGGCGGCCTATTCGGTACCCTCTCCTGCACCAAGCTCCCGGACTGGCTGGGTCGGAGGAAGGCACTGCTGCTGAATGCCGTCATCACTGTCATTGGAGGCGCCCTCCAAGCCGGGAGCGTCGACATCGGCATGTACATTGCCATGAGATTCGTCACTGGCTGGGGAATAGGTAGGTTCTCCTGGGGGCGCCATGCGTGCTTTGGCCCCCGTTTTATTTTCTTTTTAGCAATCCCATCAAACTGAAACCTCGTCGTCATCTAGGTGGGCTCGTCACGCTCGTCCCTCTTTACCAGTCCGAAATTGCACCTCCTCGAATTCGGGGATGGCTCGTGGGCATGCACGGCGTCTTGATCTGCGTGGGTTATGCCGCGGCGAGCTGGATCGGCCTGGGTTTCTACTTTGTCAACGCCAGCGGCGCACAATGGCGACTGCCCCTGGCCATCCAGTGCTTTCCCCCCTTGTTCCTGGCCCTCGGAGTCTTGTTCTTGCCCGAATCGCCTCGCTGGCTCGTCGACCGTGACCGTGTCGACGAGGCGTACAGGTCGTTCAAGGCGGTCCGAGCTGAGAGGACCGACGACATCATCAGCGATGATCTGGCGATCCGAGCAGAGTTCAATCTCCTGCAAGGCCAGATTCTGCACGAAAGGCTGGAAGTGCTGTCGTTTATCGACCTCTGGAGAAAGCCTTCTATGCGAAAGCGGTGCATCGTGGGCTTCCTCGCCTTGTTTGGCTGCCAGGGAACGGCAACACTTGTCATTAACAGTAGGTTCCCCCCCCCCCCCCCCCTCTTCCCGGGGTTCTCGGTGCTTTTTGGGAAATCCTCGAATGCTGACGGTGGGCCTCCCTACCAGACTATGGTCCCTCCCTTTATTCCTCCTTGGGATTCAATACCGTCCAACAGCTGCTCATCCAAAGCGGGTGGATCACTGTTTGTCCCTTCGGTAACTACATCAATGCCTTGATCGTCGATAGAGTTGGCCGTACTCGGTTGCTGGGTGAGTCCACCCCATCTAGCACTGTGTGTGTCCCTTATCCCCCCAAAACTAACGGAGCTCTCACAGTCTTCGGCTTCTCTGGCACCATCCTCGCCCTCATCGGCGAATGCATCACGGTGTCTATTTTCCAGCGCACCGGCGACCGGGGTGTCGCGGGCGCCGCCGTTTTCTTCCTCTTCTTGCACATTACCTTTTTCTCGTGCTGCTGCGACGCAACCTCGTACATTTACGCCGCCGAGATCTTCCCCACGCCGGTCAGGGCCAAGGGGCTTGCTGTCTCGATTTCCGGCCTCTTTATCGCTACCATTATCTTCCTGCAAGCCGCTCCGACCGCTTTCGCCAACATCGGATGGAAATACTACATTGTTTTCATCGTCGTCACCTCTCTCATCACCCTCACCGTGTTGTTCTGGTTCCCGGAGACCAAGGGACTTTCCCTCGAGGACATTGGCGAGCTCTTTGGCGACTCGATCGAACCAACGCAGCTCGACGAAAAGATGCAGGTGCAAGAGGAGACCATCGAGGATCTTGATGCTGGGACGCAGTCAGAGAAACATGTACAATAATCGGTCAGCTCTACGTGATGGGAAGAATCGTGTATCCTAAGGGAAGATCTTCACCTCTTCTTGGATGATAATGATTTTCGCTTGCCCAATTGCCGACGTCAAAACAGAGTTGGGAAGACGGCGGTTCAGAATTACGGCAATGGTTCACGCCAAATTGTTGTTGTTGTTGTTGAGACCCTGAGGGATTTTGTACTAGACTTGAGGGACTGTAGAGCAGGGGAGGTGCCAGTTCGCATTGGCCCCTCAATAGATGACACTTGAACCTTTCGCAAGGCTTGACATTTCCCCGGACGATGCATCGTCTCCTCTTCTTCGTACTGTTGTTAAGCCAATATTTTGAGACGTGTGGCATGCTCTGAAACGAAAAGAAGGGAGGGGAGGGGGGGGGAGGCGCAGCCTGCCCACCCGGCATCCAATCTCTCCCCAATCTAAATAATGTATGTACACACAATCGCATCATCAAGGCAAGAAGAGGTTGAGAGAGACACTCACCGAGACAAAAAGGCTTTCCTTGAGAATGTGAAGGCGAGGCGGAATTCCCATGTGGGGCACAAAACGGGCAATTTGACAGCCTGAGCCGCACGCGAGCTTCCCTACGGGTTTTCCGTCCTTTATATCCGCCAATAAACAAGGTATCATCTCTTTAATAGACAGCGCAGTTTTAAGGTCTCGGAAGGTGTGTGTCACCCAGCCAAGGCCTCGAAGCGTAGAACCAGCGACGCCGCTTTCGAAGGAGAGGGTAGGTCGAAAGTGCCTAATTGCCGCAATCCTGAGCCCCACCCGCGGTGAGTCGCGGTCGAGGGTCGGTCTTTCCGCAGCCAGATGCCAGGACGGGTGATCGCGCATCCCAAAGAGGGGTGCGTTGGGCGTGACTTTACCTTCTCTTGGCTTGTTGTCTCTCCCCGAAATGCTGATCGACGGATGGTACCGGTTGATGGTACCCGGTCTGCTTAATAAGAGATCCAAGAGGGAGAAAACCCTTCTAGATGAAGACTGGCTAGATTCGGTAATAATAATGCATGACCGTGCATGCTTTCGTCCAGGGCACGCTTTGAAATCCCTGCTGTCCTGATAATATAGAGTGTTTGACGGAGAGAACCCTTCTTTGACTTCAGAATGATGTCAATCCTGCGGCGGATAGATCCTTGTGAAGAAAGGACTTCCAAAGCGATGGCAAGTACTGCAGATTGGTAATGCACTCTCTGAACCCAGGTGCAGAGACGTGTATGTAATATAAAAAGACAAGGAACCATGTCTACCTCAAATTCTCTCCAGTGCATCCTCCTGAGTTGTTCGTCTTTCAACATTCAAGTCTCTACTACAAGACCCGAAACATCACAGCCAAAAAACAAAAACAAAAAAAGGCTTCAGAGCGCACTTAGTCCACAATGGTCGAGTTCACAGTTTTCAAAGGCGGCAAGGCTGGCATCGTCCAAGCCACCTCCCAGCGCGAGATTGGTCCGCATGACGTCCTCGTCAAGATCACGCACAGTGGCCTGTGTGGTACCGATCTCCATCACAAGGACATGGACATGGGGCTTGGTCACGAAGGCGTGGGCATTGTCGAAGACATTGGCACGGACGTGACCATGTTCAAGAAGGGCGACCGAGCCGGTTGGGGATACATCCACAACGCCTGCGGGCAGTGCAAGCAATGCCTTCGTGGCGCCGAAACCTTCTGCTCTCAACGGCAGTATTACGGCACGGCCAACTTCGACCAGGGATCCTTGGGCACCCACGCCGTCTGGGTCGAGAACTTCCTGTTCAAGATCCCCCCGGAAATCAGCTCCGAGCACGCGGCCCCCTTGATGTGTGGCGGAGCCACCGTCTTCAACGCTCTCCACCTCCACGGGGTCAAGAGCACCGACCGCGTCGGAGTCATTGGCGTGGGCGGTCTCGGGCATCTGGCCATCCAATTTGCTGCGGCAATGGGGTGCAAAGTGGCCGTCTTCTCTGGGACAGACAGCAAGAGGGAGGAAGCGCTCAAGCTCGGCGCCCATGAATTCTATGCGACTAAAGGCCAAACGGAGCTCAAGGTGTCCCAGCCCATCGACCACTTGCTCGTGACGACCGCCTCGCAGCCCAACTGGGACATGTACCTCCCCATCATGGCACCCTCGGGCACGATTTACCCCCTCACCGTCAGCTCAGGAGACCTCAAGATGCCGTACATGGCCATAGTCATGAACGGTCTGAAAGTTCAGGGTAGCCTCGTGGCCGCGAGGCAGGTCCACCGGGAAATGCTCGAGTTCGCGGCCGTCCACGACTTGAAGCCCATCATTCAGACCTTCCCGCTGACTGAAGGTGGCGTCGACGAAGCCTTTCAGATCTTGGAGAGTGGCCAGATGCGGTACAGAGGGGTCCTTGTGGCATAGATCGGAGGGGCCTGAGTCTATTTTGGCGTCTGGTGGGGATGGGATTTCTGTGTCCGACCGAAGTTAGCTAGTAGTCTGTACCTTGAGGCGCGATGAGATAGAGGAGTTGGGAGAAATCAATATACAATACAATCTTGACCTTTGGTTTTCAGCAACGCACCGCCTTGTATTGTTGTCTCTAGTTGTTTGTACTCGATGACGTAGAATTCGGGTCTCAGGCCGAGGCTGAACCGAAGTCGAGCCGAATCACGTGGATATCGGCCTATCACGTCGATCAACGGCTGTCAACGGCGCCTCAGCGAAGAGTGGATCAGCGTCAAGAAAAAGGAGACGCGTGTCCAGTGGCGTTGATTGGATTAGCATTCCCGGATCTTTTGTTTTTCCGTTTCCGCCCATTGCAACCACGCAGCCCAGCCTCTCGCCTCCCCAAGTTTCTGCTTGAATCTCCCAAGACCAGATTCTGCCTCCTCCTCTCCCACAGAAAAAGAACCTGGCTCGGGCCAAGTCGTCAATGCGGCAACAATGCTGCTGAAGCCCAAGGAGGAGGTGGGCGACAGCCACGCAGACACCGATGTTCGAGGTCTACGCAAGATTCGAGCTCAAAGCCCGTGGACATGGCGACCTCTCACCCTCATTACGACCGCTTTCGCCCTCCTGTCGCTCGCTATCATCGTTCGCTCGTCCCTTCGGTTACAGGTCGACCCGCAAGGATGTGTCATGTCGATGATGGCCCCGACCTACATCAAGCTCTCGGGATTTGACACAGAACACTCGCGGTTTGCAACCAAATATTCGCTGTATCTGTATCGGGAAGAGGGGGTCGACGAATACACAAAGGATAACATTGGGTTGCGAGGTGCTCCGGTGCTGTTCATCCCAGGGAATGCTGGGAGTTACAAGCAGGTCCGGTCTCTCTCGTCCGAGTCGTCCCGCTACTTTCACAACGTCTTGCGCCACGACGCCGAGGCAATCAAAGCCGGGGTGCGGTCTTTCGATTTCTTTACTATCAATTTCAACGAGGATCTCTCGGCCTTCCACGGGCAGACGCTGCTTGATCAAGCCGAATATGTCAATGAAGCTATTGCCTACATCCTCTCCCTCTATGTCGACAGTAATCGTATCCGCCGCGACTCCCAATTACCAGATCCGAGTTCTGTTATCCTCATTGGACATTCAATGGGTGGGATTGTCGCACGCACCGTGCTTGTGACTCCCAAATATCAGGCCAATTCGGTCAACACCATCATTACCATGTCGACGCCTCATGCGCGACCACCAGTCTCGTTCGACGCAGATGTTGTTTCACTGTACCAACAGGTCAACGACTACTGGCGAGAAGCTTACCTGCAACGGTGGGCGAGTAACAATCCTTTATGGCATACGACTCTAATTTCTATCGCCGGAGGAGGTCGGGATACCACTGTACCTTCCGACTATACCAACATTGCCTCGCTTGTTCCAGAAAGTCACGGGTTCACCGTCTTCAGTTCCACTATTCCAGGGGTCTGGACCGCGATGGATCATTTAGCGATTACTTGGGCCGATCAAATGCGAAAAGTCATCATCAGGTCTTTGTATGATGTGGTCGACGTTCGTCGAGCGGCACAGACCAAGCCACGGGTGGAGCGCATCAAAGTCTTCCGGAAGTGGTTTTTGACGGGCCTGGAAGATGATGCGCCAAAGAACATGCGTCATGCACCACACGAGGTGCTTTTGACCCTTGGCGATGGAACCAGATCAGCCGTGGCTAAGGAGGACAACGTCACCATCCGACATTTTGGGGTGAATGATCATATGTCCGCAGTCCTGCTGCCGATTCCCTCCGTGGACAATTCCACCTCGAAGATTTTCTCGCTCTTGACGGATCAACAGATGGATGGCCAAGGTGGCTTCGAGAGGATGGAAATATTATTCTGTTCCGCCTTTCCACTCGCTGGAGGGCTCACTTCAACACCACTGCCAATCCAGTTTGACCTCTCGCCCGGTGATCCTAGCGCAACGAGACTGGCCTGCAAGAGACCAGCGGGAGACGCCATTCTACTGCCTGCCTCGACGCGGCTGTCCCAATATCCGTTTGAGCAACAGCCTCCGTTTACATATTTGACCTACGATTTGAGAGATCTTCAAGACCACCAGTTTGTTGCAATGATAGACAAAGCCACGGAAAGGAGTCATGGCTGGGCCCATGCAGAGATTGTTCCTGGGGCAGACTCAGTCGTCGCTTCTGATGTGAGCCTACCGATGCTCTTGCTTCGGGGACTGAATCTGGAGCTTCCTTCGAACCGCCCTCTGGTGACGGAAATCCGGGTGCCATCCATCCGATCGAGTCTACTGGCTTACACTCTCCAAATTCGCCAGCACGGTTGCACGACCGATACAGAACTCTTCACGCCGTTGTTGAGGCAACACATTGACAGCCCGTACGAGTCCAAGTACTTTGTCAACTTCAAACAGGGAGATGTTAATCTTCATGGGGTGGCCCCGTTTATGCCGCCTACACTTGACGGCCGGGAGTCCAAGGCAGGAGTAGCCTTCCAGATCTGGTCCGATCCAACCTGCAATTCTTCCTTGGAGATTCGCTTGCGGGCGGACCCAGTGGGAAGCTTAGGCAAGCTTGTGATCAGATATCGCACTGTCTTTGCCGTCTTCCCTCTGCTGGTGGTGGCAATGGTCCTGCGGAAACAATTTCGAGTCTATGACAACTCGGGGGTTTTCATCTCCTTCTCTGAAAGCCTCGACCAAAGTTTGAGGCTGCCACTCCCTGTATTGATGCTATCCATGACATTCTTTGCCACCGCGTTCACCACGGCGAGCTCGGCAAATCTTGTATCAAGCAGTCCTGCTCAAACCAACGGGACGGTAGTCGACTTTGCCCAGAACGACCTTCTGCTGGGTTCCCAGGACACATTCTTCTGGTTTCTTGTCCCTCTGGCAGGCCTTTTGAGTGTGGGGGCTTGCGTTTTGATCAACTATGCCGTCTTGGGACTGTTACACTTTATTGTCATAGTATCCAATTTCGTCTCACAACGCTACATGAAATCCGACGACGGCGACAAGGTCATGACTCCCGGGTTTGTGGCAAGTACGCCGCGTCGTCGAGCCATCAACACGGCAGTTCTCCTGTTCCTGGTGGCGACCATCATTCCTTACCCCTTCGCCTACGTGGTGGCTTGCATTGTACAAGTCTTTACCTGCGCACGGGCGTTACGCCACGCCAAAGATTCGAGATCTGGGCCGGCACATAATTTCTTCAACTACACGTATTCGATACTCATTCTAATGCTCTGGGTCTTGCCGATTAATCTTCCGGTCCTGGTTGTTTGGATCCATAATTTGGCGGTGCACTGGCTGACACCGTTCTCATCACATCACAACGTGTTGTCCATAATGCCCTTTATCCTGTTGGTGGAAACCCTGTCGAGTGGGAAGATGGTGCCATCTGTCCGGTCCTTCAGATGGGCCACCAACCTGTTGTTTTTCGTCCTGGCGGTCTATGCGGCGTTGTACGGCATGACTTATGCGTACAGATTACATTACATTGCGAACATCATTGCCTTGTGGCTGGTCTTGCTTCATTTCTCCACGTACCAGAAACGGATCCCTACCTAGATGAGAAGGAGGAGGAGGAGGAGGAGGAGGACTGCGGCAGCATCATTGCTACTACTACTACTACCTTGGACCGTCTTGGTCTAAGACAGAGATAGAGATTTCTAGAAGGGGCACATTGGGAAAAGAAGAAGTCCGCAAAGAAAGAAAAGGCACAAAGCCATTTTGTGATTCTAGACGGCATTGATTGTGATCTTGTTGATCCTTGTTTATGATAGAAGTTTATGAAGATATCCAAGTAACCAACCAACCAACCAACCAAGAAACAGAGATTCTTTGTTGGATTTGTTTTGTTTCAACTCCCAAGGAGAGAGAGGTGTCCCGTAAGATGGAGAGGACCTAGGTAGAGAGATGTGAGGGTCAAGACGAGACAGGACATTTTCAGGGTTATTCAGTCTTGCAGTGCAACAGCGCACCAGTCTGGACCTGTTGAGTGATTTCACACTCTTTCGTTGTTTTATTTTTCCGCCGCTCTAATTCAATGTCCTAGAGGTAGATAAATAGGTAGATTGGTAGACAAGAAGTAGGTATACAGGTATACAGGTACCCTTTCACGACATGCTGTGATGTGATGTGATGTGATGTGATATGATGTCTTACTCGCTCGTGAGGAGTGAGTCAGTGAGTGAGAGACCAAGTAACGAGTCCCCTTGGGTGTGAGGTACTGGTAGTGATTCGAGATATTTTCTACAGTGACTGACCGCACATCACGCATCGCATCACGAATCGCGCATCGCGTCTAGGCGTCTACAATAAACATAACACGGGCATCGATGTCCGAGGTCGATGAGTGTGCTGCCTCCGCTGATATCAAGGGTTTCTCTCTCGAGGTGGCCGAAAATGGGACATGTGAAAAGGGAAAGATGGGTGTATCTATGTACTTCTGCATGTCTGTCTGTCAGTCTGTCTGGACAGAACTGCGGAAGCAGGACAGCAGGTGAAATGCAACGGTCAAGTGAGAAGGTGGTGAGTGCAATCGAATTCGAATCAACAATACGTTTTTCGTGGTTGTAAGGTCGGTTTGTTCCTGATTCAGTCGTCACTTCTGCCGGCACCGACACCGACTGTGGTGAAATTCTGTCCACTTCCTCCAAACAGTCGCCAAAAAAGGTCTGAGATCTGCTTCGCAAGTCAATCTTGTTACATCCCAACCTCGCTTAGTCGCCACTTCAAGCGCGACGACGACAACGACACCTACCTGTGCGCAGAAACATGCCCAGTCCAGCACAGCCGAACCTACCGTCCCCAAGCACCGTCGCGTTCGGCGCCGCGCCGACTCACACTCACGGTTACAGTCAGCCGCTCAACACCAATGACGGTCGTCACTCTCCGGGCGCTATCGTCGGAATCTCCATCTGCGCCATCGTCTGCTTTGCCTGGATCGCCCGATACTCTTACCTCGCATCACCTTTCTGGCTCCAGCACGTGAGACGCTGTCTGGGAATGCGACCAGCGTCACGAACGCCCATCTCCCACATTCCGCTGCCGTCGCACAGTCATTATCATCGTTATTATAGTAGCGACAATGACAGTCTTAGCATCGGTGCAGATGATCTTCCGACTCAACACCCTTCCTCTTCCGTGGGAGCAGGAGTCATCACGCGACCCCAGCGGGTGTACCTCCGGCCAAATTCAAAGGACACCTTACCTCTTTATGAGCCGACCAACCAGTTCAGCAGCGATGTGCTGGAGGGATTGTTCGACCTAGGCCCAACACCGGGATCATCACGCGCCCCGTCTTACCGGTCCAAGTTGTCGCAGGAATGGATGAGTGCGATGGGGACCATGACCAGGAACAACAGAACAGACGAGGAATCCGGGAGGGTAGTCTTCAGGGTCAGGGAGGTGTAGCAGCCAGGAATGACGGCTCTTTTCTTCCCTTATGGATTTTTGCAGGGGGGATTTCCCAGAGAACAAGCAGAGGGTGGTTCAGCCAGGACACCAGACCTGTGGGTTGCACAGAAACACAGCAGATCAGGTCCAGGGTGGAGGCGAGTCTGAACGGTTGTGGCTGTCATGGGAGATTACAAGGATGCTGGATGGCTGGATCCCACATGCGCACTGGACAATCCAAAGTGGCCAGTGTGATGAGGTTGGATAATGACTCGTTTTTCTTCTTGTGTACATGCCAACGTACGAATGTAAGTTCATGTCGGTTGCATATTTTTCCGCGGATTCTCGTGAGGCCACGACGCTTTTGGGGGGGGAGGATCAATCGCAATACGGAGGGGGGTATGGTTGGTCGAAAATGTGGATTGCTTCGGGGGGATGCATCTCTTGCAGAAGTTGCGAGTGCAATTCGTCAAATTCGGCCGTCATATTGTGCCCTCATTGTTGCAGGGATACTCTGCTACTCGTGTGGCCGTATGTATGACGGACTAGAGGTACAGGGACGTATGGCAGTAGTCCTCGTAGTTTACTGGAAAGTAGAAAAGCGCAGGCAGAAAAATGTACTAACCGAAAGTGGAATAGTATGGGGCTTACAAACTGTGAGCATTACGATTCCTCGTATATCATGAAGGATTCCAGCACCAGAGCCACTCTTTTCAAAGCCTTTCCACTTTACTGCTCGGACGAAGGCAATTAAAGGGTTAGTTTACGAGTATCTCACTCATTGGGTCCGCGATTGAGTTACTACGGAGAACTCGCAACTATGTTTTGCACCCCATCACTTGTCAGCATAGGTACATGACCGAATGCGTTGTCCATTTTCAGAACTACCAATATCCTTCTCTTCCTACTTATCATCTATCTATCCCCTTGAAGGCTGGTTTGCCGTTGTGCCTGTGCGCTCAATACCTGTCAGTATCAACCCAAGGAATCGGCCAAGTCGCCGTTGGAGCAGCAAGAGACTTGATCCGACAGGGAACCTGGTTCCCCGGATTTTGCAGGTCTGGGCGCCGCGAACGCCATTTCACCCCTACGAGTATTGCAAAGCTTAAACCATTTACCCCGGGTGACGCTTGCGTAATCCCTGGCGCTTGTGGCTAGCAAAGCATTGCCGCTTTGGGGGGTCTAGAAGGCCCATTGCGGATCAGCCGAAGGACCCGGTTCACTCCAGGCGATTGGGTGCTTAGAGGGGGGCCAGGTGCCTGTAAGATACTTATACCGGGGCCTGGACACTGGGCATTGGCCCCTCCCCCCTCGCTAGCAGTGGCCAGTCACGCCAGTCTAGCAGCCTAATGAGCCACATTATCCAGGTGCCCACAAATGCCCACAAACTTAGCATGCCGTGCTCTTCGGATTTCTTTCGCCTTGCTAATAGGCTTCGTTGCGAACGCATCCACTGCCCATGCCTGGCCATTCGCCCTGCCTGTGCCTGCTCGTGTGAGTTGCGTGCTTTTTCAAACCTCCGCCTCACACAACACTCCACACCTCTCTCTCCTCCTCGCTGTTGTTCTGAGTTCAAATGTCGTGAATATCTATCCATCTTGAACCATCTGTACGCCACATCGACGACTCAGAGTTTTGTAAAGCCACCTCCTCTGAACTCCCCGCTATATCCTTCCTTTGGGTAGCTTCCATGGCCCAATCGTCGCCTCGACCATCTCTTGATGGCCACAGCCATGCCTCTACGCCCTTTTTCCACACTCTGACACAACGTCTACGGAAAAGCTCAAATGCCAGCTCCTACAGCTCAGATCCCACATCTCCATCTCCGACTGACCCGACATCAAGGACAGAGGCCACTCGAGCCGCCCGGCGGATGGTCCTGTCTATGGTGCAAGACGACTGGGAATGGCCTCCGCCTCCGTCGCCTACACCCATTGTCAATGATGGCGGCAGATCCCCCATCCCTCACCGGGAACCTCTCACGTACCGCTTACGGGAAGAGGCCCAATCCGACCTGGAACTTGAAGAGTTGGCCTCCCGGCGTCGCGCGAGAAGCGACCCGTACAAGTTTGAAAGCCCTGAGGCCGTGGGGGCAGTGATTGCTGAGCGCAGGAGAAAACGCAGAAAGATGCAAGAGGACGAAATGTGTTGGAACGAGGGGTTGAGGACTTGGATTGAGAGGCGTGACGCCTGGACGGGAGCCCTGCAACAGAAACCGAACAGTACCAAACCGACCGAACGACGGCCATCATCGGCAACGAAAAGAGCTTCATATAAGTCTCGCCTCTCCCAAGTCTTTACGGGGCACAAGGGTGACCTGCCCAATTCTACGGATGGGGGTTCAACAAGCTGGCCAGGGTCACCGGCGTCACCTACGCCAGAGTCCTCGAGCGCAGATAGTGTCGAGGCCGCATCGGCAACACGAACCACCACCAATACCACCGCGGAGCCTCTCTCACCTTCCTCAACGTCCCAACCACCGTTGTCGCCGCTAACGACTTCGCCAACGTCCACGGAACCTGGTCCATGGATTCCCATCTATCCGCCCATACTTCCGCAGGACAATATCATTCGAGAGCGCATAAAACCCTCGGCATACCCTACCATCTACTCGAAAATTGTGGTCCAAGGCCTCACACCCAACGTGCCCATTCCTCTATGTCACATGATCCCCGCCTTGGTGGAAGGCTGGAAGTCCGAAGGAAACTGGCCGCCTCAACCTAGTGCCACCCTCGCGCAGGATTTGAAGAAGGGGAGGAAGAGTAGCACGTTTGCCAAGTGGAGAAAAGAACATTCTGACGATCAGCAGAATGCTCAGGATTCTCCACACCATCATCATCACTTTCTCCACCACGGTCATCATGGTGGCGGCGGCGGCGGCGGAGAAGTGGCCGCAGCGATTGTAAGCGGACCCAAGGATCACCAGAATGCGTATGATGATGGCGGGCGAGGCCACAGAGTGCGAAGAAGCATCGGCATGATGCGGAGGGTGGGGTCGTTACTGGGAGGGTCCATGAGCAGCGACGGCCTCGATGAGTTGGGAATCGAGTTCCGCGACCAGGACGAGGAGGAGATAGGCCGAAATGTTGCGTTGAATAGAGGGTTGGCTCATCGTTGACATCTCAGAGGGGGAAGAGAAGTCCCGGCGTGGCATGGCATGGCATGTTTTGTCTTGTCTGGTTGTCTGTCTCTTTCCCAGCATGAATGAAGCGAGCATGAAGAAAAGAGCGGCATTTACGTACCTCTTCCGTGGCATTGCATTGCATTTCATGGACAATGGACAACGGGCAATTTGATGTTGATATTGATATTGACATGATGTGATGTCGTTACGATATGTTATGAATTGATGTTTTATCGTACAGCCCTCCACGCAGGCATAGCATAACATGGCAGAATATGACATCCATCGTTATCTCACAAGCGCAAAACCTCGCCATCATGTATTTGTCCCTCCTCGGAGTGAATACTCACTCGCCTGTTGTCTCTCCCACTGGATGCCCGGTCTCTCTACCTCTGCATCACTATACTGACTACTATGTCTCTTGGGCACCTAGGCCGTCCAATAGAAACAGAAACAGACGAGGGTACTATTATCAAATTTGTCACTTCTCGATTCACGGGCTCGATCTCGGATGATATTCGTTAGGCAGCTGGGGTGCCGGGCACCAAGGTGGAAAGTTCCATCCAACGTGCCCACCGGCCGACCAACCAACCACCAACCAAGCGAGATTTGATCTGGTCTGATTCTCAAAGACACATGTTCCAGAGAAAGGGCATCGTCGTTGCTGCGGAAAGGGGAACAATATCCAATCCCCATCACCGTCCCGTCACTCGTCTGCATTACTATCCAAAAAGCCATGTTTCATTCAGTCTATTGTTTTTTGTTCCTTTTTTTTCTCTCTTTTTGTTTTTCGACCAGTCCCTGTTTTGCCCAGCTTGCTGTTCAAAAAAAACCTCGTATCGTTGCATGGTATTCATAGCTCGTTGTGGTGGTGCCACTATTGTTGACAAAGACTCTTGCTTTCTTCCCGTGTCTCCCCAAAGATTCACGCTCGTCCGTACACCCTTTGAACAACGCCTTCTCATCATTCGGCATTAGTCGGTCTATCGTGTATGTTTGTAAGTCGCTATGATGATGCTAACAAAAGAGGTCGCACAAAGCCTCGTTCCCGTGTCATAATGAGTCGAGAAGGCTGGATCGGCGCGAGCAAAAGTGCTTCTAGCTAGTTTTCATCCGCAAACTCATCTGGGAAGAGTTCGATTGCAAACTCGCCAAAATATTCCAGCAGGGCAGCTCTGACCTCTGCTAGGTCTTTGTGCAGAAACTCGGAGTTGAGGTTTTCAAAGCAGTCAGCAAAAGCCAACTGCTGCAGGCTCTCCAGGAGATCGTCAGGATTGGCAGACGCAGTACTCGCAGCAGACTCTGCTCCCTCCGCGTACACGACTTCTTGGTTCTCGGCAACTCTAGATAAAGCATCTTGACTTGTCCCGCCATGATCAGTCGAGCCAGGCTGGGCAGAAGCTGTGGCGTCCTTGGGAAGGCTTTCTACCTCGGATGCGCTGTCACTCTTACAGGAACTGTCACGTTGCAAGAAGACCTTGGCAAAATCCCTCACTTTTTGCTGTTCCTTTTCCGTAAGTGGTGGGTACCACTGGCGCATGTCGATCTTCGGTACGTCGGTCCTCTCTCCAGGGTCCATGGCTTTCCATTTGTAGTGCACCAAACCCTCGGTCAACTTGTCAGAGCTGCCATTCTTCTCTGCCATCTTGGTGGCGTCCTTGTTCTCTCCAATCACCTTGGCGGCGTCACCTTCCTTGACTTCTTGAGCAACTTCCTCCCAAAAACAATCACCCGGCAGACATCTGTGTCCAAGAATTTTGTCAAGGGTAGTGCGAGAGATTCTGCCACTCAATCTGATATGGGACAAGATTGGAGCGCAGGATCGAGTGATATTGTTTGGAGCAAGACCCTCGGGCCAGATTCCTGCCAGCTTTGCATTGTCCTGTTGGATGCCATTGCGGATGGCAACTAGATCGGTGCCACCTTTGCGACCATTGCAGTCTTCAGACTTCAGAGGCTGAAGAACGAGATCCAGTTCTGGTCCACCGAACATAGAGGCGCAAGGGGTTATGGCACTGGAGGTCTCTAGGGCAGCAGCAGCAAGTCTGAGTGAGCCCGAAATCTTGAAATTGATCTCTTGTAGACCCGGCATCTTGTCAACCAACAATCTGGTGACAGGGACAAAACCCCAAGCTGGCCCATCGTCACAGAAAATCTCGATTGCTCCCAGATAGTTGCTGAGTTCCTGGTCCCATTTCTGGGAGAACATTTTGAGGTTCTTCCAGTCCATGCTGAAGTTGTTACGCTGGTAGAGGATAGGGGAAGCCTCTTGACAGAGTGTCTTTGCTACCGTAAACGCGTGAACCGGGATGACAAGGTCAGGAGTGCAGCAACTTGTGGCAGATTCTGCGCGCTGGTGTTTGATCTTGCCGTCGCGGTCGAGAGTAAGGTGGATGGGCTTGGAGTAACAGTAAAGTAGTTCGTAAATTTCCAACCGAACTTCTGTCGGAAGATCGTAGAACGAGCGTTTCGCGGGCGCGGACATCGTGGCCACCGCCGTGTTTGTGGCCACGGGGTCAGGATCGTTGCTAGAAGGGGTTGCCATGGGCGAAGGGAACACAGGGCTGAAGGCGCCGAGAAGCTGTCGAGCTGGATCTGTCACTTGTCCACGCAGAGACAGAGATGGTGCCGTGGATATTGTGGTGCGGTTCTGAGTCGGATGGAAAGATGAAGGACAAATCACGACCATCGTGAGCGTGAAATAAGTAGTAGTGCCAATGCCTTTGTGATGTGAAGTCTGCCATAATGAATGTTTGCATGTGCCTTTAACGGACGGACGGATTGTGCCAGACCCTCAACAAACCCATGGTCAACCCTTTGCTCTGGCACCCAGTCTGATGTTTGTTTCGTGAATCACCGACACTGGGATCCCGCTCAATATTGGAGAGGTTGCAGGTACATCCGGTACTTGTCGTCTGTGCTCAAGTACAGGGATATGGAGGCGGGAGGAGAAGCCCAGCGCAGATGGATTGATTGACGCTCATCTCTGTAGGCGACATAGAATAGAGCATGCAGTTGCAGCGTGTGGACCTACATCCGGACAACGCAGATGCGCAGTTGCATGGCTGTCTGTATATTAGAGACGGCTCTACAACTCCGTCACTAGTGTGCTCTCTTCTTCTGTGACTATTGCCTCTGGCCACGAGATAGAGACATCTAACCGTACATGTCGTGTTGGCTACGTGCGCTGTGGCGGTCTGGGATGTGTGGGATGTGTAGCAGGGCATTGTGGTAAGTGTGTGAGGGTCACGCGTATTCTACGTATTCTGCGCACCACGTGTTTTGCGCAGACGGAATCCGCCTGATCTGCCGTAGGAAATCAACGCGTGTTGCTAAATCTGAAAAAGTCCTTGACATCATGACACGGCACGCATAGGTGTGGCTGCCAGAGAAAGCATCTTCATGTTCTGCCGCTACTATATGTCTCCTCTACAAGCAACTAGTGGGTGAGTATCTACTAGATTGCAAGATCTAAGTCGCAGTCTATATGACTCCAACCAAGTGATCTACGCAAATCCACCGCCTTCAAAGACTGCGTTTCCTACGCCTCGCCTCACCTTCTATAGGACGCTCTCTTTCTCGCAGTTTCGGCAGTGTAGGCCGTCACCTTTCAGTGCAGTTCTCCCAAGCTCCTCTTATTCGGGTAGATTTAATCCCAACATGTCAAAGCGCACTTCGACAGTCGCCTCAGGGGTCCGACGAGTGACCAGAAGCACTACGTCTGGGGCACTCAAAGGAGAGAAGAAAGCGCAGTTCAAAAAGGAGGAGCAAGATCAAGACGGCGTGGCTATCAAGCAGGAGCAGGGAACCCCTCGGAATAAGCGGACTTCGCCACGTACAGAAGAGACACCTGTCAGGAAGAGAGTAAAGAAGGAGGAAGTGGAAGATACTGGGCTAATGAGCCCATCCATGTCGGGCGATTCACCTACCTCTGTGTCTTCTCCGAAGAAATCTCCATCGAAGAAATCAGGACCATCCGATCTGAAGGCGAAGAAACTCAAGTCCTATGCCCAGTTTGCCAATGAATCTCCATTCCCTGACTTTCATCATCCGACACCAGAGGAATGCAAACTTGCCCACAGGATCCTCGCCTCCCTCCACGGCCCCCGGATTCGCCCCAAAGAAGTCGTTGCCTCGACCACGCGAGCAGGCTGCGGCGACTCTCCCACCGTCCTCGACGCGCTGGTCCGCACCATTCTCTCCCAAAACACGAGCGACGTTAACTCGACGCGAGCCAAGAAGAGTATGGACAAGGTGTATGGAGGGAGTGATAAATGGGACGCTATCGTTGCTGGAGGTCAAGCCAAGCTTCAAGAGGCCATCAAATGTGGCGGACTCAGCGCGGTAAAGAGTAAAGTCATTATGAGCATCTTACAACAGACGAAAGAAAAGTATGGCAAGTATTCCCTGGACCATCTCCATGACGCGTCCAGTGAAGAGGCCATGCAGGAGATGTTATCCTTCCAGGGTGTGGGACCCAAGACGGCCAGCTGCGTGTTGCTCTTCTGTCTCCAGCGCGAGAGCTTCGCTGTTGATACGCATGTCTGGCGCATTACAGGCTTGCTGGGGTGGCGACCCAAGAATGCTTCCAGAGATGAGACACACGCGCATTTGGACGTCATGATTCCGGACGAGGACAAGTACGGGCTGCATATCCTCCTCGTCACGCACGGGAAGAGGTGCGAAGAATGTCGGGCTGGAGGCAAGAATCTGGGCAAATGCGAGTTGAGAAAGGCCTTTCGGCAGAAAAAGATGCAGGGCGAAGCAGGAGAAGAGGCGCAGCAAGAGGAGAGAGATAGAGTTAAGAAAGAGGAGGAGGCGGAAAACTGACGAGGAGCCATCAACACGATCTATATGACTGCTTGTTTGTACCTATATATGTATAATATTTACCATGTACCGAGTAGATGTATACGGCCTGCTCCACATATAAAGTATACGAGGTGAGATATCGCCGTTGCTGTGGCTGGAGCTCAAAGCTTGAGAGCTGTATATGTACGTAAAATGATGATGCTGGTGGCTTTTTGGCCTTGTGGGTGACTTTGCGGGGGAGGAGTTTTACGAGATATACGAGATTGTCGATGATGGTGGTGGTGGTTTTGTTGTCATTGGTGTCCTTGTTCTCGGAAGCTCAACTATCTCTCCCTTCCTGTGTAGGTACCGAGTAATGCGTGATGATCCTACGCGGACGAGAACAAATTGCACATGGACGCTGATCAAAGAATGTGTCGCGTGCAGCAAAAAAAAAGTCACCAGTACCAACCAGCCAATTTGAAAGGCACCAATCAAGCCTCTGTCTTTTTACCTCGTTTGGGATTTTGACGACGTAATAGATTTGCAAGTGTCAAGGCCCCAGAAGCGATAGTTTCATGCTAGTCAGTCCCGAGATCTGGCTAGTCGACCTCGAGTCGTACTTTCTAGGAGATAGAATTGCTCTCATCTGGACTCGGTAGTCGGTATTTCGTCCCAAGTACGAGGTACATATGTAGGTTTGAGATAGCCATTGCGTTCTTCTCTCCCTGTAGTGGTAACAAGAGTTGCCGCAGCACCACCACCACCATGTAGTGAGACATTGCCACTGCAGGGCGCGGGCTGTTCCGAGCCATGACCTGCAGAACGACCTCGGGGAATTTCTGCATCAACCAGCGTGTCACCACGGCTGCAGATATACTTGTAGAGTAACAGCATCGAGGTTGCACTGACGTCTCCATAATTTGCGGGTTCGTGCAACACTTGAGCCTTCCAGATCATGAACGGAGGAGAGGACGAAAGTGGACGATGATGCACCTTTCAGCCTCTCGTCCTCTCTTCATCTCAGCCTCTCAGCCTCTCAGCTGCTTTCATCTACCCATCAAATCTGCTTGACGGTCAAACTACCTGCGATGCCATCCCAGACATGCTGTTGGTTGAAACTCGCCCCTGAGTCTAGCAAAAAGGCACCAAAGAGGATAAAGCAGAGGTCTTCAGATAGTGTCGACAGGCCTCCATTGGAGTGCAGCTGTGGCTTGGAGCCCGGGTTGATGTACCCAATGGCACGTCTGCCCTGGCTGTCTGGGTTTCGGAAGGCTTGTTCGGCTGCCAGGGTGGGCGATGGTCAGGGGGCACTATAGGCTCCCTAAGTAAAAATATCAAGGGGGGAGACCATGCCCCACAACGGGCCTTCAGGGATCACCCCCGATTGCTGTAACTGAGTTATGCAGGTCACTCTTGTTTTTTTTGGGCCTTTTCTGGGCTTCTCGTTGCCTGTCTCTCACCCCCCCCGGTTGGAGTTGCATGGCTTGCACATCACCTTTCACATCACTTACTAGGGACTCGTACCTTGGCCTGGGAGTTATCTGGACACCTGTGTCTGGCAGTGGTCGATCATGTTCAAAACGGGGGTGGCCCAGAAGTGTCTGCATAAGGCGTGTCTGATCTGCTACCACCACCATCACCACCTGCAAACTACGACCTACCCTCCCCCAAAAAGTTCGCATGCTGTCCGTGGCCATTGACGGCCCGCCTGCAGCCACCCACACCATCCATCCACCACCCACCATCCACCATCTCCCACCTCACGCTACTGGACTTTGTTCTCTGCCATCTTTTTCCCTGCCTGCGTCCTGCATCCCATCCTGTATCTACCATCTACTCTTTTTCACGCCACCATTGTCCTCCTCATAACACCACTTCAAACACTCGTTTTTCTCACATGTCGCCTCGACACTCTCGTTATCAGCCGCACTCGTTCACTTCGTATTGACATAGACTGCACCTGGAATCTATTACTGGTGTGGGCTATTGTTGGTCACTCACTGGTCATCATTTTATTCTGGGCGACAACTCGGACACGAGTTCCGTTGGCATAACATCCTACTTTTATCACCCATCAGCGGCGACTCCTGCGCCAGCCCCCAGACTCTTGTTCTGTCGGATCTGGTTCCCAGCTGTGACCTCAGCCACCCTTCGATCCTCCTGGAAGCCTTGCATTCTACGTTGTCCGATTCCCCAGACCCTCGATCCATGCCATCATTTCGCCTTTTTTCCGACTCGGTTCAACAACATAACAGCCAAGTTACGACAACGGTTGCCCAGTCTTCCAGAGACTCAACTCAATCCACTCGTAAAGTCCACATCCAACGATGACTCGTCCAACCTACATCGAGATCCCCCAAGAAAATCTTCGCTCGGCTAGCGCACTCTCGAGAAATGCATTGTCGCCCCGGATCCAACATTTCGACGGCGATGTGCCTCCTGCACTATCACCGTTGGATGCCATTGCTGCCCGAAGTCGCAAACTGGCCAAAGAGTTGGAGGAAACGAGGAAAGCCGGCGAGCGTCGCATGAGCAGACTCCCACCACAAGTGGTGACGGAATCCCTGACCGAACACCAAAACAATCGTCCTCCCATATTTCGTGCCTTGTCTGATGGCCTTGACACAGTCCCTCCTCTCCCAACGTTGGATAAGGAACGTGGTGGCAGCTTTGCTCGAGTTGCTCATCCTCTGAACAGGCCGACCTCCCAACGTGTTCACGTGAGTGCCCTTAAGTCGGGCGAGGATCAGGAAAGCAAAGAAACATCTCCGATGCAGGATTACTTTGGTGCCCCTCGAGTAGAATCTCCTCCGCCGTTAGAGCCTCAGGGACCATTATCACCATCCCATAGCGTTCCCCAACACGGCCTTTCCAGACAAGTCTCGGGCACTTCTCAATCAGACTTCAGTGCGACTCTGGCGCCGCCACGATCCTATTCCAGCCGACTCCGACCGTACCAGGATGCTTCTGACGACGACTATACCAGTTCCAATGCAGGCTCGACGTTTTCCCAGTCAAGGAAGCTTTCATCCAGCAGCGGTGTTTCTGCTCCTCATTCTCCAATCTCGCCCTATGAACAATCTCATGCTCGATCACCCTCCAGCACTTCACTTGGGTCTCCCTCTCACAAGACACTGACACGGAATTTCTCCCGCCCTTTGAGTTCAGTCAGTATGAGCAACCTCAAGGGCGACAAAAGCCCGACCAAAGCCACATTCGCAAACCGGTTGAGCCAGCTCCGTGCTGCGAACTCTTTCGATAATTCCACATCGCCCGTCGATGGCTATCTCGCTGGGGAAGCGTCTTCATATACTCATGCCAAATACAGCTTGCCTAGGGGCCGACTGGTTTCCGATCGGACATCTGTAGTTTTTTCGGCCCTGTCCACACCCCATTTCGAGTGGCAGGAGCCGATGTTTCCTTGCACGCCACCATTAGAAGCCAAGAACAGCACTGAGCTCCCGATTCCGTCTCCAATGGCATCAGCTCGACCCAGCAGAGAAGACCAACATCAGAGGTCGAGCCCGTCTTTTGAGCTCAACTCGGAGCACACGTTGACCGCCACGGACCGTGCCGCCTATCCAACACCGTATTATACGCCGACAGGATCTCTCAGATCCAATGACTCTTCGAGTTCGAGACCTTCGATTGGCCAGCTTGTTCCTTCATCTTCGGGATTCATGCATCCCCCTGTGCCATTATCACCCGTAGCAGAAGCATCACACTCTTCACGATCGACAAGCACGGTTCGGCCAACCACAAGCCGGTCTGCCAGCAATTACCAAGGCCTCTCCATGGACGATCATGTTGCCAAGGCAATTGAGCTCCATCAACAAAACGAACTAAAAGAATCGACGTACCATCTGCGTATCGCGGCCAACAAGGGACACCCAACTGCAATGCTCCTGTACGCCCTCGCTTGCCGTCACGGTTGGGGCATGCGAGCGAATCCACGAGAAGGCGTACAATGGCTTCGGAAGGCTGTAGACTACGCGATGCTCGAGGTTGCAGACGACGAAGATCCTGCAGGCCAGAGGCCTGGGGTTGATTTCTACGAGAAGAAGGCACATCGAGCCCAATTTGCGCTGAGCATTTACGAGCTCGGGGTTTCACATCTCAACGGCTGGGGTATCGAGCAAGACAAAGCACTCGCTCTCCGCTGTTTTGAGATCGCCGGCAACTGGGGCGACACAGATGCCCTGACCGAAGCGGGTTTCTGCTACGCAGAAGGCATCGGCTGCAAGAAAGACCTGAAGAAGGCTGCCAAGTTTTACCGGATGGCCGAGGCCAAAGGTGTGAGCATGGTTGGGAACAGCTGGTAAGTCAAGGTGGCTTTGGTGAAGCCAGATTGTTTTTCTGACCGGGCGCAGGATTCACAAGGACAAATACAACGACTCGGATGAAGAGAACGACTCGAGATCGCGGTCTTCTCGAAAGACGTCGAGCGAGAAACCTCGCAGCAAGTCCAAATCCCGGGGGATCTTTGGACGCAAGAAAACAACATCCTGACCCGATATGTCAAAACATGTCTTTGGCTGGACTTGGACATGGTCTCGTGGCAGTGTCAAGGGCAAGGATGATGACCTGATATACATCTGCTCTGGAAGCCCTCGGTCCAATTCCTGAGGCCCTTTTCATCGATGATGGCTCATGTATTATGAATTCTCTCTCAATATATACGGCATGAGTCTTGACTTTGCACTCTGTGTGAGCTTTGACTTGAATTCTTTTTTTGGCCTGTCAAAAGCGTGTTTGAGCCTGACGCCTGTGTCGGGATATGATATTACTTTTTTGTCGGTGTCGAGCACACCATAATTGGCTAGGACTTTTTAATTCATAATGAAATTGACGGCTGTCTATTCTCCGAGGGCGTCGAGTGTGTCGAGTGTGTCAAGTTCCACTTCTACTTGTGTCTGTACGTGTAGATACAGCCACTTGGTTGGCCATTCATTGCCGCATTTGGTCCACATGGATGCATCCATGCATATGTAACCCCAAGGTGCCCCAGGCCCGTTTTCAAATGACTCAGATATTGCGCGACATTGCGAGTGCGGGCTTCATTTTTCTTTTTGATGTTCAGGGATACATACCGTTTGTAGGAATCTAAACTTTTTAATTTGGGCGATATTTATCAAGAAGAAAAGAAGAGAAGAATAGAAAAGAACAGGGATTGAAACGGCCAGTATGAGTGACGTCCAAGGAGCCCTCGTGCAAGGGCCGCAGCAGCAGGGAGTTATACCGACGAACAGGACGAGAAGAAGAGGAATAGGAAGGGGAACGAGAACCAGGACGAGAATCCACTCCACAGGCCTCGCGCCGCACCAGCTCCCGGCTCTGCTGGCCAGGCTGGAGGCGCTGATGCCCTATTCGATCCCGCTTCTGCGCAGGATTCAGTTCCATCTCCACGAGGAGCCGGCCTCGGAGTCGGCGAGGGTGTTTGTCGCTGTTGCTGACGCTACCGATGGTGATTCCGCTGATGGTGATGGTGATGGTGATGGCGATAGTTGGAGGGGAAAAGGGATCAGGGATGGAAATGGAGATGATGATGATGCAGAGTTCGTGGATCGGTGGTTGAGGGCGAAGAAGTCAGGCGAGCGTGTCGAGACGAAGGGCAGGGCAGATGCAGCAGGAGGAGAAACAGGAGAAGCAGTGACAAGGCCGCAGCCTTGGGTTGCAGCGCACATCGACCTGGCCAACGCCGGTCAAAGCCAGGTATGGACCTTTGCGAGCTGGGAGGCCGACGAAGACGACGGACTATATCCATTGCCGTCCTCATCTTCGGCGGCAGCACCAGCATCGACATCGGCATTACAATCACCACCATCACCGTCACCGTCCCCTCCTGACTCTCTTCCTCATGGCTCTCCCCTTCCCAGCGACTCATCCACACCCACCCCCACCGCCACCACAGTCCACCACGCCCTCATGCACTCTCTCTTCGAGTACATCCACACAACTCTCATACCTCGCCTGCCCACCTCGCCGCCACCGTCGTGGCTCGAGCTGCAGCGCACGGGCAAGTACCTGACGACGCCGTACTCGCGAGACAAGGTGCTGTTCGCGACCGTCTGCGAGAAACTCTGGGGGTATTTCCCCCCAGAGGCACGGGCGAGGACCGACGACGGGTACTGGAAGTATTTATTCCGGGTTGCCCAGCAGGAGGAGGAGGAGGAGGAGCAGACGGGGAGGGTTTCGACATGGTCGGCTCTACCAGCGCCCGTCCCACCGTCGTCCTCGACCTCCGCCTCTGCGTCTCCCTCTGAACCGACTCCTCCCCTCCCCCCAACCTACCGCTTCGGCCCCATGCAGCCCTCGCACCTCCAGGCCGTGCTGGACCGCACGCCCATCCCGCGCACCCTGGCCACGCTGCGCCAGTACGTCTCGCTGGGCGTATTTTACCGAGATCAACCGGACCCCATCGGATGGGGGTTCCTCGGCAAGGACGCCAGCCTGTCGAGTCTGCACACCGAGCCCGAGCACCGCGGTCGGGGCCTGGCCGTGGCGCTGGGCCGCGAACTGTTGAAGAGGCAGCATGTCGTTTCGCCTTTTGCGGCGGCGGCGGAGGTGGCAGCACAAGATGAAGCAGCGACTGCGAAAACTCCTTCTACTGCTACTCCTGTATCTCCCGCTGGCAGCTACACCTGGGCCCACGCAGACGTCTCCCAATCCAACACGGCCAGCCGCCGCGTCATGGAGAAGCTGGGCGGCACGCCGCGCTGGATGGTCATGTGGACCGAGGTGGATATCGAAAGGGTTGTGTCGTTGTCATCCCGTACATAGTCAATCCACGAAGAAGACAGGGGGAAGGGACATCACAGTGTAATGGCCAAGCATAAACATACACCCACAGACACACACAGACACAGGCGCACGTACAGGTAGAGGTACAGAATAGCGAAGACAAGTACCGACACGCGCACGGACTTGGATTCTAGGTAACTTGCATGAACACACAAGTAATAAAATGTAGATGTCTGTGTCTGTGTCATGGTATTGATGCTTGTACTATCCCTACATAATTATGTCCAATCTTCGTTACAACGAGTCGTCACCGAGTTATCAAGGGACTGATACTGAACGCCGCCGTACGCGAACCAAAACAGACAACATCAACATGAATCATTATATAGTTTCCATGCTGTCCTTCCCTTGTCCATCTTTGCTCGTTCGTTCTAAAACAACCACATCAGCTCACGCGCGATATGTTGCGCGACACTGGATATCCAATCTCCCCAAACGCTGTCGACCTGATAACTCCTTCTGCGGGTGATCGGGGTATCTGATAGCAACTCTCTCCCAATCTGTTGCTTCGACTGGCAATGCATCGCACAGTTTGGGTATCAACATAATGTGATTTCACACATAGTCCTATATCTTGCTAGGAATCTCATCAACATGCTCCGCCTCGGCCGCTCTCAGCTGCTCTTGATGTTCCACATTTGCAATGGCCGACTGCAATGCACTCGTCAAGTCAATGTGGAAGAAAGGTCTATTCAAGCTGTGGACAACAGCAACCTTCTTGGTTGAGTTTCGGGCATAGGCTTTACTCTGGCTGATCTGCTTCGATAGATCGCCATCATGGCTGGAACTCGTAGTAGAGTCATCCTTGTACTGAGCTTGCGTGATATCGTCCGACTTGGAGATACCGCTGCTATGTGGTCGAGGACCGCCATGTTCTTCGTCATGAAGACGAGACAGTCGTCGATTCGCTTCGTTTTCAGCAGCCGCGGCGGCCGATGACGCTCCACCGATTTCTGCAACACTGAAGATGGGCTTCCAGCGATGTTGCTCTTCCGTCGGGGCTGTGGGGAAGCCGAAGCCAGCTGAAGCGAGTGCTCGCTTCGTCCAGCGGTTGTTGATGCAGGCCAGGTGCCACTGGACGGGTTCTGGGGAAGCATACCGATCGAGCTGATTGCGCACGTCGATCAGGGTCTGAACACTGGTGACGTCGACGTTGTTGACCGACGAAAAGTCCAAAATGATGGCTTTCAACGTTGGAAGGTGAGATCGATCCTCCTCCGACTTACCCCTTCGTGGGCCAGGATTGTTCCATGGGCGATCACCAGGGCGTGGCCATGAGTCAGGATTGGTCCGGCGCGTATGCTCAAAGATATACCGGACAAGATAGTCGGTGTAGTGATTCGCGTTGGGATAGTTGAAACCCTCGCTGAATCGGTAGATAAAGATCCCCGGATAAGGAGACTCGACGTGGATGGACGGATTTGAGCCATCGTTGTGGTCCAAAGGAAGGAAGATATTTCGCGTAGCCTGGTCGTCTTCGGGCATGCGAGGCTTGTCATGGAATTTGTCTTCGATCAGGTGGTCACCAACGACCGAATGAATCTGGACTTTTCCGACGAAATGACCGCGTGCTTTGATTACACGGAAGAGAAGGACAGCAGCAGAGACACAGATGGTGGTGTAGATTCCGTTCTCGATGGACGAGAAGATGGTCACAAACACACCTGCGAAGAAGATGATGACTTCCAGTGGTGACACGCGCCAGAATTGGTAGACAGTGTTGGGAGGCGTGATCAAATCTCCCACAGCATGGATGATGACGGCAGCCAGCCCAGCTTGCGGGATGTAAAAGAACATGGCTGGAAGAGCGTAGATGGCCAGGAGAACTACAACCGCAGTAATGACACCAGCGAAAGGCGTGCGCACACCAGCCTTCGACTTGATGGCAGTCCGAGAGAATGACCCTGTCGCGGGATATCCTCCCAAGAAAGGCCCGAGCAGATTTGTGACACCGATGGCCACCAATTCCTGCGAGGGATTGATGGTGTAATTGTTGATGCGGCCAAATGACTTGGAGATGGCAATGTGCTCAATGAGCATGACGATGACAGATGCTGGGAGTTGGTCGGCAAAGTAGCTGATGATTTTGGTGTCGATTGTCGGCACTGCAGCGTGTTTGAACCCTCGGGGCACATGGCCCAGGATAGCAAACTTGGGCTTCTTGCGATGATGTCGGTTGACGAGGTAGCTCACCAGAATGTACAGGCAGAGCACAAAGGCAGTTCGCAGCGTGTTGAGGAAAAAGAACAGCTTGGCTCTGTTGGGGTATTTCTTCGCACAGCGGTTGAAGGTGAATCGGATGAGGTAGAGGAGAAACAGCGCCGTCAAACCAATGGCGGCGTCGAGTTTGGAGTGACCGAGATACTTCAGGGTGTTGATTATAACCAAATAGGTTGAGTCGCGAGTATTGAATCCTTTGACCTTGATACCCATCAGGTTTGGCACTTGACCAGCCGCAATGCTGATGGCAGACCCGGTGATGAAGGCGGAAATGGCTGTCAACGGAATAAAATCCACAATCCAACCACATCTGATCAACCCAATAAAGCAGATGATTGCGCCGGCGATGATTGCTAGAGCCGAAGCAACAACGTGGCCGGGAACCTCGGGGTGCTCTGCCAGCACTTTGTCGACGACATTGCCAGTGATGGTGGACATGACAGCGACGGGTCCGATGGTGATGTCTTTGGACGTGGCAAAGAACCAGTAGATCAGAACCCCCATGAAGGAGGAGTAAAGACCATATTCAACAGGAAGCTCGGCGAGTTTGGCGTAGGCCATGCCCTGCGGCACAACGACAGCGCCGACCGTGATACCAGCAACCAGATCGCCAATCAACCATTGGACATTGTACCGCAAAATCCAGTGGGTGAAAGGGAACAGACTGCGGACGTAGCTCACCATTTCAGGGCCCGAAGGAATGAGTTCTCTAAGCCAGTCGATACTTCTCGGTTCTTCCTCAATGTAAGTGTCAGCCGTACTGACTGAATAGGTCGATTCGCCCCTGGTGACAGCATCTTTCGAAGCCTGGCGCTCGTCAAGGTTGATAGCGAGGACCTTGGCCAGCCCGTGGCCAACCTTGGAAGACTTGGACGCCATTGTCACGCCTCACAGGTCTAGGCAGAGATCTGAAAGAACGTGCTCCCGGCTAGTTAATTCACAAGACAAAGTGTCCAAGGTCGCCGTGCTTTGTGGAGGGCTGGAACGAGGGTATATAAAGAAGAGGGGCGATCGGAGCGGACTTGCAGAGTTTGAACACCCACACACCCTGGGGTGGGCAGATTGCCCTGACGCGATATGGAGACCGGTAGGGACTGGGATGCCTGACCGCTGAGTGGCTGGATATGCCAAGTCCTCTGGCGTGGTGGAATGCCGTAGGTGGATAGGATGTGCAAGGTAAAGACTAGGGTTTAGGGCGAGCTTGTGGCTTGCAGCGTGGTTCGGGCTATTTGCGTAGTTATGAGTCGTTCAATTGCCTAAAGGCGGAGGTGACGATGGAGCTGTATCTTTGGCAACGGTCGACCCGGCCGCCTTCAAACGGCAAGCTTATGTGCTGTGAACAAGCAGGTCAGAATTGTAAATGCTCATTTCCGTGGTCAAGCCAAACAAAAAAAGAGCAACTCAGCGTCGTCGCAGCAATCAACGACGGACAGAAGGAATAGTCTCCAGGAAAGTTACAAAGAAGACAGCTAACGCGGAGATGGCGTCGAGTATAAATATGGAGATGATGATGATGTAGGTAGAGGCGAACTTGCAGTAACCGTGAGGATCCCCGCGGCCTCAAGCAACCTTGTGAGGTAGTAGCAAGCGAGGGACCATGTGGGCGTCGTGCTTGATTGAACAAGCGAGATCTCGACCCGGGCTTGGAAGAAGGAAGAGGGCAAGACGGGTGTTTGCGAAGGGATCTAGAAAAAGCTCCCTCGGATGGCTTCCTGAAGAAGGGGTGCAGAGATTTTCTATTCGTCCCATTGGGTCAATGATGAAATGGACGGGGTCTGAAGTGATGGTGCAATCGAAGGCGTGATGGGACCCAAGGCGCCTTTCTCGGGAGAGCGACGTTTTTCAACACCCTGTCCTGCAGCTCATGTTCATGCGCCCAATGCTCAGGCCGTGGAACTGTACCATTAGGACGGGCTGGCGAGGGATGGGATGTTGAAGCAAGAATTGTCCAAGATTGCGACAAGACAGCGCCTGCTGGTCAAGCACACGAAGCATTTTCTTCGACTGACAGAACGGTAGGGGTGTTATACAGCCAAGCCATGCAGAGTTCCCTGCACCTGTCACAGACACGGATGGCACCAACAGAATAGAAAAGAACGTACAAATGGTACGCCTTGTCCGACCTAGAAGCAAGACCCCTTCACTTTGGTATCACCATCGCCGTTGAGGAGCACTGGTAACAACAATGAGTCGTATGGTCGACAATGGTCATCGTGGCGATGATGACAACGCTCTGGGTGATGGTCTCATTGACACTGTGACCGTCAACCCCCGTTGCCGAATCGGTGGTTTGGTGGTTCTCCTTACCTGGCCTCCCGATGTCTTCGTATCTTGCAGGGCGGCCGGCCGATTAGTGGCAAACTAAATCACTTGTCATATTTCGCCTCGTTCGCCTGCAAAGATTCCCTGATATCTGTGACCAAAAAAAGCCATTGAGTCTTCTTACAGGAGCAAAATGGCGTGCTCGAGGTCTCCTGGTTGTGGCTGTCGACATCTGTTTCGTCGATGAGCTTGGTCCCGCTCTCGCACGCCAGGGGGCGTGGGTCTCCCACCCTGTCAATTTATGGACAAGGCTTGCCGTCATTGAGGCAAGGTCTGGTGCCGGAGCCAATCATGATGAGCTGGTCGTTGTGGTGGGTTTGGCTAATTGCTGACGCGATTTACGCCATAATGATCCCATCGACCCTGGGTGTTGAGAGTGACCTTATGAGCGTTCACAGCTCACCCTTCCTATTCTCTTGTTATTTCCTTCTGTTCAATGCTGTCTCCTTTCCCCGGTAATGACACCAGCATGACATCCGTTGAATCGTCGATGCAGCCTGTTCGTGGGGAGGACAAGGTTGACGGTTTGGCGAAGGCTGCAGGTGCAGCCGGAGGGGTAGCATGAGGAAGAAGGGAGGAGAGAGTGGGATGTCTGGCAAAGGGAACAAATGCATGTGCTTGATGATCGGTTGACCGCTTTTTGCGCCCAATGCAGGTGCCAAGCCTTTGATTTCCAAATTCGGCATGTCACGTCAAGCATCGACGACGAAACCATGTCAGCTCGACCTCGTCCTCAAGCCTCAAGCCTGAATCCCAACGCTAGCCTCAGCCTCAGCCTCAGTGTCAGTCTCAAGCTCAACCTCAAGCTACCGCAAACTAAATATGACAAAAAGTCAAGGGGCAAAGCCAGCCTCACTTTCTCCTTGTTTTCATCCCTGGGCAATGCACAGAGTGCGTAGCAACCTCCATTCTAAAGGACACTGGGACTTCTTGATCGCTTCCTCTCCTCCCAGAATTGTCCCAATGCTTTCCTCGTCTAACCAAGTCGGCGGCTGGGAGACGCGACCTCCGACACCTGATTGCCCTTCGTGTCGACGAGATTGTGGCCGGCCTTAAGCCATTCCGAGCTGCATATCCAATGGCAGGCCGTGGCTTCGCGTCGCGCTAGGACAGGGTCAAGCCATTCGTTCTTCCTCGGTTCAGCCAACCGATCTCTCATACTTACACGAGCAAGAGAGAGATTCGTGCTTTGGGAATCACGGGATCCGCTTGCTACGAAGGACCGTGCCTTCGTGGAGACTTGCTTCTCAGTGCTAACTTTCGCCCTACGGAGGACGGAGAATTCTAAAAGCCAATTCAATAACAACATACCCTATTTCGCTTGATACATACGAGTCCAGCGTCAAAGACCTTCCTTACCACTGGCAGATACGGCCTGTCCTGCTTTCTCTACTGCAATTCGCTGAAATACACCACCATAACAAATTGTAATTGTCCACTAGTCATAACCCATGAATGAGGTGTCGCATGCCACAGCACTGAACCCCAATTCTATCATGCACGATAGCGAGGCTGTCTAAATATGCGGGGGCCGGATAGAGCATAGGACATTTGTCGGACCCTCTAACAGGCCAGTCCATGCGCTCAGCCCAACAAAGACTTCCCTAGGTGGGTGTCATGAAGAGCTATAACGCCGTATCCTGGTTTCCCAACTGAACGCCGGGAATTTCATCGTAACCGATAACTTCCCCATCCTTGACGCCGTACGATATGCCACATGCCCATGCACCAGTGACCACACGGTCAAATGCAGGAAAAGCCTCCATGTTTGCTGATGTCCGGAGTCGTGCTCTTCTTCGTGCGTCAAGTCATTACGTCGCGATTGTTTCTCTCTGTTCCTTGCCGCATTGTCACATCTACCCGTAAAATGGTGGGCAATTCTTTGCCACTTCATTGAGAAGCGCATTGCACTCTCTCGGCTCCAGGTGGGAGGCCATCCTCATCTTCATCGTCCATACCAGCAGCACCATGAGCACGCGCTTGCTGACGGGGGTCGACTTCTTCTAGGTCGAAATCTTCCACCATGCCGTCTGGGGGAGGCAGTTTCTGTTGCATGCGAGGAGGCAGGACTTGTTCGAGGAGCTCAAGGTTCTGGAGTTGTGTCTTTTCCGGGAATTTGACGTCGAACTGAATGTACAGGTTCCCAAAGTCGTGGTGTCTGAATGACGGCATGCCTTGGCCCTTGATCACCTTAATCGCTCCTATCGGCAAAGTCAGTGTGGGAACGTCGACGCGATGATCTGGCGCAGCTCTATGTTTGTACTCACCAGGTGTGATGGGCTCGCCGGGGTAGATATTGACCGTTAACCACCGATCATCGAGATGTTCAATATAGATCTGGCCACCAGCCAAAGCAGTCAACAGGTCAATTTCGGCGTGATAGAATAGGTCGTCGTCCTTTCTCTGGAATCTCGGATGAGGCTTCTGTTCGATCTCAAAGACAACATCCCCAGCGAGAACACCGGGCATCTGATCGCCCTCACCACGGAACTCGATTTTGTGGCCGCTCTTGACACCACGGTCGACATGCACGTGAAGGACCTTGCGTTCCACAACCGTTTTCTTTCCCATGCAGCGTTTGCATCGGTCGCGGTCCCGGATGGTTTCTCCTTCGCCCTGGCAATCGGGGCAGATGGTCTGGAAACGCTGAATCATAGGACCCATTTGACGCATCATTGTCTTCATACCCTGGCCGTTACAACCAGCACAGGTTTTGACCGCCCCCTCTTTGCCTCCACGGCCTTCGCACTGTGGGCAGATAACTGATTTTTGAAGAGCAAGTTTCGAGACTTTCCCGCGGTATATGTCTTCAAGAGACACTTTGTGGACGTGGTGGATTGTTCGTGCTTTCTTTGGGCCTGTATCGCGCATGCCTCCTCCAAACATGCCCCCAAAGGCTGACCCACCGCCAAAGAACTGCGCAAACAGGTCCTCGGCGGCCATGCCGCCACCTCCCATTCCGCCTTGTTCTAAGCCCTCTTCACCATATTGATCGTAAAGACTTCGTTTTTGAGGGTCGGACAGGACTTCGTATGCTTTGGAGAGGTCCTTGAACTTTTCAGCTGCATCTGGATTGTGGGCATTCTTATCTAATCAGGAGTTAGAAACTGATTGCCTCTCTCAGACCGAGCTTCGAATGATAGTCTTACCCGGGTGATGTTTTAGAGCACCCTTCTTGTAGGCAGATTTCAGTTGGGCCTCTGTGGCCGAAGGATCGACCTGCAGAAGTGGTTAGAGGGCGACAATTCCAAGCCTTACAAAAGGAAAGCGAGTCGCCGTACCCCGAGAATATCGTAATATTTCGTCTCTTTGACCATCTTGCTCGGGAGCGGTTTCGGGAGGAAGAAGCTGACTAGATTCGGTTGACAATCAAGTCAAGAAGGGCGAGGAATGTTGGGGGGTTGAAAAAGATTTGTTTTGTGAGTGAGCGAGAAGGAATTCCGGACAAGGAGGTTTGCCGGTCCAGGGGATGACAGAGGCGGTGATGGGACGTTGAGTATCCAGATAGTATTACCAAGAGGTACACATGTAGTGAGAAGGGTGCTAAGTGCGAAAGTCCTCCGATTTATGAGGTCAATCGCAGGCAAACAATTGTATTGTTCAGTTGCTGAGGCGCGCAGGGGGATCGGGTCGGGGAAGGTCTTAGAAAAAGCCAAGAGGAGAGAACCAGATCGAAGGTCGCAGATTCCGCCATCCAAGGATTGTGGACCAATCGAAGTCCGGATGAGGCTGAGGACTTCACCCACTCTGAGATCAACTTGTCTTTGGAGAGAAAGCCATGTTTCGTCAGCCGGATCAGGATTACTTTGGCTGCACAATTAACCACATCATTTATGCTGCTCCTCACAGCTTACAATATGCTTGTATTGTGGTGAGATTGTTATTTGGGCAGATTCGCATCCCAACCTGTCGGGGGAAATTTCCCGAGGCTCAGTCTAATAATCAGGATGCATCTAACATACATAACGAGCTAACTACTCGTACTAAGGATCCGTGCTCCGTGCCCACGATAAGCCCATTCCGAAAGATCTACTTGGCGCTTCTACGGAGTCCTGGACCCTGGCCCGTGCTTTCAGCCAATAACATGAACCCGAGATTTTTCTTTCTGGACTTTTTGTTTGCCGTGGGTCTCGGCAACGCCTGTTGTGCGTGGTTTTACGTGTACAAACACAACAATAACAACTACCCATAGTGTGCCGTGGCTGGTGACGGTTTGTGACTTGGGAATGAGCCTTGTCCCATTCCTCGGACCCAGCAACACCTATCACACATCTCTGGGCCCGCCCAGACAAGTCGCCTGATTCAGCCTTACGAGACCCCAGCCTTGTTGGTTTCACTTTCGGAGCGGAGAATCATTCTTGCGGTCATGCCATGGCACCTTCGTGGTTGGTTGACGGGCTGTTCTTCCTTTTGCATATCTACATACATAACTAGGCACCTAAGGTATGTAATTAGGTAGTCACAGAAATACCTTGTGGCAGGATGCATTCCACGTCGACAAAGCTCGGACTGCGCCTCGTGCTTTTCAATCCCCTCCCTCCGTTGGCAGACGACTGGCACCACTGGTTGACGTTGCGTTGGACCTGAGAACTGAGTTTGGAAATCTGCCCCTCTTCCAATAGGTCTGAAGGGATACGGTGTTGGTTTTCCCAGTACTCATACTATGGACCGTTTACCAATTCGAGGAAGGCTTTGCATGGGACACCACAGAGTCGGAGTGAGAGCATATGGTGGCCGTACCGAGTACTTCTCCATAATTACCGTGGCCTACTTGCCTGCCGCCTGCATAGGAGTTGTGTCTTTCGGAGCTCTAGGTAGTCCAAGGAAGCGGGGAAGCCTAGCCGTGCCTGGATAGCTACCTAACTTGTACCTAGCCTAATAGGCGCTCGGGCCTTTGATCAATGAGCGGCGCAAGCACCAACCGTACCCACTAATATTTCGAGGAAGATCGCCTTGGAGGCTCCCCCACCTCAGGTGCGATACGAGTACAACCAACATCCACCAACTATATCATCTCCTCATTCCTTCAAAGCCTCCTAAACATGCATCAGACACTCACACAGTTGAAGGGCAACAACATCCCTCTTACTGTCCCGTCATCAGCTTTCTTTCTGGCAACTGACCCCGAGCCAAATGTTACACAGAACCGTGACTGCACTGTGATAGGACAGAGAATCCGATCGTATGCAGGCTATCAAGGTCCGGTGACTGGCGACTGCAGCCTCGAGAGTTGTCACTACGTGGGACCAGTCTGAGGCCTTATCGACCTGAATTCGAGTCGACACCGACTCGCTGCCCACTGACCAACACTGTTATTTCCCTTAGGAAACCAGGCGCCTAAGCATGCGGGCAACCATTTCAAGTATTTCCCGCCTTTGCAGGTTCAGTCAGCTGACAGTGAATATGGCCAGTAACACTGTGCAGCAATCTAGCTACCTTGTTCCTCGTCCACAAACGTCCCCCTGTTGGAAACCAGAGCTCTTCGAGTACCTGACACGGATTCTGCAGTCCTGATTGCTCGCACTGTCAGGCCGCAGTAACCCAAGCCGATGCCCAACGAGGCCTAGTCCTCATATGTCAGAGCTCCAGAAAAGGGTTGCCACGTCGTCCAAGCGCCTTGGACTTCCCATCACGCCTGTCATCTGGCCTCGCAAATCTTATAAGACTGACGAACAGACCCGATGCTTGGTCTTCGAAGTTGGGGCATCAGCTTTGAAAAAGGAACCTCTCGTTTGGTGAGCCTACCGCGGAAAGAGGTATCGCAAAGTCCTGTCCGTGCCGTTGTCATGGTTCGCTCAAACCACAGCCGACCCATCCCGACCCAGATCTGGGAGAAACACAAATTCACCATCTATGCACTCTATGCGAGGCTGCCTCTTGACCAAGTCATGGCTGAAATGCAACAGAAACATGACTTCGCCGCCACTGCGCAACAGTACAAGCGACAACTGGGGAAATGGGGCCTTCGCAAGAATGTCCTGACTGAGTTGGATGTCATTGACGATGAATCCATCGCACGTGGAGGCAAGGACTCCCAACGCCAGATACGGCGCTTTCAGAAGAGGAAACAGCTCAAAACACAGAAGCCAGCGAAACCAAAGCCGGCCACCCCGCGCACCACCCGGTCAAGCTCGGCTCAGAAGCGAAGGCCTCTGTGAACTGGACGTACCAAATATCAATGGTGCTGCCCTCTTATTTCAGAGTGACATAGCTGGATGACCCTTCATGGAACGAGTTCTAGTCGCGCCTCAAGGGACTTCTTTGGTACTGTTCTATCATTGAACATTTCCGCGCTTATATGATACCTCATCATCACAGGAGTAGCCATGGACCCTTCGGCCTGAGATGTAAGCAAATGGTTACAACAAGTACGCAGGACCCCTTTGCCGTTCTCATGGCTCCCACCCTCCAACACCCCGACCTCGCACTTGGATCAATTGCTTCGCATGCTTTGAGCTTTCTCGAGAATGCAGGCTTTGTTGGCTCTCGCTAGTGCGCACCGTCCGAGCAAACGAACAAACGCTATCCATATCTTGTGCAAGGCTGAGATATCGTTTTGTTCATTTAGCCCAAGAGAACTACCAGCCCAAAGGGCATCCACCGCTGATTTCTGAACGGGCCAGGTACTATGGGGAATTGACGACCTGCGGTATATGAGACAAAGGGGGTCTACGTTTCAGACATTGTAACTGGACCTGTGTTCGGAAAAGGTATACGTATGTACCTCTTGTTCGCTTCGGACGCGGGAATATCGTGTATCCTTTTACATTGGTGGAAATCACGAGTACCGTCAGGGCCACAGAAATAGATCTCATGGCTAGGGTGGCATTGATACTGACAGGTCTAATATTCGTCTCAATCGCGAGCCTTTAGTATTATAAGCATCGGCATTCAGGACCCATGGCACAGCCACGCTGGAACGACTACCCCGGTGCCATTTCAACTCATCCCCGCGGAAATGCCCGGCAGCATCCGTCGTGATGTCGCCTGATTTCTCATATCTTGCCAGACCTCCTGCTTGCCCATTTCCTTGCGTGACCCTGTGGGAAAGTTTATACGTGCACGAACCGCAAGATCAACTGGTTACTCCTGGGTTTGGTGGTGTACGCGTCGATCTCCTCGATGCCGTTGTCGTCGACGATTTCGGTGGCCCAGTTGCTGTAGATGGCCGAGACGAGCAGCTTGATCTCCTGGATGGCGAGGTGACTGCCGATGCACATTCGGCCGCCGGACCCAAACGCCCAGAACCAGCGGTGCATCTCCCTGAGCTGGTCGTCGGACGAGTGCGACGGCAGCCAGCGCGACGGCAGGAACGTCTCCGGGTCCGGGAAGACGGCCTCGTTGCGGTGCAGCGTGTAGGGCATGGCCGAGACGCGCACCCCGCCGGGGATGTGGGAGTAAGCGCCCAGCGTGCTCCCACCCGGCACGTGCGGCGAGATGCGTGGCTCGATGCCCGGGATGGGCGTGTGTAGACGCAACGTCTCCATCAGGATGGCGTTGAGCAGCGGCAGGGCGTCGATCTGCTTTGGGTCCGGGAGCTCGAAGTCCCTCGCGCCGGGAGACAGAGGCCATTTGATCGGTGGTGTCAGCGTCAGGACCTCGTCGCGGAGTTGCTTCTGCAGGTCGGGGTTTTTGCTCAGCTCCCAGTACAGGTACGTCAGGGCGATGGCCGACGTCTCGTGGCCCGCGCCCAGTTGGTCCAGCATTTCGCTGTAGATCTCCGCGGTCGTGGTGTCATCTGTGTTGTTGTTGCTGCTGCCGTCCCCGCCGTGTAATTCGTCGTGCCGGGTGGTCGGCAGGATGACCTCGCCCTCCGCCTTTCCCGCGTTGGGGTCCTTTTCGCGGAGTTTCGTGATGCCAGTCTTAAACTGCTTGTACACGACCGGTTCGTCGCCGGGGTAATCTGCCAGTGAAGAACCATCCCCGCCGGTTGATGCTCGTCGCGAGAGGAACTCGTCCGCCTTGCGGCACATGCCGGCGTTCCAATCCTCCAGCAGGACATTGGCCTCGTCCACGAAATACGGCACGACTTGCAGACCGAGCCCGCGCGTGAGGCGCTTAAGCCACGGTGCTTCGGCCGAGAAGAACTCGTAGTCCCGACGACAGTGGTAGTGGTGGAGGATGTGCCTCCGCTTCGCCAGGTCCTGGGTGAGGTTGGTCCCCGCGGCCAGGCCGAACTGGTACGCCGACATAAAGTCCATGGCGAAGGCGTTGTTCATGTCGTGCACGTCGGCCGGTTCGCCCGTCTCGGAAAGTCTCTGGAGGAGCGGCAGGTAGCGGGTTGTGAACAGCGTGTGCGAGTTTGCGGCCACTTGCGGCGAAGAGGCGATGAAGGACTTGGAGTAGACGTTGGCCATGGTGCGTTTCTTCTGCGAATGTGGCCCGTGGTGGATTGTAGAGAACATGTTCATGACCCTGGCCCAGTCCATTTGTCAGTCTTACATTCTTCTGTTCTCCTCCCCCTTTTCCTCTTCTTTCCCCTGTTGGTCCGTTCTTGATGGGTATCGAGAACCACGGTTCAAATTCCGTGACAAGGCAATTTTTGGGAGTTTCTTCCACCTACCCATAGGAGCCAAATCTCTGCGGATACCAGGCGTGCTTTTCCCAGGAGCCGGCATAGATGGTCTTGATGCCGTTATCCACGCAATTGACGCTCAGCTCGTTGGCGCCCATGCGGACGACAGACCCGTGCTTCAAGTGAGCCGCATATGTCACGGCATTGTTCCTCTCCATGTACCGTTGGTAGGTGATCCAGGCATCTCCGAAGATTGGGATCGACCAATGCGCAGAGGGAATATGCCGCAGAGGGTGAAAGAGGAGAGGGTTGAGGATGAACTTGTACAGGGCCAGCAGAGCCAGCGAGCCCAACGTGAGCAGCGCGAAGATGGGCAGCGCCATATTTCGACAATCAATAGGCCTTGACACAACGAAGAAAGATAGATCGAAATACGAACAAACGCAATAAAAACGAGTGGTATCGAATGGAAGTGATGGCCTTCCTTTCTCTCCAAGTCACCGCTCTTATGATGCTGCTGCTGGAGGTGGTGGTCGAATCCAATCAAGGAGGGGAGGGAGATAAGTGAGGTTGGCCAACCGACGATGACACGACGGTGAAGCTTGTGATTCCTCAAACGCCTCACTCGATGAGCGAGAACTCCTGTTCTTCAGGTTCGACAGCACTCGGAGATGTGAGAGGAATCTGTCATGGAAATCGATCTACCCATACCCCTAATGTTAAGAGTAGGCGAGGAGCATATTCACCTCCACCTCATTAACCTAGATGTTGAGTTCGGCCGCGCAACTCCGTACGTACTTGGTTGGACAAATCCGTGATAGTGTCGTATGGGGAAGCAAATAATACTTCGCAGTCCAGATGGAGCAAAAAGAGGCGAGGATGAGTGCGGGCAACCTTTAGTGAGAACATGCAAAACACGGGACTTGTGAGGAACTGGTTGTTCGCGCCATCTATCAAGTGCTGGATACCTTCTGCTTGCCTTTTCCTTTGACAATGGTTGCCTCTGTCTCAACATCGTCATCGTCCTCGTCACTGCTCGAGAATTCATCTTCGTCGTCAAAGCCTGCAAACCGGCGAGCTGGTTGTTTGGGCTTCGGTAGTAAATGAGAGGGGATCTTGAGTCGATTCTGCAAGACCCAGAGGGCATCGACGTCGCCGGCTTCAGCTTCTGATCTGAGCCGGGACATATCCTCTGGGTCTAGCTCCATCAGATCTTCCTCATCGCTGTCTTCGTCACTAGGGGCGCCGGAGCCTCCACTGCCACTGCTATCTCCTTCTTGTGCGGACACTCCCTTAGACTCTTCCTTCTCGTCGCTCGCCAACATGGCCATCTTCACGGCATTTCGCACATTTTCTCCAACCTCCTCTTTCGTTTCAATCCACTCATCACTAAGACCTTTCCGCCGGCCATCAGGGCCCTTACCTGCTCGCATATCGGCCTCCCTTTGCTCAGCTAGTTGGATGACCTGTTCCCATCTCTTGCGTCTTTCTTCCTTTTCCTTTCGATCCATTTCCGGCTTGGTGGCCAAATACGCAGCCAGGTTTTTGGCCTCTGTGATGGTCCGCAGCCTTCTCCCGTCAAGGTTGCGTGCGCTCCCTGAAGCAAGCTCTGCATTTTGTTTTTTCTTGCGCGATGACATTCGGCCACCAGCTGCTCTGAGCTGGGAGCCAAACCCACCTTTCCCGCCCACGAGCGGTGCAGAGAGTCGGAGGGGGAGGAAAGAGCTGCTGCAGGCATGCTGGCCACATGATGATGATGGGCTTGTCAATTCTCCAACGGTGATCGTAGACGTGGGATACACGGGTTTGTTTAGGGTCGAGGTCAGAGTCAGGTGTGTGGTTTCTGGGAAATTAGGAGGGAGAAGCTCTGCTATAGCGGCCACTAAATCTGCGGTAGTTGAAGATGCTGGTAAGGGGAGACAGAGCGTCGCAGGAAGCGACAAGCCTGGAAAAGTGCTCAACAAGATGTTGACGACGGCCTCCATCTTGCCACGCCCCTGTCCTCGTGGACTTGCGACACAAGTATGTATGTAGTTAGGAATGCAGGAATCGACAAGAAGATAGGGTCATGCACTCCGGTACTCGATAGGCTGTTATGATGAAACTGACTTTGTAGAAACGTGTGCAGTGGCTTGTTTGAAATTGTCACAAGTCAGTTTTTGGAAGCGACTGGGCACGCAAGAGAGGATGCCGGTGCCTTGCAGAAAGGACCGCGGGCCAAGTTGAGGGGGCTTTAAACTCCAGGCCTCTAGCTGAATCCGGGCTGGGTGTGGCCGCTAACGAGGGAAAATTAGGCGACTAGTGGTCAAAGCCGTTAGGCGGTAAGTGCCGGGAGCTTGCAGCGGAGATCAAGACTTGCAGCTTTTCTGCGGGTGTGGCCAGGTGCCAGCGTCGTCTTCAAACATCGGGGAATTGACTCCAAGGAAACTCTCGAAACGCGTCGCAGAAAAACAAAAAAAGTCGAACGATTGATCATCCCACTACCCCCTCGTGTCCCTTCACCAAACACACAGCGACGCCCGAGCCGTCCTTCGATTCCTCCACAAGGTTATCGACCTTCCACACGATCTCTCCACCCTCCTCGGCCCATGACTATCTCACGAGAAAAGGGAGAGCGTGCACAGGCCCTTAGATTCGATCCACCGGCCATCATCGCGAGGCCACCGCCCCGGCCACTCTGAGATCCGTCCGATATTCTTGACGACACCTGTCCGACCTCATTCTGTCTTGAGACTTCCAGAGCGCTCCGATCATTTCTTACCTAATATGCCCTGGCAGCCGCTGCCTCTGTCGTATGCGGTTGCCATCTATCCCTTCCAGCCGACATCTTCTCCATCCGAACTCCCTCTTCAGATAGGAGACCAGTTATATGTCATCGAGCAGGGAGGCAAAGATGGCGCGTGGTGTCGAGGTTATCTGGTCGCGCCGCCCACCTTGCTGTCGGCATTGACTCCCGGCATCAGGACCGCCGCCGATGCCCGGGTTTTTTCTGGCATCTTCCCCAAGTGTTGTATCGAAATTCGAGAACAACTCGGTCCAGATGTGGACCCTCTCGTTCAGCCGGGCAAGCCAAAACCGCCCGCGCCAGTGCCCATGTTGAAAATCGGCGACGAGTCTCCGACGTCAAGCACCGAGCCGTTGGTAGATGAAATCACCTCCTGTTTGCGTGAGTGGTATGTCCTGCACCTCCCCGAGCTGGTGTTGCGCCGAGAGTATCATCTTCTGGACCAGATGTCGGACATCACCACTCGACTCGACTATGCCAGGAGGGAACTATTAAATGATGTGCTCACCACTCAGGAAAGGCTGCAGGTGCGGAGGGAGGCTGTTTGGGATCTGGTGCGAGGCAACAAAATGCTTAGCGGCGAGGTCATCGTTCGTGACCCGGCTCGACAAGGACGACTGTTGACGTCGCAGGACTCGGCCATCGAGCTGGCAAAACTACAGTCGGTCATGAGTGTACTGGATACTACGCCCTCTGAAAAGTCCAAGGCAACTTCACTCCACCACTGTCTCCTTGAGGTCACGTCAGTTGCGGGCACTGATCTCGACACGACAACACTGAGTCTTGCTCTGTATCTCAAGGATGCAGACGGAAATCTCAAGCCTTTCTCGGAAACGTACAGTTCCATCGCCAACTCCAAAATGAAGACACTCCTGTCCGATCTCAGTACCCGCGACATTGGGACCGATGATCGCTTGTTCCTTGTCGTCAAAGTTGTGGTTTCAGAATCTCCACGGAAGGCCAAAAAGAGAACAGTGGAAAGAGCGCCATCGAGAAACGGAACTCTTCTTGGTCCACGGCAGTTATCGCTCAGTAGACGGAGATCCAGCTTGATGTTTGGGAAGCGGCGCAATGCAGACAGGCCGCAGCCCGGACAAAATGGGAGAACCACTCCACAATCTCAGGACAGGGCATCTACTCCGTCAGTAATTGAGGAAGAGGAAGATGGGCAGAGCAAACCTGTTGGGCCCCCCGTTCCTCGGACCATTGGCGTGGGCGTCTTGGATATTGCAAAGATCATGAGGGATGGTCAGTCAAGGGAAGAAAGCGTCACCATCTGGTCTGCATCCCAGCGGGACGACGAGAAGCCTGGAGGTTCCAGCGACACAGCAGCACAGCTCCTGGATAGTCCAGGCAAGGCTCTTGTACTGTCTAACCCCGTCTCCAGTGCTACGTTCAAATTGACTCCTTACACTGCTCCTGAGGCAGACACTCTGATCAAGAACACCCCCACGTTGATGCATATGATCACCAAAACTCAGAAGATGGGTTTCTCAGAGGCCCCGTCCAAACCACGTTCAGACATCTACCTCACGTTGAGCAAAGCAGTCTTGACCCAAGGCTCCTATTTGTCTCATCCTGAGGTAAATGTGGCTCCGGTCAAGGCGCACTCCCTGCAGAACCTGCAACTAACCATGGAGGTACGTGACAACGCCGGACGCCGCGTGGAGCATTGTATATTTCCGTCGTCGAACGGAGCGGGAGTTACTGCCTTCCGAACGAATGCCGTTGAACTCGACCACAAGTGGGACCAGACATTATGTTTGCGAGTGCCGACCGAGAAGGTCCCCGAAAGCCATTTGGTTTTGAGTATTGCGGATGCTCCAGAGTTCCCGTTTGCACTGGCTTGGTTGCCCCTGTGGGATAAGCAGGCGTTCATTTCTGATGGCAAGCACTCGCTCATCCTGCACGCTTACGACAAGGTCACGTCGAGCATTGTCCATGGGCGCGGTGCATATTTGTCCTTGCCCTGGAACAATGCCAACTATAAGACGATCCATGAAGGTTCTTTGGCCACGATTGCTTCCCTGGAAGTCTGTACACACCTGTGCAGTACAGAATACTCGCAGGACAGAACCCTGGTCAGCCTGGTCAATTGGAAACATCAGACGTCGGTCCAGTTGTTGGATATCCTACAGAAACTCACGTTTGTTCCGGAGATCGAGATCGTCAAGCAACTTAGGGAGGTGTTGGACGCGTTGTTCGGAGTCCTTGTTCACAAGTCAGGGGAATCCAAGTTTGAGGATCTGATATTCAACGACATCGTTTGGGTGCTCGGAATCGTCCACGACCGACGGTTTAATCTGGGTCCTTTGATTGAGCAATACACTGAGAACCATTTCCGCTTTCCTTACGCCGCGGCATGCCTGATACGCAGTTTCACCAGACTTTTACAAAGCGTTTCGGACCCTCAAAGCGCCCGTGATATGAGATCGTTGTTCAAGGTTGGCAAAAGCTTCATGAGGATTCTGATCGTGTCATACCAACAACGACGCTTTGGCTCGCAGCCAAGAGACAATGATGAGAAGCACTCGAGTTTCAAGCAAGACATGCAGGCGATTCTCTTTGGCCTACAGATGATGATGCGCAGTGAGACTCCAGCACTTGTGGGTAGCAAGACGCTCCTTGTACAGAAATTCCACGACTGGCTTCCAGAACTGCTGCCAGCTTTCAGCAAGGAGGAAGTGATCAAAGTGGCGGTTGACTTTATTGACGCATGTGACGCAGCCTCTGGAAAACTGCTGTTATATAGAATCGTTCTGATCCTGAACTACACCAAGCTCGACCAGATCTGGGTGGACGAGAAAGACCGGAAGATGCTCGTTAAGCACTGTATCCGGTGGCTTTCGCCATACTGGACCCCAAACAACCGGTCAGACAATTGGCACGAGCAAGTCCGATTGTGCTGCTCAGTTGTCGCCGAACTCACACGGTTCCAAACTTCTCATCTGCACGACTTCATGCCGAAACTCATCTCTGCTTACAACACGATTGCGGATGGGCCGCCGTCTCGCCGACGATCCTTGTCCCTGCTCTTTTCAGAGTCTTATCCGCTGACGAGCAAGTCATCCGAAGCCAATGATCAGTTTGATGAAGCACTCCTTGAACTCTCCTCTCTCATCTCTACAATCGCGAAAATGAAGCTCCCCTCGAACCTCAAGCTCCAGGGACAGGATCTCACCGAGTACATCATCTCCACACTCATGGTTCTGCGGTCTCTTCTCAAGAATGACGCATTTCCAGCCTCGTGGCTCAGCCTGCACATCTACCACCACTCATCGGCTTTGACAATCTTAAACCATCTCTCGTCGCTTCTCATTTCTTCGTACCTCCCGACACCGGAAGACGCGGATGGTTTCGACATGCAGCTGTGGAAGTCGTTCCTTGATACGCTCCTCAAGCTCGTATCGTCGCCTGCGTTGACGCTCGAGCTCTTTCCTGAACAAAAACGCCGTGCCGTGTGGAAAATTGCAGGCGACGTGCGCCAACATGGCGCCGATCTCTTACGCAAAGCCTGGGAGAGCCTGGGTTGGGAAGCTACCGCCGACGACCAGCGACGATACAATATCCGCAGACTGGGAGGCTATCAAGTGCAGTATGTGCCCAGTCTTGTAGCGCCTACCATTAATCTTTGTCTGAGCATGCACGAAGGCCTCCGCAAGGTTGCGGTTGAGGTACTGCAAACCATGATTGTGAGCGAATGGGCATTGAGCGAGGACCTCGAGTTGATTGAGACGGAAATCATCGGTGCGCTGAACTCGATCCTGAAAGCGAAACCGGTGACGGCGAACGAAGCGGTGAGCCGCAAAGTATTCATCGCAGAGTTGCTAGAATTGTTCTCAACCATTGCGAATCAGCCAGATGATGCATTGTGGACGGCGCTTGAGGAGTTGGTGGGAACCATTGAAGAGTTAGTCGACCTGCTCACCAGCACCGATCCGGAAGAGGATCAATTTGTCAGGAATTCGTCGACCGTCCCCGCGAACCAGAATGGACATGCACAGAGCAATCATCAACGGGCCAGCAGCAAGGATGCGGACTCCCAGACGTCAGAGGCCAAAGAGCTTGCTCGAGCCCGGAGAAGCATTGATGGCCTGTCACCATCGTCGCAGCAACAGCGACAGCAGCACGGCCGCGACCGGGAGTACGGCGTGCACGCACTGGAATGCTACAAGCAGCTCGCTGAAGAGTATGAGAGGAACGGTGATTATAAGAGGTTGGCCAAGACGCATCGGGCGATTGCAAGAATCCACGAAGCGAGAGCGGCAAGTCGGTATGGAGGGAGGGAGGCGAACGTGAATGGGTCACGGATGGGGGTGATGGAAGACGAGGGGGAGGAGGACGACTTGTAAATGCGTGTTGGATGTGCAGGCACAAAAGAGCAGCGCCGGGTAAGCAGAGCAGAGCAGAACAACGGATGGTCAGAGTGGACGGACTCACATGTCCGGAGGCTTCGAGCTCTAGTAGCCAGAGAATGGAGAACAAGGTGGTATCACTGGCATGGAATGGATTTTGACACCCCGTTGGGATGATCAACTCGAGGTAGTGAAGAACGAGGGTGTTTTTGTGTTTTGCAAGGGAGCGACCTGGTCTTTTCAAAACGATACCCCGACCTGTTTTCCTCGACGACGAGGTTTCAGGGGCGTGGAAAAAGGGGGAGAGGTTTTTCGTTGCGTGTTGTTCGGGATTTTTCTGTGCGCCAACTTGTTTGGTTTCTGGGGGGAGCCTTGTGCGGATGGATTTCAGATAAGCGAAGCCTGAATGAAAATGTGTGTGTGTGTGTGTGTGTGTGTGCTCGGTGTGTGTGCTGATTTCTTTTCATGGGGGGTTCGTCCCAACTCTCTCCCAAGTCTTCTTTTTTGAGATGTTCTATCCACTCAAAGAGGTACCTTGGGTACCTAGCAGGCCTAGGTAAGTGGATAAAGAAGTAAGAAGGTCATGCACGTCCAGTCCCAAGAGGAACGTCTTGCAGGGTGAGGCGTGAGGTGTGGCATTGATCGAAGGGGAGGTCCCCCAGGAAGTCGGCGGCGGCAGTAGGACACGGGCTTCACGGGGTTAAGGTGCTCTGGGTGGTGCACTAGAGATTGCAGATTGCAGATTGCAGATTGCAGATTGCAGACGTAACATGCGGGTCGTGGGACTAGAACATTAGAATCATAGATTGCGTGGGCATGCTTGTACATGTATGCGTGCATGCGTTGGATAAGGACAAGACAAGGCTCGGTCAAAAGCGATCGATTCGGTCGAGAGAGAAGAGAGGACCGACCATTTACCATCACCATCACCGAGGATCAGGAGGGGAGGAGGCTCTTATGGCCGAGATTGACATGAGATGAGGTGATGTGATTTTGGTCTGTTTCTGCCTAGTGCCTGGGATATAAAGACGCAGGGAGAGTGCTGCAGTCAGAGAGAGAGAGAGAGAGAGAGAGAGAGAGAGAGAGAGAGAGGCTCGAGCACTTTGATAGATATTATCTCGCTCGCTGGGTACCTATTACTATACCTTGGATATAGCTACGGCCTAGCTTTCTCCTACTCCCTCTTCGTCTTCGACTTATCACTTTACTCTCTTGACTTTACTCATGCTCTCCTCTCCTCTCCTCTCCTCTAAGCACCCAACACACTTCGCTCCTTCATCCATCGAGGTACTCGCTCGGGTGGTCGGTGTATCGGTCGATCGGCCCAAAGTACCCGCGGTACGACAGCAAATAATCAATCAATCAATCAATCAACCCCCCTGCCAGCCACGCACGCACGCTCCCCGCCGGAACACATTCCGTGTCTGATTGATAAGATAATCACACATACTTTTTTCTCCTCCGTCGGGATTGTGGGGAAATTTGTTTCGTCAAAAGGCCCTGGCAGGCAGGTCGGCAGACAGGCAGGCAGGGCAGGCTGACCGTGTATTCGTCATTGAGAGATCGTCGGTATAATAATAATACAAGGATATTGTTATTTTTCTAGACGAGGAAAAAGGAACAAAGGAAAAAAAAACAACCCCTAATCTTCTTTCCCCCCTCCAGGTCCCTCCAGAGGAGGACTTCTCTTCCACGACTCGACCAGATCAATCGATCAATCAACCCATGTCCTCCTCCTCCTGCTGCTGCTGCTCTACGAGGGACGGAAACAAGCACAACAACTGCTGAGAAACACATACTCCCTCCTCGACCGCCGCTAGACCCTCCGACCGGAGCCTCCCCCTCCACTGGTGGCCGGGCATGTCTTCACTCCTCCGCAACGTCAAGACGTTCCTTACGCCCTCGTCATCGCACTCACACCTCCAGACGCGCGACGGCTTCACCACCGCAAAGACTGAGGCCGAGCTGTTTCCCCCGACCGACCCGGCCGTCGACGGCCAGGAGTGCCTGCATGACTGCACCTCGTGCACCGTGCACTACCCAACCAAGTTCTCCGTCGACGAGAGCGACCGGCTCTTCGGTCACGTCAAGGGCTTCAACGTCCACCTCCTCGTCGGCACGGGCAAGTCCGACTGGGTCCGCGATGTCACCGACGAAAAGGGCTCCGTCATGCAGGCCGTCGGCAAAGTCGGCTTGGACCTGAGCGGGAAGGGCGGTCGGGTCATGCTGAGCGCGAGCAATTTCCCTTCCGGGGAGGAGTGTCACGATGCTGGCGAGGAGGCTGGCACGAGTGATTGCATGCTACTGCCTAGTTGGGTCATGATCGAGAAGGTCAGGCCGAGTCAAGCGGCCTCCCTGATGAAAGAGGTGGTGGACAAGAGTGCCAGAAACGACACGCCTGTTGGCGGCGCCAAAAGAGCGGAGGTCAATGGGCATGATCATGTGCCGTCACACGCAGGAGAGCAACAAGAGCGTGAAGACATTCCGGATGTATCTGGTTTGCAGATTGGAGAGGGTGCAGAAGCACCACATCAAAACAGCTCACAGCAGGAGGAACAACAGCAGACATCCCAAGGCAACACGCTTGACCCGGCGCCACTACCGCTATCAATCTCCTCGTCCTTTAAAATCCGCCCTATACCTCATTCCTATCTAATCCTCATGTGTAGCCAAAAGACCCGCGATGCCCGCTGCGGCCAGTCCGCGCCGCTCCTCCGCAGAGAATTCGAACGCATTCTGCGCCCCATGGGTCTCTATCGTGACCTCCACGACGACCGACCCGGTGGTGTCGGGATATATTTCATTAGTCACGTCGGCGGCCACAAATACTCTGCCAATGTGATGATCTACCGAAGACAAGGACGGAAGAAAGAGGTGGGAGGAGATGATGTGGACGTAGACGGAGAGAAATTGGAGAAAGAGGCGGTTCAACTCATCTGGCTCGCGAGAGTGAGGCCGGAAGATTGTGAAAACATTGTGCGGTATACGGTCTTGCAGGGTAAGGTTGTCAAGCCGCAGAGGCAGTTGAGGGGGGGATTCGATCGGGAGAGGGGAGTGACGAGCTGGTAAAGCTCTGCTTGCGTACATCACGTACTGCATTGCACTGGATCACATTAGATTGGGTATAGACAAAGATAATAAAGGCTGGGGAACAATCGAGCGGCACTCTGCAGCACATCAGCATCGAGTCCTCGGAGCACGACTCTCGGAAAATTCTATAGCTTTTGGGATTCATATATTTTCAGGGTTGGGATGTAGACAATAGTCTTGGTTTTGCCCGGTGATCATGCCTCGACGAGGCTCAAATACACCACGCTTGGGAATAAGACGTCTCCCCTACTACCTCAGTCCACCGAGCTGACAAGGCTCCCCGTTCGGGAGAACCCGAGATCGCGAGGATCTCAAGGGCTCTCTGTCCCAAGGACCGAGCTCAAGGGTAGACTGGCCCCCCCGCGAAGGGGGGCAAAAGGATTCGGTGGTTTCTCTCAGTTCTGTCGACGGGGAAAATAGACATTAATGGGGGTGCTGTTAATGGCTCCGCAGTGTTTCGTCGAGAACGTCGCAAAACGCTGCGACCTTGGACTAAGCCGCCGAGACGGTTAGGAAGGGAACGTTTGCGACACAGAACTTTTTGGTATGAAAAGGAAAAGAAAAAGAAGGGAGGAAAGGAAAACGAACGGTTGAAATGAAATAGGGCCTCGAGAAATTCTTGCCAAGATTTAAGTCACGCTAGGACAAATATGGTTTAGTGAGAAGTGCCTGTCTGATAACCTCCGCAGCCCGATGAGGGTTTTGCCTGTTGTCTGCGCTGTAATCATCCCACCACCCGCTGCCTACCTGCTGTCTTCGTTAGTATTTCGGTTGGCAGTTCAAGCAGCATCTCCCAAAATGGCGGCCGCGGCGGATATTGAGCAGATGAACAAGCTCAGAAAGACCCTGGGTCTGCCTCTGTTGAGCGTAAGTGGACAACCTCCACAATCATCTGAAGGACCAACATTCAAAGAATCCAAAAGAAGAGACCAAGACTCCGACAGCGACCAAGATGACGACCCCGCGTCCACCCTAGAGACCCGGGAAGCCGCCGGGTACGAAAACTGGAACCAGTTGCGCGAGGAAGAAAAGAGGCGTGCGCTCCGTGAACAAAGGAAACGGGAGATCCAAAGACAGAGGGATGCCGAGGCTAGGAACAAGAAGCTCGAGGGCAAGGGTCTGGGGGATCTCGATGATGAGGCAGAACTTGACACGAAGGCTTGGTTGAAGGGCCAGAAGAAACGGCAGTCCAAGATCGAGCGCGAACGCGCCGAGCGATTAGCACGAGAGCTGGCAGATCGCGAGAGAGACGCCGCTGTCGAGTATACCTCCAAAGACCTTGCTGGCGTGCAGGTTGCGCACGAAATTGGCGACTTCGACGAAGGCTTGGGAGAGCAGATCTTGACGCTGAAGGACACGGAGATCGGTAAAGGTGATGACAGTGAGCAGGAAGATGTGCTGGAGAATGCGGACCTTATTGCCAGAGAAAAGGTTCAGGAGAAACTGAATCTCAAGAAGCGAAAAGTCTACGATGTTAATGACGACTCTGAAAAGGGACTACTGGCTCAGTACGACGAGAAGAAGCGGAAAGCATTCACCTTGGATGGTCAGGGTGCCACTATCGAAGAACGCGAGGCCAAACGCCAGCAGATCGGCGAGAAACTCAAGAATACCGTCAGCTTGGACGTTCTCAAGGCAGAGCCTGTTTCGGACTATTTGGAGATCAAGATCAAGAAGCCCAAGAAGGAAAAGAAGAAGTCAAAACGCCAGAAACTTGTGGATGAAGATGATGACATCGTCTTTCCACAAAATAATAGCAATGGCGATGCTATGCAGGTTGACTCTGCTGGCACCGCCTCCGCTCCAAGGGCGCGAACTGCTGGAGACCATTTTGATGACGATGAAGATCTTGCGAGTGCCCTTGCGAGAACCAGGACTGCGGTACTGAAGAAGCAGAAAAGAAAGGCTGAAGACATTGTCAATTTGTTGAAACAAGAACAGAACGAAGAGGCTGAAACTGGAGACACGAATGGCGGCCTTGTGCTCGACGACACCACCGTCTTCCTGGACAATTTATCTTCCCGGCCAAGGGATGAGCAGCTTGAACGAGGTGTGAAGAAGTCCATTGAGAAGGCCGAGTCAGAGAGCCCTACTCGGCAGTTGAAAGAGGAAGACGAAGACCACCAAATGGGCGAGGCTTATAGTGGAATTGACAACGAAGAAGAGCTCCTTGACCGCATCAAGCGCGAGCGCTCAACTGTAACGCCAGAAGTGCCGCACACGGGTCTTGAGGAGGAAAAGACACTCGATCAAGGTATGGGAGCCGCCCTCAGTCTTCTCCGACAACGTGGCCTTCTCAAGGAGAGTGATGCACCCAACAAGAATTCTCTGTACAAAGATCGGCAAAAGTTCATCATCGAAGCGCGCTTGCGCGAGCATGAAAATGAACAAAAGGCACGAATGCAGCGCGAGAGGGACCGTCAATCGGGTAAACTGACGGGTATGTCTGTCAAAGAACGAGAAGAGCATGCCCGCTGGCAAAACACCCATCGGGAGCACCAATCTTCCATCCAGGCTGCCGCCACCTTCAACCGGGAATACAAGCCTGATGTGCAGATCAAGTATGTGGACGACGATGGCCGTATCATGAACCAGAAAGAAGCTTTCAAACACCTGAGCCATCAATTCCACGGCAAGGGTAGCGGGAAGTTGAAGACGGAGAAACACCTCAAGAAAATTGCCGAGGAGAAGAAGCGCGAAGCAACCAGCGTTCTAGACAGTAGCAAGGCCACGGGAATGAGCAACGCACAGGGAACGATGGGCAAGAAGAACAAGGTTGCTGGCGTAAGGCTGGCCTGATATCAGTTTTGTGTGTTGTGGCTTGTGCGTTATCTTGACAAGGCTGTGGGTTCTTATAACGGATTCATCGAGAGGGACTTTGGTTGCTGTGGAGGTGACGGGCACGTGACATGGTAGAATGGAATTCCGGCCTCGGGGAAGTTTGGAGGCAGCACCCAGTGGCACCTGGCACTGACCGCGGGTGGCCGGAGCTTATACCTGTAGCTGTTCCGGTGGCTGCAAGCCCCTAGAACCAACCCTGTTTATTGGCTGCGCTCAACCCGATCCCCGCCTAACACGTACCTAGTGGCTCGCCTGTACCTCCCTGGCCTCCTGGAACACGCCCTTCCCCCAAGTATCTGTTCCAGGTACCGAAACGGAAAAGCAAAAGCGTTACGAATTTTTTTTGGAGAAGCAATTTCAGAGACAGTCGAACTGGAAGGGAACCAGAGCAGACAAGAGTTAATTCCAGCACCTCATCCATCATCCATCATAAAGGTCCTCAAGTCCTTCATCTCTCATCTCAATTCATCCTTGGCAGATCCAGATCGAGACGGATAAAGTGTCTCTGCTGTCCTCTTGTTGACTCAAAGTCCCCTGAAGCCATTGTACCTACCACACGACCACCTCGACCGAACGAGCTTCGACTTGAGCTGGCTTTTGCTCTGAAATAGACTTTTCTACAACCTGTCCTTGCGTGTACCATATCAGATATCCATCTCTAGCTTCATTTCTGTTGGCCCTCTCAACAATGCTCTCCACCCTTCGACCTACAGTCGCTCGTTCAGCTCTGCGCCAGCAGGCTGCGACCGCCACACAGGCAATCCGCATCGCGAACGCATCGACATGGGCAAACGTCAAGGAAGGACCTCCTGATGCCATCTTGGGCATCACCGAGGCGTTCAAGAAGGATAGCTTTCCTGAGAAGATCAACCTGGGTGTGGGCGCATATCGTGAGTGAGCACCAGAGCCTGAACGCATTCCCTAGGATTCATCATTGGCCTTTTCCTCCTCCGATAGAAAATGTCACCCATCCTCACGAGCCGTACTGATGTTTGTGTTTCTCTTGCAGGCGATGATAAAGGCAAACCCTACGTCCTCCCGAGCGTGCGCACCGCCGAACAGAAAGTCGTCTCCTCCTCCCTCGATAAAGAATACGCAGGAATCACCGGTGTGCCCTCGTTCACCAAGGCCGCAGCGCTGCTTGCCTACGGACCCAACTCCAAACCAATCCAGGAAGACCGCATCGCCATAACTCAGTCCATCTCCGGCACTGGAGCGCTGAGAATAGGCGGTGCTTTCCTCGAACGCTTCTACCCGGGCGCAAAGACAATCTACATCCCCACCCCTTCGTGGGCGAACCACAGAGCCGTCTTTTCCGACTCGGGGCTCGAAGTTAAGCAGTACAAGTACTACAACAAGGACACCATCGGCTTGGACTTCGACGGCATGCTCGCGGACCTCAAGTCTTTCCCCACCGGCTCACTCGTTCTCCTGCATGCCTGCGCACACAACCCCACCGGCATCGACCCGACCGAGGAACAATGGCAGCAGATCGCCAAAGTCATGAAGGAGAAGTCACACTACCCATTCTTTGACATGGCCTACCAGGGATTTGCGAGTGGTGACACCAACAAGGACGCATACGCCGTGCGCCTGTTCATTGAGCAAGGCTTCGGTCTCTGTCTGTCACAGTCTTTCGCCAAGAACATGGGTCTATACGGCGAACGTGTGGGCGCCTTCAGCATCGTGTGCGACAGCGCCGAGGAGAAGAAGCGGGTCGAGAGCCAGATCAAGATCCTCGTGCGTCCGTTGTATTCCAACCCACCGGTCCACGGAGCCAGGATTGCCAGTGAGATTCTGAACGATGCGGGGCTCAACAAGCAGTGGCTCGGTGAGGTCAAGGGCATGGCAGACCGGATCATTGAGATGAGGGCTCTGTTGAAGAAAAACCTCGAGTCGCTGGGAAGCAAGCATAACTGGGATCACATCACGAATCAGGTACGTCTCAGCCGTCCGCGGAGCCAAGAGAAGATAGCCCCAACCCACTGATATAAATGAGAGCTGGGACACTGACAGTTATGCTTCTAGATTGGCATGTTTGCCTACACCGGCCTGACGGCCGAGCAGATGGATAAGTTGGCCAAAGAGCACTCTGTGTACGCGACCAAGGATGGACGTATCTCCGTTGCGGGCATTACCACCGACAACGTCAAGAGATTGGCAGAGTCGATTTTCAAGGTGACTGGTTAAATTGGGTCCCAATGACACCTCTCTGTGTTCCAATACGAGCAGGCAAGGAGTTTTGGGTTAAGAGCGAATACTCTCCAAGACTACCAGCCAGCAATACTCGGCTGTCTAGCATAGGAAGCCATTGCTGACGATCTTGCTGGTGAGTGAGTGTCTAAGCCAGTTGGGGGTGGAGATTTTGTGGTTTTTTGTTTAGCGTATCGATCTGCACGTTCCGACTTCACACCAGGCACCATGTATCAAAATCGAGGGCGGCATCCGGAGATAGATAGAACAGGGGCGGACAAAACTCTCCATAGATTTGAGCAAATCACACAAAGAATGTTGAACGTGGAAGAATTCATCATGCGATTTTATCTTTCCGTGTCTCTAACTGTGCCCCACGGAGAGTGGTTTTGATTGAGATGGCTGTTTGATTACATGCAAACAGGAGAGGGGAGGGAAGCAGGAAATCGACCGAATGCAGCATGCACCATATCCATCCCTCTGGACGCCTGTGTAGGGTAGTTTTGAGGTACGCGGAAGGGGTACGTACATGTATATGTACATAATGTGTACCCCCATAGAAGAATGCGTATGCATTATGTATCTACGTATGCCATGAATGCATATAGGTATCTAGGTAATTAGGTATCTCGAACCTCCTCCCGTCACACCCATCCTTCTATTTCACCTCGATACTGGAGTGTACATATACGCATTTATTCCATATCTAACGAAAGCGGAACAGACACAGACAAAGCAAAGACGAGAAAAAGGTAAGGGCGAGGTTCATTATTGATTAATTAATCGGGATCCCCGAAACAACCAATAATAAGCACCAGGAGCCACGAGCTCGGGCTAGGGCCAAGGCGTTGACATGTCTGCATGTCCAAGGTCCCAGAACAGCGGCACCGGCACCGGCACGGCCACCGGTACCAACACCAGCATCAGCACCAGTGCACAATTGAGAGGGTTCAACTTAAACATCTTGGGAGACCTTGGGATCTCTTTCGGCGCGACCATCTATGGATCTGGGCGCTGGGCTGGGGGAATGAATACACAGCACACGGAGGTGAGGACCTCGTACCCGATCGATGCGTCTCTTCTATTACTTGAATGTTCAATGTTTTCTTCTCGTAAAGTAAGCGAGATGGAAATAATATACTGTACCTCGTACCTCATACCTTGTCTTGTCGATTGTTCCCCCAAATGGGTTTGACGAGGAGGTGCCCAGAAAGGATGTGTTGAAAAAAAGGGAGTTTGGCCGTATTTGGCCCGCCTCGATCTCCCTCCCTCTCTCTCTCTCTGTGCACGCTATCACCGCTGGCCATGTGGGCAACATGTGGGTAGCATGCAAACTAAAAAGAAACTATATCCCGGATCCCCTTTTGCTCCAAGAGGCCGACCGACCCCCTTATACCACCACCCGTCCAGACATCCACCAGACAGCCGTTCTGGGAGGGGGGAAACCATTTACTGGGTCTTCCGGGAGAGATTTCCAACGGCTCAGACAAAGTCTTTCCGTTTACCTTTTTGCTGCTCGGTGCCGCTAGCCTCACCGCTGAACGCCTCCACGTCTCTTGTGTTCGCTTCTTGTTGCTCAATAATTGCTCGCGACCCGAGATCTCCCCAGGCTGGCAGAGGCTGGCAGGGTCGCGGGTGCAGGCGGTTCCCGCCGCAGTGGAGGGCCGTTTCACTACCATGGACATTTCGACTGCTCGTGTCATGGGAGAGGGGTTGAATCAGTTGACCTTTTGTTCGTATAGTATTCTCTCACCAGCAACCACCAAACAAAGCCCAGACAAATGCCGGTCAAACTGCGTTGGGAAGTCGAGGTAAGGTGGGGAGAGCCGCTGCTTGCTCCCGAACATGTCGTTTGGGCCCTTACTCCCCCCAACCGAGTGGGAAGACCAAGAGTGTGTTCCAGTGGCGCCAGTGCTAGGCTCTGGCGTGATGGCAGCCGAATGGGCGCCCAAGCTGCGGGTTGACATCATTGGCTTTGTGGTCTCTTCGCCTACCCATCGGTGCGCCACTGCTTGCTTTTTCGTCTTTCTCTTGCAGCTTCAGCGGCCGCGTGGGCTGCACGAAAAGGGGACCAATCAAGCCTATTTCAGCGCTTAGTTGACCCCTTGGACAAATACTTCTGTTCTATAAAGTCGTCAGAGGCCCTCCTGTGTTGCTGCCCCGAGACTGGTGACTTGTGCTCGTCTGCACTCCGTACGACACCGATGGGACCCTGAACGCTTATCGACGTCATCGCGCAGGTTCGAATTGAGGCAAAATTTTTGACGTCCAAGGAGGCAGCGTAGCAGCAAATTCGAGGGGACAGGGTGATTCGGAAAACGAGGGGCAAACAGGCCTCGAGCGACCTCCACAGTAATGGCAACTAGCTGGAGGAGGTGGCCCCCTCCGTTGATTTTTGGATTGCATGCACCGTAGACAGGCGGACTGAACACTCACCAGAGGGATGAAATTGTAGTTGCACAGGGCATGCCGTCAGCTTTCCCGATTCATGGCGTATCAGTGTCGATCTGCCGTATTCCTGGCCGGTAAACCGACTGTTTCGGGAATGGACCCAACTGTGCGGCTGCTCGTTGGCTCAAGCGTTCTGGGGAGTCTAAATATGCTCCTGCAGGATAAGAGGACTTGTCTTGTTTCCCAACTGGAGTGGCAGAAGACTGGAGAGTGAAAGCATTCCACCTTCCGAAGTCCGCTAAAAAGTGGTGGTGTTGGGTGCGATTGGGGAACCACAAATAGTCACCTCATCTCTTGAGTCACTTGTTCTCCGTCAAGCAGGGTATTCCCCACGCGACGAGCCACCCGTCAGCTTACCGAGCCCAAGATACGAGTAGCTGGCTGGTGGCTGGAAAGAACGGGATGTGGTGGTATCGCCGATGTCTGTTTTGAGGGTGAGAGAGTATAGATACGTAGGTAGAAGCCGTGGGAGTGGTAATCTATGGGAGGTACCGATGGAGGGATCGAGGGAGGTGAGGAGTGAGCAAAGGGTCTCGTTGGAAATCGGAACGAGAGTAGAATGAATAATGGGTCTCGAGACGAGGACTGACTGGTGGTGGGAGGGCGGGTATCCTAGGTCGGCCGTGGTTCTCTTGCGTGCCGTATCTCTCTGCCTCTCTCTTGATGCCCACGGGCTCCAGTTTTGTTCCTTGCGTTGTCCTTAGCCCATTGAGGTGGTGAAAATCCCTTCAGCCTCGAACTGGTTCATCATAGAGTAGGCTCCAAAGTCGCCAAGCAGACAAACTCGTCCCCAGATTTTATTCCCTTTACCTCAAGCTCCCTTGTCGCACCCATCTCTTCCAGACGAGCGTCCAGGTATACGACAGGGTCGCCTCACACCCTTCGGACACGGTCGAAGTTTCAGGGTCCTACTTTCTTCCTTCTTGTTCCATTCGTGTCTTTTGGCCGCGTCCGAGTGTGAAGTGGGATTGCGCTTGGCCCCCGCTTGTCTTTGGGACGACTTGACGCTTTTGGTGGTTGATCTGCGCTGCCGGACGGAGATCTTGGGCTCGGTTGCTCGCGAGACAAAACGCATATCGCAGGCCAGCATCGCAGGAAGTAGCCGGTTGACCCGAGTTTCGCACAAGAGAGCAGGGCCTGAGGTACGTTAGCAGCAGTCTTTTTGCCCCTCTCAGTTGGTCCAGGGGTGGTGCATTTTCAATCGCAGTTTGGTGCATGGGTGCGTAGGATTGGAGTTTTTTTTTTCTCGAAGGGACATTGACCCCCTTCACCACATCGGTAGCCCCGCCCCTTGGGACAAAAAAGCTGAGAGAAAACAAGAGCCCCGTCAGATCTGTTCCTGATATCATTTTGCAGGCCCAGTGCTGTTCAGCCTCAAGCAAACTTGCCGGCTTCTGGTGAGGGTATTCCAAGGGACATTTTTCGAATGAGAATTGGTCGCTCTCCCGCTCTCCCGCCCTCGCCGCAGACTTGAGCACCTCTGATTTCGGCAGAGCGAGTTGATTGAGCTTCAGGATCAGCAATCATCGACAAAGACGTCCGACGTACGTCACTTCCCACTGGTCGAGCGGTTTCAAAATTCGTCAATTCGGCTTCCCAATTCACTGCAGGCAATCGTCCGCCGACAACATCTCGTAGCATTTTTGTACAACTGCAGTGTTACTTCCATCTACAATCTCAACGTTGGATTGCCGAAGGAGTTGATCCGTTTGCTGGGATCTGATTACCAAAAGTCTTCGGCTCCCGCACATCCTGGTTGCCTCTTGCATTTTACTCGACTGTTTACCTTTTCCCCTCTGTGGGATTCTGAGGTCGGTTGAACCCGTTGCACATACTTTGAAGGGTCTTGTGACGCCAGCCAGCACGAGGGTTTTGAGTCTCGATCTGACCATCTTGGTAAACCGCTGACACCATGTCTGCAGACAGACTATTTCCACCAGCGGCCTCTCTGCTATCCTTATCTTCACCGCTGACTCCGCATCATTAACATCAACGACACCATTGTCACCCTGGTTGCCATCCCCAGACACGCCTGCGCCGGTCTTTGGAAGGATACCCTACAAAGCGGCGAGAGAGATTGTGACGCTCCTAACAGCCAAGGGCTCGCCCACCACCTCGAATCAGTCTGCACCTGCCCACAGGCTCGTTGTTTCACGTACACGTGACGCCATGTCTGAGGAAGTAAGTACGACAGGGAAACAGCGACGACCCATTCCGGGACAGGGGCTGAAAAGCATCGTGGACCTGCCATGGCTGACGTGTGGGCTCGCAACAGATCGAATTCGACTTCGGTGATAATGTCGAGAAGAGCACGTTTGAACAGATTCTCGACATGGACGAGGAAGATGATCGAGACTTTTCAAAGTCAATAGTCTTTGGATTTTTGGAGCAAGCAGAACAGACTTTTGGCAAAATGGACACTGCCATGTGAGTCTCTGCATGCCGGCTGCCGATGGTCACGTCTCGCACGTCTCGCTGCATGCGTTCGGGGTGTAACTGACCCGTGTTTTCCAACAGGAAAGAAAAAGACCTCGCCGAGCTTTCCAGCCTGGGTCACTTTCTCAAAGGCTCGTCTGCGACATTGGGCTTCACAAAGGTCAAGGATGAATGTGAGAAAATCCAACACTATGGACACAAGAAAAACGAGACCGGCGAAGTGGATGAACCAGATGAAGACAAGTGCCTGAGACTCATTGGCGAAAGTCTTGCTGAGGCTAAACGAGCTTATGAGGTCGTCAATAGCCTGATGAAGCAGTTCTACGCCGAACCCTGACGAAAATTGGGTTTCCCGGGATCAACGTTCCTGCGCACGAGCACTGGCATCACCACCTGGTTCTATGTTTCAACGAGAGAAATCTGGGATCTGGACCACCAGCTGGTTTGTCTACGGAGCCGAACGAGACGACGGCACTCTTTCGCAACCCCATGACTCGAAGTGCCAGCGTGGAATCGACCCAATCACTTTCCAAGACTCCTCTTTACATACGGCATGCGTTTAGACTGCAAGACATGATGACTTGTTTGATTTCATTTGGGACGGGGTGGGAATTGGGCATCGTTCGTCATCGAACTGAGGACTGACAGAACAGAAATTCTTGCACGAACTGTTCGGGGTTATGCGCCCACGAACGGATACATAGTAACCCCTTTCACCATTCCCCTTTCTCTTGAGGCAATCGTCTTTGCTCCTATTTTTGTCTCCAAACGCTGTCTTTGACTAATCATGCAGCCACAGTTCTCTTGTCTTCTTTTGCCTCCAAATCGATATTGGGTTGCACTCGCGGTGTTTGGCGACAGTGCTACATGGTGAGCGACAGAATACAAACCGATTTCCTTCGCCGCTGGTTATGCTGGTCCTCCTGAATCGCACGCTGCAAGGAGAATCATTGTCACTCGTTTTGTCCACTGCAGCACCGTACCAAACTAGCTGTCAAGCTCAGACACAACGCGAACAAGGGACATCATAGAGAGCAAGATATCTGCCTCCGGCACAACGAGAACAGTAAGAGAGGTGCAGGGTACAGAACGAAAAAGGCAACAGCCGATGCCAGACGCCCGATCTGCAAAGCAGTTGGGCACCCGTAACACACAGGAGTCATGATCCATCACAGCCTGTGGCTCAATTCATCCTCTCAACACTGCGGTTGTTGAAATGTAGTGCTGCCACTATCAGTACTAGGAGCAGTTGCATCTCTCACAGGTGTCATGATACGACACGGGGTGTTTAATATTCTTCGATATACCTCGGTTGATCACCAGAAGCGTTTGAATGTCGGGTGGCTCGATTGGAGGACATGCTGCTTGTCTCGAAGAAAGTCTACACGGTGGTAACATGTCCGACGACCGGTTGGAGATGCGAGCCATATCCACGTCTTCTGACACCAGCTCTGCGGTTCCAGTGGTGAGGCATCGGGCTCAATGTGCTGCACGGAGGTGTGAGTGGAGTGATGGCGCATTTGAAGGATGTCTGTGGTGATGGCATTGGAACGATGCTGAATGTTGCAGTCTGACCTTGCGCTCTGGCAGCAGCAGTCGAGGCCGCGCTCACGCCCTTCCCACGGATATCACTGCTGGGCTGGTCGTGCTGATGCTCGTGCAGATATGCGTGTTTCAGCGTTGTCGTCAGAATTTGTGGCTGCCACCTGTCACCCCAGTGCCCTGCCGGCCCCCATGTTGCGTATTGGAGGGTGGGAAACTCTGTCTCTATCCCTGAGGCTGTGGCTTCGCTGGTCCTGATGTCGTCGTGCAGCCAAGAATTCGGCAACAAGGGTGCTTGTTGATGTCCACTTTCAAACGGACAAGGACCTGTTCGGGCAAGGGAGTGTTCGACGATACTCGCACCTGCGGCTCTGCTGGACATCGGGGAAGCTGGAGTAGAGGCGCGAAAAGAAGAGATCGAACTTTCAATCTCCCAGTTGTTCTGACTTGGTGGTGAGGAAAAGGATGACGAAGACTGCCTCATTATACCAGCATCCTGAGGCTCGTTGAGATCACGATACTCCTCCGGGATCGGGCTGTCGTCTCCATCATCGGCGCAGAATACACGTGCCTCTATCGCCGTCGAATGGCCACGAAATTGAGCCTGAGCCTGAGTCTGAGACATGACGGGGATGATGTGACTGTCGGTTGTCGCCGCAGACACAGAGAGCTCCTTCGCAGGGACACCCGCTTCTGCACCACCGCCGCGGCTTGCGCTCCTCCTCTCTTGTGCCCGAAACGCCAATTCGGCAAAGAGTCCAGCGAACCGGCTTCGTCTCGGGCGGTTTCGATACTGGATCGCCAGGCTTGGGGACTCCATCAGCGTCATCGTTCCTCCACGCCTCTCAGATCCCCTGCCTCCGTCGCTTGCGATTGTGATTGTGAATGTGAAGTGCAATGGGGGTTACCGAACAGAACAGAGCTCCGCTAGAGCAGAGAGAAAGAGATATGGGGAGGAGAGACGCGGTCTTTCTCGTGACGACCGATACACGAAGGGGGGGGGAGTTGGGTTGGAGGACGAAGAATAAGGTATCGACGATATCCGTGGGCCAACAAGAGAAGAACGTTCGGGTCTTGGAATGAGGATTGAAGAGAGAGTCTTCTTGAAGCAAAGGAACGAGAGTATTTGCACAAGGAAAAACGAGGCCGTATATATGTATATAATTACTGTGTCCATCATCATCACCACCGTCTCCATCTCCAGAGCCACTATACAATGCAGTAAAACGCAATGCAATGCAATGCAATACAGTTCTTTGCTTCTCTTGCTTTGTCTTGTCTCCGGCTTGTCGGTAGCCAGCCGTGTTTGCATTCCGTGTCTGCGATTGCGGTTGGGGCTGTGGCTGTGGCAGTTTTTGTTTGTATCCCGACCCTTGTGTTTGTCGTCGTCGTTGTCTATCGACACGCAAGTCTACACGTTTCTCTTGGTCTCCGGGGTGGTCCGGGCGTCCAGGCGTCCAGGACTCTTGGGAACATCCTCGGGTCTAGGAATCAAAGACACTGCAGGGAGAAGGAGAAAGAAACTAGGGACAGCGAGCTGGAATGGAACCCTCTTACAACAAACAACAAACAACAAACCAAGTTGGCGTATTTGTCCTCAGAAAACCCACACTAGATGCATACATCGAAAGAGGGACATTTCTCTAGATTGCCCTCGATTAATGCAATGCAAGGACAAAAGAAAAAATACTAAATAATGCAAAGGTATTAATGTCCGCCATTGACGACGACGACGATGACGATGCTGATGCTGATGCTCCGTGTGAATCCCGCCTTGTCCCCTTTGATAAAATGCCACCCACAGACCTGCCGCAAGTCGATGCCACCAGCCAATGTTGTCCCCTTGTTGCGCCATGGTTCATGATTGCGCCTCTGCCTGTGCCTGTGCCTGTGCCTCATAATTGAATGGTGTATGCCGAACCCTGCCGTGGTATCAAAATCACCAGACTCCTTGCTGCTCGATAACCTCGGAACATTATCCTAGCCCACACCCATGCCTGACCGACTTAGTTCGTTCCCTCCAAAGGGTATTCCTTGTTTTTATACAAATTTCAAAGGCATAATTTGTTGATCACCGTGCTCAACCATGACAGACATGGTTGTTCGTTGAGCACTGCGGATAGTGACGGAATTCCCGACTTTCTGCTCTTGGGCCTGGCCGTCCTCGCAGCTATACACTCGAGTAGATAGCTCGACATTCTATCCCAGGATCGTCGCTGATCGACTTCTTTGGTAGAGGACTTGCCACCATTAGGAACACCCTTCACACCACGGTCACTTCGAGTTTCAGACCCCCTTCACCAGAGGTCGGCAAAGGGTCTGAAGCCCATGCTACATGACGTATCGTTCCTGTCGATTGTCCTGGACAGCCAGTGGCATTGAAGTCCAATCAGTCGGAAGCGGCATGTGGGTAGCCATATGAGGCTGACGAGGTCGAAGACCATAGTCCTCGGGCTCCGTGCTCTGAGGTCTTCGAATCGCACTTCCAGGATAGTAGAGCGAATGCCCACCATAGGCTGGTTCTGGGTAACCGTAAGTCTCCAATGAGGCTGGTGTTGGCAGTGATCCGCCACCAGGCGACCCCCACGCCAGAGCTCCCAAGTGAGGAGACGTACTGCCACTGGTGGTGCCGTTGGCGGGAGGCTCCAGAGGTTGAGGTGGTCCATATGCTGGCGGATGAGAGGTGACAGGTCGCTGTTGCGGCGCACTCGTATATTGCTGGAGGGAATGGCTCGTTAGAGGTGGTGTCGAGCGGGGCGAATTTGGCCCAAAGTCGGTCCGCATATGAGGCGGTAGGGAATGAGTTTGGGGTAAGAATCCATAGTCTGAACCTTGACGTTGCATGCCACTGGTCATAGGGGGAAGCTCTGAATGCGGTGAAATTGACAAGGTTCGATCTGCGGGCGATGCTGTGGAATTCCTCGAGGAGCCTCCTGAAGTCGACTCGTAGATGGACTGGCTCCGGGGATGCGATGGTGCTAACTTCGCATTCACCTCCGCGGCAGCTTGCTCCAGTGTGCCCGTGTGTTGGATTTGGTGCCTCGTCAGGGTGGTACGTCTTGTGAAGGTCTTCTGGCAATTGGCAAATTCACACTTGTATGGACGCTTTCCCGAGTGGATGCGCCGGTGCCGTGCAAGGGAGCTGGAGTCTGAGAAGGGCTTACGTGCCGAATTAGTCTCTGGGGATGACTTGGTTGGTATTCCAAACTCACCTTGCCACAATGACCACACAAGTGCGGTTTCTCTCCTGTGTGAACCCTCACGTGCACAGTCAAAGCAGATCGTTGTATGAATGACTTGTTGCAGCCTGGGTGGTTGCAAGCGTGAGGTCTGTCACCGCTATGAATCCGTTCTGGTGGGAAGGTTAGTGCGTTGCCCATGCCATGTAGATATGGAGGTCTCTCACCGTGTCTGGCAAGATCACTGCGTCGTGCAAACCCTTTCGAGCAGGTCCCGCAAGGAAATAGTTTGGGAGCCGGCTCGCCCTTGATCTGGGTAGGGGGCAAGTTTTCGTCCGAGATGGTGGTCTGGCTGTCGTGCCTTGGCATGTAACTGCTCGCTGCGTACATCTGAGGGCTATTCTGAGGCGGCGCCATAAGACTGTACGGCGTCACATGAGACTGCGGGAGGGATGGCTGGTGGTGAGTCATATCCGGGCCGTGGTCCATGCTGTACGCTGCACCGTCCAGGTGAAGTGATTGCTGAAACCGGGCCAGCTCGTCGCCGCCCTCAGATCGCTTCCTCGAATTCAGGAGCGTCGAAACGTCCATGCCTCCCTTGACTGGAAGAGGTGGCGATAGTGCCAGAGCCCGCTGATAGACACCCAGAGCCCGAGGATTTGGGAGGCGTTGGAAATTGAGCCCGAGGTGTAATGACTGCATGATTTTACCTGTTAGCAGAGGAATACGCAGACGAAGGAGGAACGGAAGATGGGAGTCGAGGCATTGAAGAACACCTTGGCCTTCAAAGGATCAGTGCTGGGACGAAGAGGGTCAAGGCGCTGTGGAACGCAGACGCTCATGCCTTTGCCCTTGCTGGTCCGACAGCTGGAATGGTCAAGGGCCTCAATGCACAGTCCATTGTCCTCAAGAGACCACCACCAAGTGTACGGGGTGTTATGGTATCTCACCTCAGGCAGTAGAAGACAATCGACCAGATGCTGAAAAGAAAGCACCAAAGAAGGGAAACAACTGAAAGGTGGCAGATGTGTAGCTCCCCGAAGTCACCTACACCCGACAGGAATGCCAGCAAAACAAGGGGAGCAGCAATGCTGGTATTCCCTTGGCAACCACCTAATTCTTCTCCGAGACAAGTTCTTCGTCGACACCAATAACTCGGACCTCTGTCCCTGTGACGCAAATCTGGCTGGTCTCTGGTCTGGATTGGGCGGCAATGTTCCAGGTCTCCGTCAATTGGCGTTGGCGTGGGTAGATGTCGGAGATATGCTTGCAACGCAAGAGTGAAGAGGCCGTTGTCAAGAGGTTCCTGGATTTCTGGAACTCGACCTTCCCGCACCAGGCGGTATTTGAGAATGAATGAGGTGTTGTTTGTGTATAATGATAAATGTTCGATAGACCCTCGCATATAATCTTCCAGCCGCCAGTACCCCGATCACCAGCCGTTAGAGGCGACTCCAATGCCAACGGAATCGCTCCTCTAGAACCGGGGGGTCGATCCAAAGGTACAGAGCCAGAAGGTCAAGACTGCATTCGATTGTCCTTGTAGGGAGCATCGGAGCGGCGGTTACCGGAGGCGGAAGTTGAGGAGCCGCGAGGTGAAGGGATAGCGGTGGTTCTTCTGAATCTGGACTGCACGGAAGAGGAAGAGATCGAAGCGGCGATTGAAGGGAGTGTCAGCGATGGGATTGGCAGTTGAGGACAGGAGGAGCCGTGCATCGAGCGCGGTCTCGCTGGGAGAAGTGGCAGCAGTAGTGGCAGCAGCAGCAATAGTAACGACAATGTGGAATTGGTAGCATAGACGGCGGGAGTATGAGGGAGGGCACAGACAAAAATGGTCAGGCACGGATCGTCTGAGAAAGGGTCACAAGGGTGTAGGGACGAAGGCTTGTTTCTTTATGTCTCGAGGGACACTGCCAGAGCCAGCTGGAGTCGCAGAGACAAGGAAAAAGGCAATTCAAGAATTCAAACACATCATGACTCTTTAGGAGGTTGTTTGAAGCCACTGTAATCGTCGTGAGGTACAGTGGTCTGCCAAAAAGTTTGAGGCGTTTGTTGGAGGTGGAACTGAGGGATTGGGATTTTGGGGGGAGGAGGAGAGAGAGGGGCCGCCTTAACTGCCTTAACTAACTGGCTTAACAGCACCTGGTGGCGCCTGGTGGCACCAGCTTTTTTAACTGCCTCAACTGCCTACCCACCTACCTTAGGTGACCTAAGTGCCTAACTAATTACAGAGGTAATGAACTTGGGGTCTGCCAATCCGAAACGGCGTCGGGTTCCTTGGGCCCTTGCCACGCTTGCTTAGACAAGCTGCAGGGTGCGCTGCAGGTTCGCAGCCAACAGCCAAGGGGAGCTTTCTCTGTCTCTGGTGTCTCCATCCCCGGCCCCAATTCCCTGATGGGTCCCCTTTGTTCTACCTCCTCCACCTCCTCGTATCAACCTGGTATTCCAATTCCTTCTAGTTCTCCCCCTTCTCACACTTTGCGTTCCTACTAAGTTAGGCTCTGGCAAATGAGGTGTGCAAGGGTATACGAGTACCGACACTGACATGAATGATGCTCTCCACCAAAGCCAAGTCCCTGCATGGCGTTCGAACTCTATGGCTCGTTTCCCTCACCTCATACCTCCTCCGTGTACCTCATACAACTACGGTTCCATGATGATGAGACTGCATAACCCTTCAACTTGCTCATCTCGGGGCATAAACCCATGCACACATGTGTCTCGCTTGTTGCTGCTGGCATGGCATGGCATGGGCCTAACTCGACCAAGGTAATCACCTCTTTGGGATCTTATGCGATTGATAACACTCAGAGAGATCGACCGTCATCTACCGAGATCACGAAATGACCCCTCCTCCTGTACGAGTACCTCCTCATCCTTCCTCCTCGTCGACTTGCTGGCTTGTAAGCGAATACAAGCTTGTCAGCATTGACAGCATGGTCTGAGAGAGAGAGAGGAAGATTAAGCCAGCCGTCGCGGCCCAGCAAATGCCTGGATCAGCGGGTTTTCGGTACCTGCCAAAATGTTCTTGGTTCGCTGGAGTTTGGCAATCCGATGTCCTTGGCTTCGGCTTTGTCTATTTCAACATGTCTCTCGTCAATAACCCATGCCAGAACAACTACGAAGTACCTACCTCGTACTCCCTCCAAAATCCAACCTGTTTCCTCCAATCAAACCAAGACCGGCAAGTTCCTCCTCCCCGGAAAGAGTTAGACCAAAGCGTGGGTTTCCGATCCTCTTTGTCTGACCAGAAGAGACTCCCGGCGATGATCTCTTATGCTGCTTGTGCAAGAAATCCTTGACCAGGCACGAGTATGAGGCATTCGGTATGCATGTTCCAAATCCCATATCTCGGCGTCATGGCTCGTGGAGCTTACCTATGGAGGATGAGCCACGCGTGCATCACTCAGCAGGAAGGAAGCTTGAAACGATGCACATGCGCATCCTGTGGAGCGACGCACTCACCAACGGTTCCGCACCAGTCTCTCGCACCAACCACTCCTGGGGAGCTGATGAGCACAATGACCAAGAGACCAGATCCCCAGGTATGTGTGTGATGTATGTCAGAGGCCTGGATTGGATCGTCGTCGTTAACCAACATGCAAAAACCGAATATGTCACCACTACTTGAGCATGTTTTTCGTATACAGCTTCTGGAGAAGAAACAAAGAAAAAGGTTGGAAAAAGTCGATTGAGAAAAGTTCCGCGCTCCGGCCCCGATACCCCGTTTCCGACATATGCATCCCATCATCATTTGAAATTCTTCATATGCTTGATTCCTGATTCCTGATTCCTTTTTGTCTTTCTTCTTGGCTGCTGCTCAAAGCCCAGCGCTCATCGGGTGTCAGGCACATCTTTGAAGGGAAAAAAAGAACATCAAAGGGCTTTCAGCTGGACAGGGACAGATAGATGGAGACAACAAAGAGAACTTTGGTCGGGAAGACGTTTTTTCCTTTTCTTTTTGGTTTGGGTCTTCTTCTTCTTTGTACACAGGACACCGATCTCCTCAATCATATACCCTTGTATCATAATAACAGATATCCCAAGAAGATGGAACTCGCATGAGCGGCTTTGCAGTCCATAGTCACGTACATTTCGCCTCGACGGCATCGGAGCGAATGCGAAATCCCCCGTTCGTTTCCCCTTCATTCCTTTTCATTCGTTTCAACCTCCGCCAAATGCGCTTCAAAATCCCGTGTGCCTTTTCGCGAGAGCACTCCCAAAAGTAAAAAAAGACGCTCCTTATTCCCCTTGGATGTCGTTTGGAGGAAGGATGGAAGAAAAACACCCCCTGCAAACACTCGGCTGGAGTTTCTCAACGTCTGTACTTCTGGATACTGGGGCGACTTGGTGCTCGTAACAATCGCCCTCATCCAAGAAAGGGGTTGTCGCCTCATCTCCTCCTTGTCGGACACATTGCCATACCTCATCCCTCCCTACCTCTTGAACATGGCTTGCACATCCTCTTTCCTCCAGTCAATCTCTAGACTGCCCTCGTAGACTCTGTCCACGATCGTCTTCATCCGGTCGTGGGCGTGAGAATATCGTACTGCACATTCTTCAAACACCCGCGCGATCAGATCCTTCTTCCCAGCCCTCTCGAGGGTTGTTGACGACGGATCGTCCGCATCAGTGAAGTGCTTTTCGATCCTCTTCTTCAATGTCTCCACGCCCTTTCGGACCTCTTTGGCGTCATAGCTGCCGAGAATCTTCTTGGCTGCGCTGCGGGAGTGGGATGGCTTGTTCGCAATCGACGTAAAGGACGAGTCGTTGCCCTTCATGAGCGCTTCGGTGCTCTCCAAGAAATCAAGCCATTTGCCCAGTGGCCGTCGGATCACAGCATCCGTGTACTGTGCGAGATGGGATAGTTGATCGCGCGACGCCCGTTCCACCCATTCTTCGAGGACCGCATTGTTGTGTGTCTTCACTTCCTCAACAAAGAAGTTCATGTTCTCGATCAAGAGAATATGATAGTTCAATGCCTCTTTGTCTTCGGGGTCCCCGCTCAGTGGTACGTTCGAAGGGCCAGTCGTTGTCCCACCAGAAGAGTTTGCGGCCGGATTGTCTTTGGCGATGAAGTTGAGAGACTCCCACATGGCTTTCAGAAGTTTGGTGTACGCGTCGTTGACGATGAAGCGCACTTCGAGTGACTCGTGGTGTGCAAATTCCTGAGGAATCATGTCTTCAACCACGGCAATAAAATCGGGGAAGATCCTCATGAAAGAAATCAGACCTTTCCTCTTCTTGACCTTCACCTTGGTTTCCTCAATCGCCTTGACTTGTTCTTCCACAAATCTATTGAAGAGACCCATCAGGCGTTCATGAAGGGTTCTCACTGTCCGCGTGATGAATTCTTGGTTCGTTTCCTCGTACTTTGACAAGCACTGTTCGAGTGAGACCAGGACGCCAATGCCCTGCAATTGATCCATCTTGAAGACCCATTCCATCAAACCCTGAAGGTCTGTGGGCCAGAATGAGTAGATCCCTTCTGTAGTGCGCTGTACAATCTTGGCCAAATTACGATCTGGATCGTAAGCTTGTTTGGCCTGCAAGTTGGGCAGCTTGCGCTGTTCAGGAGGTCGAGATTGCACTAGTTCCATAAAATCCTCGTTCGACTGTGAGTTCAGATGGAAGAAATGTACAATGAAATTCTGTTCTTCCGAAATGGCTGTGGCTTGTTGCTCTAGGACAGTGTCGAATAC